CTTCTGCTGTTGCACCCCAGGATCTGTAGTTCAGTCTCAGACTGCTTCGTTAGCTTGGAGAATTAGTGCTGTTACCCCACCAGTGGGGAAAAGGTGCTGGAGCAATGCTATGCAATGGGCCTGGGGTGGGTGGGTGTTCAAATGGGTGGAATCACCAGCAGCACCTTTCAGTTTGCATTAGAGCCTAAGTTGGAAAGATATTGTAGCAAAGGACTGTTGGCAACAAGCAAACAATATAATCTGCTTCTGACCCCTTGCATCATCTCCACCCTTTAAATCCACATTTAAGGAAGGGGTTGCTATTCAAATCTATTATAATAATGGTGAAACATAGAACCAAATTAATAATAAATATCTATTATTTATTTTGGATCAGATTAGATCTATGAAAACCATGTCATACACGCAAGGGGGTATGCTACCAGTATTTGCAGGTAAATCTATGAACTATATTGTATGGTAAGGTAAAGGACCCCTGACCATTAGGTCCAGTCGTGACCGACTCTCAGGTTGCGACACTCTTCTTGCTTTATTGGCCGAGGGAACCGGTGTACAGCTTCCAGGTCATCTGGCTAACCAGAGCAGCGCACGGAAACACCGTTTACCTTCCCGCCGGAGCAGTACCTATTTATCTACTTGCACTTTGACGTGCTTTCGAACTGCTAGGGTGGCAGGAGCAGGGACCAAGCAACGGGAGCTCACCCCGTCACAGGGATTCGAACCGCCAACCTTCTGATCGGCAAGTCCTAGGCTCTGCGGTTTAACCCACAGCGCCACCTGCATCCCATATTGTATGGTAGTCATGTGATAAGCAACATTATTATATAAGAATACACATCAGTTCTATGTGTTAGCACGTAGAATTGATGGCAACAGTTTTACATGAGAAGAGTCTGAGCAGATCATTGTCTCTTATCACATTACCCAACTGTGTGAACTGGAAAGTGGCACATAAATCCACCTTTTAAAAAAAACAAAATAAAATAAGAAATTGTTAAAAGTTATAAGAAATTGTTGGTCTCTAGACTTGATCTTTGATTGGGATCACTTGCTTTTTTGCTTTACTAATTAGCAGATCCCATACGGATCTCTTTCCCCCCATCCCTCCAGCTAATAGGAGCCAGAGGGCATTTTGATTGGGAAAATGCTTAAACTCCCTTTTGCAAAGCTCCACTCCCACATTTTTCAAAGCAGATGCCTGAGGCTAAATAGAAAGGGAGAGAAAGAGGGCGAAAAGATTCTAATCTTGCATCTCCAACATAACATCTAGTTTGGGCAAGTACTGCCAAGTTGCGGGTGTTTCCAAGTGTCAGACTTGCTAGAATCACAGGCCTGGTGCCTGCAAAACACTCTGAGATGGTGCCAGCTCCTATGGCCAATAACAGCAAGCCCAAACAGGCCAGCATGGTCAACAGGTGTGGCAAAATGCCAGCTGCTCCAAACAAGCCAATAGTGTGGCAAATCCCTGTGCTATAAAATCTTCTTCCTGTTGGTACTAAATCCTTAAAGGTGCTGCCACCTGGAAACACCTGGAAGGCAACCTTTTAAGACGGTTTCACGTTAGAAAATTGATGTTTAGGACTTGAATGGATGCATGGAGTATTTTATGCTGAAGTACCAGCTATTCCATCATTCCCTGGGGCCAAAGATATCAAAGTGGAGCTAAGCCGCTGAGAAAATGTTTAGGTGGCGTGGTGTTCTTAACAGGCCATCAGAGAAGCCCTTGCTAGATCAGACTAAAGGTCCCCCTGCTCCTGCTTCCAACAGTGGCCATCCCAATGCCTTTGGGAAGCCTTCTCCCATTTGTGCTCCCTGTGCGAGGCCAAAGCTCCCTTCCCAAAGCTGGTTAAGGGAGGCATCAAGCTGGGAAGGAAGCACAAGGCTCTGGCAGGGTCCTAGAGCCCTCCTGCCTCCTTTCCAAAGCTGAGCAAACACTTAGACTAACTAGACTTTGGGATGGAGGTGAAAAGGCACCTCCTTGGCACCTCTGCACCCTGTGCAGGGGAACCAGCGCTGCCGTAAAACCACCTCCGCTGGAGGTCACTCATGGCAAATTGTGGATCAGTTTCTTCTTCTCATAGAAATTATGCATCACTGTTGAAAATCTACTCAGAATGCATCCCAGAGATGGCAAAAGCAAGCCACTCTTGCATAGATTCCACCAGCATTCTAGGAATCATATCATAATAGCCATCTCATCCTGAAAAAAATCTGCTTTCCGCATCTTTGTCTGCTTCACAATTAAAGCCTTTAAATTAGGTTCTCCTTTTCACTCATGCTTTATCTTGCCCAGCCCAAAGGGAAGTAGTCAAATTCTCCCTGGTTTAAAGGTTCAGAAGGGAGAGATAAGTAAGTATGTCTTGACTTGCAACATAATCAGCTCTTGCACGCGATCAGCCTTTTGGAATGTAAATGTATGCAAATCTTCAGCAATAAACCATCTCCGCCCCTATCTCTTGCTCTCTTTGGAAGGAGAAAGCAGGAGTAATCACAGTGCAGTGGTGCTGGGCAGAGCATTTCTGCTGATGAATGCAGCCAATAATAACATAGTTTTATGTATCATTAATTCTCTCTGCATTCAAAACAATAACTTTCTCTGAGTGCAGATAATGCAGTAATCACTCACAATTGCCAATAGAGTTATCGGCATTCAGCTGTGTAAAACAACGTCCAAAATGTGTTTCTTAGCCACTTAAACACACACACCCCAACTCTCACTCTTTAACATTCACATTAAATGCAAAGCTGCACAGAAGCCTAACTCAGCGAGTCAGCGGCTGATCTTCAAATGGGGGCTAGCAAGGCAGACCACTTCATGTGTTCTCACATAACCACAAAATGGAAGCTTAGGGACTGTAAATCAGTCTATTCACTTGCTTATTGCATTGTATATGACACCAAGAATGGGTCCCTAAAATGTTGACAAACACTGTAAGAAATCCCTACTGATTCTGATCTTTCTGGACAATTGTTCTTCCAGGCACACTCCCCAAACTGCCCATTGCTATTTTTAATCCTCACTTTTGTTCTGGTCAATGTTGACTGACAATCACCAGCAAAATGTGCTGAGTGTCACTGTGCTCTCTCAATGGATAGTCCCTTTCACTTGTTATACATGTGAAGAGGGGTCTCTGTGACCAAGGTGCAATAGGTCCCCACGGTTACATGGCTTCCTTTGACACCACTGCTCACATGTTAGGCATGGACACCAGCAGAGGGAAAGCCAAGGCATGTAGGCTTCCCCTGGACCTGGGACCCAGAGAAATCAAGTGTTCTATTCCTGAGAGGTCTACATGCATAGGCTTTCTCCCTGCAAGCATCCAAGTTTAATATCTGGATGGCAAGCAGTGAGGAAAGTTGTATAATCTCAGGGGTGGAGCCAGTGGTATATAATATGTGAAGGCAGGAGAAGAAATGGAGCTGAATGGTTCAGCAACTGCACTCTTAATACAGTGGTTCCTCGGGTTAAGTACTTAATTCGTTCAGGAGGTCCGTACTTAACCTGAAACTGTTCTTAACCTGAAGCACCACTTTAGCTAATGGGGCCTCTTGCTGCCCTGCACCACCGCTGCACGGTTTCTGTTCTCATCCTGAAGCAAAGTTCTTAACCCGAGGTACTATTTCTGGGTTAGCGGAGTCTGTAACCTGAAGCGTATGTAACCCGAGGTACCATCTTATGTGCTCAATAAATGCCCCCCCTTGCATAAGAAAATCCCTTCTTCTCTGACTTTTGACCATTTTTCATTCAATCTATGCAGGCCAAACCTCTTTCAAGACAATAAAGCTGTCATAGCTGCAAGCTAGATTGTTGTGTCATTTCGTAGAGAGCTGGATAATTCACATCCTAGAGAGCAGGTGGCAATTTGGCTCAAGCACTGCTCTAAATACTTGGAAGGCATCTAAGAAGCACCTTAAAATCTTGAAGACTTGGGATTCCACTCCCACCTCTGCTGCAGCCTTAGGTGCAAGTTACAATCTTGTAGTGTTACTTTGCCATTTCTAAAATGGAAATAAAACTGATTCAACACACAGGATTGTTGTGAAGGCAACACACAAAGTTTGTAGAGCATTTTAGACACTTAGTACTCTAGTTGTATGTCATTGTTCCTTCTACTTGATGGGAATAAAAAAGAGGGGCATCCGTAGAAGAGGTCTCCTCACGTATGTAGAAAAATGTTGACTTTGAATTTTTAAAAAGAAAAGAGGGGAGGGTGGCAACAGGTCAGTGAGAACTGAGCATGCTCAGTGGCCTGCATGTGCCATGAAATGTTGAGAGCAGTTCAGCAACAGTTGAAGAAGAGAGAGAGAAATAGCCAGAAAAAGGAAATGTGAGGGGAAGGAGGGAGGGAGGAACTAGCCTGTTCAAATCCCAGCCAGTTTGTAGAATGACTGAACAACAATAGAAACCATTGTATTGTTGTATAAATTATTAAAACACTGAATAAACAGTTTCCCAGCATTACTATTTTTCAAACGTATATATTTATTGTTGCAATGAATAAAAAGTGAATTCATTTAAAAACATTCTTGTGTACTGACTTCATAACAGTTTTCTGTATTTTCTCAATTAATAGAGCCTAACATTACAACAATTAGCATGGGAGAGGGCACAAAAAATTGAGGTTTGAAAGGAGTCCTCATGCTCTTAAAGGTTGAGAACCCCTGCTGTAGACAATACTGAGCTAGATGGACTGATGATCTGCCCCAGTATAAGGCGACTTCCTGTGTTCATTTTTAGAGAGAAGGTGATGGTAAAAAGAGAGGGGAAATAATATTAGATACTGGATAAACTTATACCCTGTAAATGAATAGAATACAAAAGCAGTACACAGCTAATCCAATCAGCCTACTACTGATCCCTCTTCAGTCAATTGCAGAAGGTCAGGAAAAAATGTAATTCAAAGGAAATGCTGGAACCAAATGTATATTTTCTTGATAGTCAAGATTGCTTCCCTGAAACAACTACCTTCTTTGGAGGCTAATGATCTTCTCTGTTAGGCTCACATGGCTTTCTCCAGTCTCCTTTGGTGGGACAGCATCTCCACCTCTTTCATGAAACGAAGGCATAATTCATCCTGCCATGGTAATGCCACACACTGAACTGCCACAGGGAGCCCCACAGCACCTTTCACAGCCTGCAAGAGATGTTCAAAGAGCAGAGTTACTGGGAATGCTTAGGCTCTGGGTCTCAAACTTTCTAGAGTGATCCACACTGATCCTGTGCCTGTTTCCTCTGAAGTAAATCCCACTGACTTACTTCCAAGTACGCATGCATAATAAGGCAGAAAACTTAGGATCACAAACCACCCTCTGAAGACAAGCTGGGGTCAATCATCAAGCTTTGCCCATCTATCAAAGGGTAGACTCCTGATCTCTCTCTCTCTCTCTCTCTCTCTCTCTCTCTCTCTGCTGCCTTGGGGGCTATTGGCCAAAATACATTTTTTTAAAGCTGCTATTGTGTGTCTGCATGGACAGGGAACATCAGGACTGCTCTCTGACATTGAACTGTAGTCAATGTTCAGGGCAAGTTGGGCTGTTAGCCAAATAATTCACCAGTGCTGCTATCCCCTGTCTTTTGCTTGAAGATGGATTCAGACAACCATTTGTGCCCTGATAGTCACTTAATATGCAATGAACAAGTTTTAAGGATTGCATTATTTGCCTAAAAATGTTGTAATTTGACCCCCTTCCTGTTACAAAATGAACACAGTCCTGAATGTTGCCGCTGTTAGACCTGCAACTCTTGTCTCAAGTCTCCTGTCATAAACTCTTCCTTCCTTAAAGAAAGAGGACAGAAGCAGTCAGTTGGGATTAGAGAGATGTTGCTATGATTCTCTATTTCTCATGCACAGTATTTCACCTAAAGCTGAAACAATTTTGCATCAAAACACTATACAGTCGTACCTCGGCTCCCAAACGCCTTGGGAGTCGAACATTCTGTCCACCAGGGCTTTTGCAGCTTCCAGTTGGCTGCAGGACCTTCCTGCAGCCAATCAGAAGCCACACTTTGGAAGTCAAACGTTTCGGAAGTCAAACGAACTTCCAGAACGTATTCTGTTCAACTTCCAAGGTACGACTGTATAATGAATGTCCTTTTGTAATTGTTCCTTCTCCAAATATCCTCTGGGCATATACATTTGCCATTTGGCATCATCATCTGACACCCAATGATTGTGCAGTAGTAATAAACATGTGGCAGTATTTCACAGGTGACATGCAGTACTAGATAGTATTTCAAAGCAACATATAGCAGTCACCATTTAACAACCGAGGTCCAAACAACATTACCTTAAATGCATGGCCACCCCAAATCCACATCTCCTGTAGCTGTTTAGTTGCAGCAGATGTGGGGCATGTCATCATCATGCTCAGTGTTTCTCCATTTCAATTCCACATCATTGGATGTTGCTTATGAGGGATATGAAAAAGCTGAACATGATGATGGCATTGCATCATTCATGCCCTTATAGCAGTTAGTATTGGACAGTTTTGATAGATGATTTGCAATAGTATTTATTTACTAAATTTATATGTTATAGCATCTTAACTCATTTATGCAATAGACAATTTCAGGTGTTGATGTCAAAGTTCGATTCTGAAATCAAATGCCACATTGTGGGATCATACAGTTTGACATAAAAATCCAAGTTTTGAAAGCCACTGAACTTGAAATGTTCAGCTCAGACATCGCTTAAATCCAAACCCCTGTGTTGCAATACAGAATAATCTCCTCATATACAGCCGCAACATGTGGCTAATGAATATAGTAAATGTGTTATTATTAGTAGTAGAATGTCATCCAAAATTTACAATTCATCAGCTTCAAAATAATATATATATATCAGTCCATAGCCAAGAAGTAGTCAATGTATTTGAACCGCTTAAATCCAGACAGACCTCTTTCAGTCTCTTATCCCAGGGGTCACCAAAGTGTCCTTGGTGCTGTCCCAGCTCCTCTTCATCAGCCTCTGTAACGGTAGTGACTGGCACAACTCCAGCAGGAAAGTTCAAAAGATTGTACAGCATGGTATACGAGATGGCAGCTGGAGGAAAAGAATATGCAGAAGAAGCGGTCTGATGGAATCCAAGAAGTAACGACACATACAAAGAAAGAAAACTATCCCCAAGCTACAGCCTGAAGTGGTAACAGGTTAGCCACATTAGTGAAAACGAGGCCCAGTTTACAGACCCATGCCAGAAAATCAGGAATAGCTACACTGCCTCTGTGCTGCTATTTCTCCATTTGGCTTATAATGGAGAAAGGCAAAAACAGATTCTGGGCCTAACTGCAAGTCCAGTCTTACTTCAGAACTCTCCTATTTCTTGACAGATATTCAAGAATCTTCATAATTATTACAAAAGGAAAGAAAAAGTGATTGAAATATACATACTCTGTGAATAATGAGGCTTACCCAATAGGTTTGAGGGATATCTAAGATTAAAGGCAGGTCCCAGAACTGGACAAAGGACAACATCAAGCTTGCTTTTCTTCCACTGGTCAACAAACTTTTTACGATAAGCCTGAATGTGCAGTGCAAGAGCATGTTAGAGTTTAGGTGAGCAGTTAGAAAGAGTCTGGAAACTGCAGGGGTTGTTATCTGTTGAGAACAATACTGCCAGCATAATCCACCTTATTTCAAGTGACATTTCTCCAATGCATAGATATATCCATTAAGCTGCATACAATATCTCTACTGAAAGTGAATTAGTTTGCATGCAGCTGTAAGAGGGAGGTGTCTGTAAGAGTCTCTCAGGTCTTGGGCCTTGGTCATTTAAAATTTTACAGGTCATATTCCCTCCCCAACCCGCTGGGTTGCTAAAGTGCAAATTTAAACCCTGATTAGATGACAAAACTAGTATGTAGGGCTGTGAACCAGATTTGACTGATTTCCGAACCTATTTGGCCCAATTTGCATCCTGCCCAAATTGGGTTGAAGCAGGTGCAAAATACTACCAGTCTGATTGGCTTGTAACAAATTGATTTGTAGAGATGTGTATAGATAGATCTGTAGTAGTAGTAATAATAATTTATTTATACCCCGCCCATCTGGCTGGGTTTCCTCAGCCACTCTGACCGGCTTCCAACAAAATATTAAAATACAATTGTCTGTTAAACATTAAAAACATGTAGCTCAAAACAGTCTCTCAGAAAGCCAGACAGAGTGTCTCCCAAGTGTTGCAATTGTTAATTACAACAACATATAAGGAGAACACAGAGGTGCCGACTTCTCTGGAGGATTGAGAGGACCAGCTTGCCAGGTGGCAAATGAGTGGGACCCCTTCCTCAACTCAGTGTCAGAAGACAAAGCCAGTGTCTGAAGTAGAGCTTTAGGGTTGGCTATGATGTGACCTAGGGGAAGAAAGGTTGCAGGCTGGAAAAGGCAGCAAGCTGAAGGCTGATTTCTGTTTGAATCCAAGGCTGCAGCTATGAGAGGCCCTTTGGGGTGTTAGTGCTGTGAACCCTCCACTGTAGGCTCGAGTTGTATATATGTGAAACTAAACCGTATATCATAAAGACACCCCCTTCTCCACTGTGCCGCATTCCTAAAGGAATGGGTAAGCACACCTGGAGCCCCTGGAATCTTGAACTGCATTAAGATGGGGGAGGCATGCAATAATATATTCACAGAGATATGGGCACTACTCTTAAAACTGGTTGCAACCCTTGGAGTGAAATTCATATAGCACAGTTTCTGTATTAAAACTGATTTCTCAGCCCAGATTAAGCTTTGCTTTTTATTTGTCCTCCCACCAGCACCACACACAAAAAATGTTACCATCACTTTGTCATTCAGCTCCCACAGGCAATTCACAGACCTGAAACATGCAAGACATAATAAACAGCTGATAATATTAAAATGACAGAAGACTGTCACTGCAAGATCATAAACATGAGCAAGATCATAAGTACCTAAGACAAGACAAGTTTGAGGCTGACCAAGACATCCTTATTGTACAGATTATCATTATCCCACATTCTAGAGCATCAAAGTTCTATTTAACATAACGACTGCCTTTTATTTTCAGACCTCACATCCAGCTCCACAGGGTTCCTGATTTTCACAGTGTTATCTGAATCAGAAGTCATACTAGCTCAAGGTTGAACAATATTGATAAGACTTTGAGTTAACTACAGCAGCAGGAAATCTAGCTCAGAAGGAGGTTGGCGAAATCAACCTCCACACACCCCATCTTATGTAAGGCACCATCCCTTACATCTTGTGCAGGCCTCATTTATGTATGTTTGTCAGAATCTATTGCACCTCTTACCTTACTCCACACAGTGCATTGAGATGGCTGGCCAGTCTTGGAAACTAGAATGTAAACAAAACTGGATCCATTAGGACTAGTAGATTTCCCCCCAATTATATATATATATATATATATATATATATATATATATATATATTTGTTGGGGGGGGATCCCAAAAGTAATATCTCTAATCTTGGAAACTGATGACAGTATAAATCTTTCTTTCTGGATCAACTTTACTATATGCAAATATACTAGCCAGAGGTTACTCTTGCTCATGGGCCATTGCAGTCCCGTCTACCAGCGCTACAGATTTCTATAGGCTATCTGGCTCCAACAGCAGGTCTACCACCTCCTAAACTAAGCATGATGGAGGATAGAACTAGCGGTATCTGGCCTGGGATGAACAAACCAAGTGTCCACCTGGACTTCCCTTCATTTCAAAACTGCAGTTGGAACAGAGTCTTAACAGCCAGTTACTTGGTAGATCTGCTATTCTTGTTTCTGTCCCAGCTGCTAAATTCTTCATTCATCCTGTGTATTAGATTGACAAATCTGCTATCTTTCTTTACTTGTGCCTACCATCAGAACCTCTGTCCCTCTAGTTTTACAATATTTCCCACCCCTCAATACCACCATGTCCTGAACTACAGTGATAAGAGTTGGCACGGTGATTGTTCCAGATAATAATGGAAGAAAATAATTAGTTATTTTTAATAATAATTTAATTATTAATACAAAATTTATTTACAAAAGGAAATAACCACCTAAAAGTGAATAACCGCCTAAACCAGGCCTTTGGCCCTCCAGATGTTGCTGAACCACAACTCCCATCATTCCTAGCTATTGACCATGGTTACTAAGGGTGATGGGAATTGTAGGTCAGCAACAACTGGTGGGCTAAAGTTTTCCCACTCCCAATCTAAGTAAAATGGTCGGGCCCTACAATATCTCAGAATACATCAACTCTAAATAGTTTCTGTGGTACCTCTAGTGGAAGAAATGCACATAAATGACACACCCATTGTAGCTCATTTCTCATTTTACACACAACATTTTATAATAGGAATATTGTTCAAAAATGTTGTTCTTAAACTTCTCTCTGGAGCAGCAGCAGCAGCAGCAGCAGCACGAGATTAGTAATATAAATGAAACCTAAAGAGGTCCAAGACTCACCCAGGGTTTGACAAACTTGGCCAAAACTTTCCTCACCAATTTTGGGATTCTAAGATGAGCCACTTGGGGTTTCAAGCATGGGTCAACTATATCTCTTTCACTGGAAGGCAACAGAGGAAGAAGGTGAGATAGGGCAATCCAGTCCTCTTTTACACAGAAAACATTGATTTCTCACAAAAATGTACTGCAGCATGATGATGATGAAAATGATAATGATGATAATAATAATAATAATAATAATAATAATAATAATAATAATATATTCATACCCTGCCCACTCTGGACGTCTCCCAACAGAATGATGCTTTATCGTGTTTTTAACAAACATTAAAAACTTCCTTAAACAGGGCTGCCTTCAGATGTCTTCTAAAAGTCAGATAGCTCTTTGATTAACATACAAAATTTGCTCTTCTGGGATGTGGTGACTGTAGCCATTCAGTTAGATGGCTTTAAAGGGGGGTTAGACAGATTCATGGAGGACTGGACTATCAAGTTGCTACTAGTCCAGATGGTTAAATGCAACTTCCACATTCAGAGACAAAATACAACATGCTGAGGAACAGTGGAAGTGGGATATCACCCTCATGTTCTTCATTTGGGCTACCCAGAGGCATTTGGCCGGTTCCTGTGAAAACAGAATGCTGGGCTCGATGACCCTTTAATCTGATAGGATATCTCAAGGAAGTTTCCCATGCTAAGAATGCAGTATTAATTGACAAGTCCCTTTCCACAGTACTGTTGAACAGTGAACTAATTTGACTCCTTTAGAGTTTGACTCTGAAGGTTGAGATGTACTATGTGGCAGGAAGTGACATCGTTGGCTGCTCCACCCTCAGGCAGCAAAATGTCTTGAACCAGCCATGCTTTGAATACTTGGACAGCATTATTTGATTAGGGTTCTTGTCCTCCTCTTTGCTCTTCTCTTGTAGTGCCTTTTAAGAGTCACGGTTACTTACAACATAGCAAACAGAGTTGAGCCTCCATCAGCAAAAAGGCCTTTGATATAAAGTTCATCTATGGCATAGTCCACTGAAGGTGGGGTGAAGGGAACGAGCTGCAAAAAAAGGGTTGGTCATTGAGTAAGTATCAGGTGCCAATTCATTGACTCAAAGTCTTCTTTCACAAGCACATCCCAACTTTCTGCTCCAGACAGAGGTCAAGATTAATTCTTTCCCCATCTGCTGTTTGTCTGCTCAGAATGCAGACACACGCACAGAACATTTTTCCTTCCCAAGACATACAAGATACAGGAGCCTATGAGCCAAATTCGTAGTATGCAGTCCACCTCCACCACCTTCCCCTGCCACTAAGGGTGGAGCATGATAGAGCAGTAGAAGACTATGTATGGTGTGAAGAAAGTGGTAGAGAAAAGTGTTTCTTCCTCTCTCCTAAATCTAGAACCCAATGCGTGTCCAATGAAGCTGAATGTTGGAAGAGTCAGGAAGGACAAATGAAAGTACTTATTCGCACAGGGCATTTTAAACTATGGAATTATCTTCCACAGGAGGCAGTGTTGGCCACCATCTTGGATTAGACAAATTCATGGATAATAAGGCTATGAATGGCAACCAGCCATGAATTCCCTATGTTCTCCCTCCACTGTCGAGGCAGTGTGCTTCTGAATACTGGTTTCTGGGAGTTGCAAGTGGGGAGGGTGTTCTTGTGCTTGGATCCTGCATGTGGGCTTCCTATAAGCAACTGGTTAGGCCCTGTGAGAACAGGATGATGACTTGGTTGGAGGACTGCACTGCAAGATTCAGAGAAGTGCGAATTTCAAGGATGGCTGTGTTTCTGTTCATGTATTGCTACAGAATTAGCTAAGTCCACCTATAAATAAATGCACACTGAATTCCTTCCTTCCCCTGACCTTAGGGTGACAATGCAATTACATTAAATGTCTTTTATTTCTTTTGGTCTTTCTTTCTCAATTAGCTATCCAAGTATGTGTGCAGTTAGGGCTTGTACTGTAGAGAGCCAGAAGGGAATTAATTACCTCTAAAACGGCAATTTACCCCAAAATGGAAGGCACAGTGAAGCTGACAAAGACCTTTTTTAGATTTTTCCAAAGTACCAACTTCCAATAAAACTGTATTCTGCAGGCTGAGTATTCTGTCCTCAGCGCTTAACAACAGCCATTTATAGACTGCTCCCAGAACTGGACTGAATGTGCTGTGTAAGTAGAGCCAACCGTCTTGCAATTAACTTTCTTTCTACTTGGCTACATAGATAAATGCAAAGGGCAACAGTCCCAAAGGTACACACCGTATGGCCGGCTTCTTGGAGAAGCTTCTTGGTTTCATGCACAGCCCGCCTCATACAGGGAGGGAGCAAAAAATAGCCATCAGTGTCATAATAGCCAATCCGAAGTGGCATGGAACTAGAGTATACCTAGGAGAGAAGAGAGAGAACCTTCGGGTAATATCATCAATGGATGGCTAGATTTGGAATCAATTTGTGGAAATCAGAATTGCTTTCATACTGTGCATTGAACTAGATATCTCAAAGATTACACAGCTGCTACCAAAACCAGCAGTCGCATAAACAGTTAAACTAGAGCACTAGAGTAGAGTGTTGGTTTGGGATTGGGGAGATTCAGAATAGTCATGAAGCCATGAAACTTATTGGGTTATCATGGGCTACTCACCATTTTTCAGCCCAGGGATGGGGAACCCTTTTCATCCTAATGTCACATTTCCTTCTGGGAAATCTTCTGAGGGCCACATACCAATGGTGTACAGAGCCAGAGTCAAAAGTGGGAGGAGCAACTAATGTGAACAACAATGTCTGTACGCAGCAGAGTAGTTTCTACAAACACTCACACACCTCTCTCTATGCTTTATCCCAACAAGCAGTAAGTATTCTCAGAGTTCAAGGACACAAAAACCAAACCCTTAAGTGTTATCAGGAACTGAAATTTAAAGCAGAGCATATCCTTTAAATTGAAAGTTGTTATATAAAATTGCCTGGGCTTGCTTAACACTCATGGGCAAAGCTCCATTATTTGTTCAATGTATGAAAGAGCAGGATAATAATGCTATATTACGGAGCTGTTTACTTTCAGTGTATGGAGAAGTTTTGGAGCAAAAGAGCAAAGCGGGGAATCAAGTTAATGTAGAATGAGTAAAATTAATAGTAGGGAAAGGGGGAGACAGTTCCTAAGGCAACATGGGTTGCTACCAAGGCACTCTCTGCAATGACTCTGGCAATGGCTACCAAATTCAGGAGCAGTGTTTACAGCTACAGGAGCAATGGGGTTCTTTAAAATATCACCCAAAACATTCCCAGACACTGAACAATTCACAATGTAATCTTTTATGTACCTCTTCATTGAAAAACACAGGCGGAACAAAGGGGTCCAGCTGGAACATGTCATCACATAAGAGAGCCTTCATGCACAGAGCTAGACTTTCCACATCCCTTGCCATTGGGCCCACTGTTCCTGGAACTTCAATTGACAAGAGAAGGTGAACATGGTTGCACATCATGCACAACCCATAGGATATGGGGTTGTCAGATATGGAATGATGGCCATCTAACAGAATGACAGAAGTGCATTTTAATCCCTAAACATTTTTTTGTAAAGTTTGCATTTTTTAAAGGCAAAGGGTGAATGAATGAGTGAACATACAACTGCACCAAATAAATGGGTGAAGAACCCAACTAAAGTATGGTGGGGAGAGAAAGTGGGAGCAGGTTCCGCTTTTAACTTGCTAGTCAAAAACAATATAAGTTTCAAACTGGAATGATACCTGGGCCAGACATTGTTTAAATTTTACCCAACATTCATCACTTTGTGGAGATCATATCCTCACCCCACCAATGTGGTTGAAAGGTGTCTTTCAATTACACATTCAATCACCGCAGCCACCCAATAATCATTCTGCCACAGCACATACATGCACTTTTTGCATTCAATCAAAAGTGATCCTTCAGACCTTTCTGAATTTGGATAGAAAAGGAAGAGGTCCTTTACCTGTGAGTATTCCATCAATGGGGCCCCTTACTCCTAAATTGCTGTAGAACAGAGAAATGTCAGAACATGCAGCTGGTAAAAAAGTAAATCTGATACATGGACAATTCTGCTGCCACCAGAACTACTGCCAGCTTCTTGGAGGATGGCCACCCAAACAACACATTATTTTCAATGCATGCTACTTATGTTCAATGGCTACTTTTGTTGAAAGAAAAGCATTTGTGGAGCCCTAAGCCATATCAAGGCCCTGCCTTGGTTTCCTGTCGAAAATTGCCCCCAGCTATTTGCCCCAAAGGTGCTATTTACCAGACGTGAAAGCAATGCCATAAACCAACTTTCCCCATGCTTGTGCCTTCCAGATGTTTTGGACTATAAATAACTCTCATGACCTAATGAAACCATCCGAGGTTTTATTCTGTGGTTAGTTGTGACAAGAAAGATACAAGAATAATAATGAAACAGAACCTAACCTCTTCAATGGGAAAAAAATGAAATCAGTTCACTATCACTGAATCAGATAGATTTCCCCAATTATTAATTGAATTTATATCTTGCCCTTCCTTCCGAAAGAATGGATATACACAATAATTTATCAGAAGCAGTTTTATTAGCAGCAAATTTATGCAAATAATGGAAAATTGTCTTTATGTAGGCTGCTGAGTCAATTAGTTCACACTCAGAAAGGCGAAATCAATGTCCATTTGCCGAGCTTCCCCAGCTGCATAAATGGGGTGCTACCGTGGGTGTGTGTTTAGTTTTTAAATATATCTGCTGGGTTGTTGTTGTTGTTGCACTTTTAACTGGTTTTAAGCTTTTTTTAATTGTGCATCACCTTGAGATGCTTGTGTGTAAGGTGATTAATAATAATGAACAACAACAACAATTATACTATAAGCTTAACTATGCACAATAAATATTTTTAAAAGGGAAAGGATTTATGGGATTTGAGAGAGGCTGGCATGTCTGATGAGTATTGCAATCAGCATAATATTCACATGCATTTGCTATGCTAAAACCACACCAGATGGAAATGGGAGTAATTTTATGGCTTTAAACCATGCTTAACCAGGATTCCTGGCTTAGCATGGCATCCGAATCAGCGATAATTATGTGTTTTGCTTACACAAACCACAACAGGTAAGCCAAAACACACCTTAGCTTAACATCAAAGTTTGTTTGGAAGGAAAAATCCTATAACCCCCAGTTTGGACATAACACACCTTATTAAGTTAGATATTATGTTGCAAACAGTCTAAAGAATTTGTTAATATAGCCATGTATACTGTTAGTCCTGCTATTGTTTAATGTAATCAATATAATTTGTGGGAATGGGAGAAGGATGAGTGACGTTTTGGAAAGATGGTTCTGCAAGGTTACCAGAATCAGGAAAAGCAAGTTCCAATGTCTAATAGTGATAAAGAAGAGATTGTTTAACATTAGATTAAAGGAAATCCACATTCCTTGGGAGATAAGGCTGCACATGCCAATTTGCTTAGACCCTCAGAGCACCAGGATGAGAACAGAGATTATGATCTTTGAGTTCTGTAGCCAGAAAAGGCTTTGCATTTAGATGGGGGTCTGAGAGATGCAAGGATCTTGCAATCTCAAAAACTTTCCATGTCAATCTTGCAACACAGATCATATCTACAATTAAGACTGCACCACATAATCAAAAGATCACTGCAACTGCCCAAGAAAGGTTCACCATGGTCCAGCTCCACCAACTCTTGAGCCATCTTCAAGTTCACAGTAAATATTAACTATGGTTTACCATGATTTTTAAACTGTGCCATCAAGCAGATCACTCCCCTAAGAAGTTCGAGAGCTACTCAGGAAGTCATTCATCATCTTTCCCAATGAGGTCTCCAATATTTATATTATGAGAGAGAATTTTCATGCTTCATAGCAACAAATGCCATTCATTTGCACAGTAGGTGATATTTTCAGTACATACCTCAGCCTGCCTGCTGTTGGCTTCAGCCCACAAAGACCACAGAAGCTGGAGGGTAGACGGATACTTCCACCCAAATCTGATCCAAATCCCAGGATGGACCCTCCTGCAGCTATTAGGGCACCTTCTCCTCCAGATGATCCACCAGGGCCTCTCTTATGATCACGAGGATTCACTGTCTGGCCAAAAATAGAGTTGCTGCAGTCATAGCTACAGGACGGTAGAAATACAGCAGTTACCCATTTGTTTGTTAGAAGGCAATCAATGCACTTGCTAAAAATAAATGTCTGTTGAGCTCACAATGGAACTGCAGATAAGTAGCATACAAAATACTAACACCCTGTATTGGACATGTGCCATCAACCAGACTATAATGGGCTGAAAACAGAGGCCAGGTACAAGCAGCTATATCTTGGCACAAGTTTAGGCAGGCCTGGCCCACTGATGAGGCAGGGTGAGGCACTCACCTTAAGCCTCAGAAGCCTCAAATGGCAAAATAGGATATACCTATGTTTTTAATGCCCAAGCAACAGAACTGTGGTACTGACCATATTTGAAAGAGCAAAAATACTCATAATACTAATTTAGCCTGGAATTTCAAAGAATGCATTCCTTTGTAGAGCTACATTTCAAAATAGGCTATCAGGGCTGTTACCCAGGTACTAGAATGGTTGACAGATCCAAATAACGGCAGACTTCTGTATTTGTAAAGATAGTGGAATTGCCATTATAGGTTGTATTCAACTAACTTTTACTGAGAAGAGGAGACACATGGAAATTAAGGAACCTAAATTAGTCATGGTCATTAACCTCAATGGGTCTACTCTGAGTAAAAGTTAGTTAAATGCAACCCATGTGTCTTTCTTCCCTAGAGGCCTCAGTGCAACCTGATACCTGATTAGCACTCAGTGCAGCTTCATCTGAATATGTCTGTTGCCCTGCTGCATCTTAAGATCCTTCAACCCACATCCCTCTCACCTATGCTAGATACAGAGCCAAAGGCTTGTGCCTGTTTTACAACATCATCACCATCATCAATTTATTTATTTAATTTCTATACTGCCCTATACCTGAAGGTCTCAGGGCAGTTCACATAAAATAACAAACACATAAAATCAAAACAAAAACAACAACCCAGTTTAAAAAACCCCAAACATTGTTACTATCTACATTTTTTGTGCCAAAGATGACTGCAAACTCCTGGAGGAACAAAACAAACACAGCTTTGCCATCTGGAAAGATGGTCACGTTACACCTGGTGGCCAAAACCAAATCATTGGCATTGTCCAGTCTTGCTAATCTTCTCCTTCTCCTTTAAAAACTACCATTTCCAGAAGTCTTCCAGCTGCTCGCCACCCAGAGCAGGCAGCACTGTGGGACTTTCTAGGGAACAATGGGAGTTAATGATGTTCCATCACTCTTGGAGGGAATTGAACGGCCAACCTGTGTGCCCACAGTGTTCACATGGTGCATATCAAGCTATCTTATACCCATCACTGGTGGTGAATAATGTGCCTCAGGATCTGACATTTTGAGTCAATGCAAAACTTTTACATGTATGATTTCATTTTGTTAAAAAGTCAGAGTGAATTGATTCAGTACACAAGGTTGACTTGCACCAGTACACAAAAAAGCATACGCAACTTACTTCAATAAGGATTGCGGGACATTGGTGATTACAAATGGATTTGCTCCCTGTCTTTTTAACACCTCAACCAGCACACTGTCCTCTTCTGCCAAGGCACCAAGTGACTGGACAAGGCCACATGTTGATAAATGACCCTAGAAGCAAAGGAGTTGTTAAATGCCTGGGTGGTTGTGGCTGTTTTTCAAACTATTAGAGAAACAGTTCTAAAACAAAACTCTGAACTGTATTTTGATAACTATCCAACATCATACCCTGCTTACGGGCATTTTCTGCTAGGTATTCTAACAAAGAATTCTGTGCAAATTGAAAGCATTCTTAATAATAGCACACTTTGCACTGCCATCTCAGTATACGCTGTAATATCAAATAGCTGAAAGGTCAACAGTTTTTTGTTGTACTCTGTTTTGAAGTTCTAACCATAATCTTACAAAGCTTTCTTATATGAATCCCAGATTTGCTGCCCTAGGCGTTTAGTAGTCCTACTTTGGTCCATCTGCACCCAACTCTAGATAACCATTGTGACTCAGAGAAATGGAATCACCTTATATGCAATGTGATCCTTGATACTGACAGGCACACCATACAGCAAGCCCCTTTCCTTCTGTTTCTTCAGCTCCTGGAGATGTTGCTCACATTCTGGAATAAAATGGCGCATGCAGTTCACCTCCTGGTGAACTGCCAAAGCCTTTTCAGTGAAAAGCAAGGGAAACAAGGTGGAGAATGAATTAGTAATAGATATGTGTCCCTTTGATACAGTGTTTTGCATTCTGCAGATATCAAAATCCAAATGAACTTCTCTGCTACATCAGCCCTAAGCAAAACTAGGAGTGCAGGGGAAGCCAGACATTCCAACCAAGATACCTTTGGCGGGGCTGGGGACGTAGTGTGCCTGTCGCCACACAAAAGCTTACCAGCCTGGAAGAAGCAATAGATTCTTACAAATGAGCTACTGCATACTCTGATTCTACAAGAATGTATCCAACAACAGATTACCACTATTAATATTAAAATACTGAATCCTACACAGGACCAACTCTACCATTAGGCAGAGTGAGGCAGCAGCCTTGGACAGCAGATGACAGAAGGTGGGGAGTGACACCAAGGATTCAAAACAGAGCTGGGTATGTCATGTGGCCTGCCTCATCCACTCTAAGCTACCTTGCAGCCTTTAGGAATAGTGGAGAAAGCTGTCCCATGAGTAGCTAAGGTCCAGTTAGCTTCTGTATATGGAATTTGAGAGGGAAGAGGAAAGTGCCATTCTTTCCTCAACCTCAGGCACCAAACTGTCTTGGACTGGCCCTGATCATACGCTTGTTGCTCCCACAACCCCCAACTTACTGAAGAGTAATGGATCTTAACTGTGGGAAATCCAGCGAGAGAGAGAGAGTAAGTGATCATGATCTGGCAAAACTATGCTTTAGACCTGAAAGTGCAGACTGAGACACCCAAGAGCCCAAGACCTAAACAAGTATTCCTAATTGTAAGACGTGGTGTTGGGAATTTCAACTAAATTAGGAAAAACAGGTTTGTGCAAATTTACTGAAATAATTCTGATTGCATAGTGCAGGGTTATGTCCAAATATTTTGGCTACTGTGAATATGGGCATTTTTGTCCTAGAGGGACCTATTAAATAAACTATATATTGATTTATCTGAAAATATTTCTATACAGCCAAATACATTTTAAAAGTATCAAGATGGTGAAGAACACAACGTATCATTCTTCTCACCTTTTCCATGTAAGTGTAAAGGACACTTTCTGGAGACAAGGACCCTTCTTTCAGCTTCTCCACTAGCTCTGCCAGAGGCAGAGAAAGGACATGAGCGGCTTGTACCCCAGGATTCTGTGGAGACAGCATACCGCATGGCAATTCTCATGGACTATGTGAAGAGGGGATAGGGAGCTGAGCCCTGGGGCCTCTCTATCCAGCCCTCAGAACTCACCTCCTCCTTAGGCCACACCCCTCTCCCAAGGCCACACCCCTCACTGGCACTGAGCAGCAGTCTCCTCAAGTGCTCTTGCATGGCACTCATCTGTGCTTGAACTTTGACAATGACTTCTGCATGCATGCCTGGATAAAGACTGGAGAGATGTCGGGGGAGTGGGGTATACCCACTTTTGATGTTTTGCATAGCTGGAGTGCAACCTACTGTAAAAAAGGCAGGAATCATATCCCTTTCTTTGTCTGCTCCCCAACTGCTTCTCCCAGCCTATCTTGGGCATGTTGTCTCTGGAAGGTTGCCCTCTAGGGCAGTGTTTCTCAACCTTTTTCTGACCGTGGCCCCCTTCCAACCTTATTTCTTTCCTCCCCTGTCCTACTAGTAGAAAGGTAGCTATTTTGTTTGTAAACAGAACATGTTTTATTTATACTTTTTATAATTATATAACATATAATTTCACCTGTGGCCCCCTTGGAATGTCCTGGGGGGCAGTGCCAGATTTATGTATAAGCTAAACAAGCTATAGCTTAGGGCCCCACTCTCTTGGAGGGTCCCCAAAAAAAAATTAAGGGGAAAAAACCAGATGTACATTTCAAAAATATAACATTAAAAACAAATAAAATACAACCTACATATAGCAACAGTGTTTTATGTTGTGTAGGCTCCTATGATGTAAGTAATGGGCCCCGCCTGCTCGCCAAAATATCACTGGTTTGCTCATTTCTATATATAGGGTGCCTACGTTCTGCATGGACTGGTTGCATGGCAACATGTGCAAATGGCTTTAGATACCTATTAGGTCCATAAATTACAACACAGTGGTACCTCGGGTTAAGTACTTAATTCGTTCCGGAGGTCCGTACTTAACCTGAAACTGTTCTTAACCTGAAGCACCACTTTAGCTAATGGGGCCTCCTGCTGCTGCCGCGCCACCGGAGCACGATTTCTGTTCTCATCCTGAAGCAAAGTTCTTACCCTGAAGCACTATTTCTGGGTTAGCGGAGTCTGTAACCTGAAGCGTATGTAACCCAAGGTACCACTGTATAGTATATATTCAACACAAAAAACACTGACAATTTGTTGTTGACAAAGGACAGCTGGACCAGTAGCTATGGGCCTCATCAAACTTAAATCCGGCCCTGCTGGGGGGTCCCAAGGGGCCATATCCCCTCCCCCCAGTTGAGAAACACTGCTCTAGGGAATGAAGTCTTTGGGCTAATAAGAGTTGCCCACTCCTTCTGTAGAGTTTTGTTAATGTCAAACATTTACCAGGCTTTCTATTTTAGTTGTTCCCAGATGACAACAATCAAAATCTGATCATACTAAAAATGTGATTGTTCACTGAAATTCTTTTCTTTGTCAAACAATTATTCCAACCTATGTCACTATAACAGAAGTCTACGGTGGGAATATCACACACATATCCAAGAGATGTATACCTGCTGTTTAAACTCCTGAACAACTTTTTCCATTTGACCCAAGCCATGGTCTCTCTTCCTTCTTGCCTCTTGTATTTGTTTTTTGATCCTATTCTGGCCCATCCATTTGAATGCCATGAAAGCTGCAGCTGTGCTGCTGGTCAGAGCAAGGACAATGTGAAGGTCAATCTTAACCTGAGGCCATGACTGCTTCAACCATTCGTGGATCATAGTGGAAGCACTCTGCAACTTTCTGGAATCAAATCAGCAGACAGTATTTGGGGGGTTCTGAAAAGACAGCACAAAAATAACATGAAGGCCAAATAATTCCATCAAGCTACTCTATATGCACTGTTCTCCACTAGCTGCAGTTAATTTCATATGTCCCAAAATGCACAGGAACACATTTACAGCCTTCACCTCAAGCGAATGCTGACAATAAACTTGGAGAGCAGGACTGGCCCAAAACATTTTCCTCCCTGAGGCAAAGGACAATATGATACCCCACCCCCCACCAATTCCATGTATAGAAGCCAACTGCACCAGCAGTCAAACCCTACAGTTCTTTCAGTAGAGCATGAGACTTTCAACCTCAGGGTCGTAAGTTTAAGCCCTATGTCGGGCAATTCTATGATTCAAAACTGATGATGGCACAGTGGTGGACTTTGGGTTTTGAAATTTCAGTGACACCCTGTGCGATGCCAAAATTCGGCACACATACCTGTCCTGCCTCTCGCCTTCTGTTCTAAGTCATTGCTGAAGCACCCCTGTGGCGCACTGTCAGCTCGGCTCTCAGTGTGGGTGAAATAGTCATCCTCCCCTAAACCATAGCTGTCAACCTTCCCCCTTTTTTTGCGGGAAATTCCCTTATTCCAGCGCCGTTTCCCGCTGCTTCCTGCTGCCATCACAGATTGTTAGATATCCCGTAGACTGTCCCTGGGACAGGTGAGGCTGCTGATCCCTTATTTTCGAGGCTGCTGATCCCTTATTTTCAAATCTGAAAGTTGATAGCTATGCCCTAAACCTGCCTCTGGATGGAGCTGAATCCTCCTTTGCACCTGAGACAGCAAGCAAGATTAGATGTCTCAGGACAAGCCATGTGGCAACAGAAGGAAATGGCTGGGGAATTCAAGAATGGCTGCAGGCTGCCGCTGCCCTGCTAGCCTCTGCTGCTGATGGACACCTCACTTTGCCTAATGCCCTACTTGGAAGTATGAACTTCAGGTGTGATTCTGTGTGGCTGAATGCAACAATAAGCATGTTTCTTCCTTCTTCCCACCTCTCTCTCCCTTTTGCCTCAAACACACACATTATAAGCATATTTCATATGCTCAACCTATGCTATTTAGGTGAAATGTAATGAATTTTTTAAAAAACATTTTCAAAATAAGCAAATTTAAAAATAAAAGCAAATGCCTCATTTGGGTTAGAGTTCCACATAGTGATAGGGGGGAAACATGTTTTTCTACATTTTAAGTAGATAGATAAGGATGGAGACAGTTTAACTCTCCCCTGGAGGCCCTCTGGAAAGATTCTCAGATAGCCTTTTCAGTAACTAATCCCTCCTTTCAGTGGAACTAGCCAAGGACTCTGAATACAGAGTGCTTGACACTGTCCCACAATTTCACTGCCAATTTCACCTACCAATTGTAAAGTGGACACAACTCAGGCTCACCAAATACATACAGAATTAGGTGCTTTCTCCTCAGTAAAATATTATGGAGTTAATTACTACATCTGCCAATTTAATAAAAGCAGGATTTTAATTCATTTAAAAAATAAATAGATCTAGCTTTCCTGCTTGGATAGAGCAAAGTTGAGGACCCTGTGGCCCTCCCAGTGTTGCTGGGCTGCAACGCCCACTATACCATTCCGAGGCTGATGGGAGATGGAGTCCAACAACATGTGGAAGACTGCAGGGTCCCTATCCTGGAATAGTGAAGTCATCCAGGTTCTACCTCCTGACTAGCTCTGGACACATATGGGCAGAGTTGGACATACATACATATATTGTCAGCAGCCTATGCACACACAGAGAGAAAGATCCCAGCATGTGCACATTGAAACAGCACAACAACCTTGGTCAAGCATCTGCTATACATGCAGTAGATTCGACATTAAATCTTTAGCAATTCCAGATTGGTTCTAAAATCCCAGAGAGTCACTGCCAATCAATATACTGGACCAATGATCTCTCTCGGTATAAGGGAGTTTCCTATGGACTCCTGGAGACACTGCACTACCTTCCTCCTTCCTCTGACTATACCCTCCCTTTTCCTTGTATAAATGTGTATCAAGTAGATGCGCTTTCCAGACTCTTGCCCAAATGCACAACCACGTAAGTCAAATCCTTAAATCTCACTTTGTCTGTCTCACGCTCTCTAATTTTCTTCCCTTACAAAAAAGCCACACTTACCTTCTCCTCTAATCTTCTTCTCTTCCCTTGAAGCTAAGGAATTGCCCAAGCTGATCAGCATTCAGAGTGGGTGGCTCCAGGGAATGCAGCCAATGGGGTAGGGGTTCAGCAAGTGATCTTTTTCCTTCTCCAGGAAGCACTACATGTGTGTTTGTTTCAATCAACTCTTATAGCGGAAATCCAGTAATTTGATTCATGAGGAATTACAGTGCAAGGTTCTTGTTGTTTGACACAGGCTCAGAATAGTTCTGGGGCTACTCACATAGTACAGCCTTCCAGCCTACAGGATCACCATTTCTAACAACAACATAAGGTAGGAGGAATTCAACGACTGAAGCTTTCCCAGTTCAGAGATGCAGTAAGAGGGAAACAACCATATGCTGCATTTCTGCCTGTTGACGGGGGGACAGGGGGGACAGGACCAAGCCTTAATAGCCTACCACTCCCCAAAGCAGGAATTAGCCCTTGCAGTGTATGTCAGGATTGGGGTTTTTTTTAAGGAACTCTGATTTGATCTGTTATATATTAAGAATCCATTTGCCATTGGGTCAGCAAATATGCTCCAGTGAGCTGTGACAGAAGTGGGATGGGAAGGTATCCAAGAGGGTGATAGCAAATTGGAGAGGTATAGTCTGAAATTTTATGCTGTACTTGTATTTGTTTGGTCATTCATTGTTATGGTAAGATGGGAGCGCTCAGGCTGCTTGTTATTGTCAAAGAAAGAAAATCATTTTTTGCTTCTTTATTTTGAAATGTTCTACTGTGCCTTTATTCAGCCATGGATTCCACAATGGTGTACATTTTTAAAAAATTGAAATATTAATGCAAGAATAAAGACAAACAATAAAAAGCAAAGTATAATAAAATCTAAGTGATTAAAATGTGGTGTGATGGTACAGACATGGAAGACCCAGATTAAAATTCTGCTAAGAAAAACCCCACCACTGGACAAGATGTTAACTTGCTCATAACATGCTTAAACATAAGAGTTGTGTTGCAACTTTGTAGACTGAGAAACACTGCCAAAATTATTGATTTATATTTCCTGTACGGAATTTCATGTAGGAATGAAGAGGCAAATTCTGCAGAAGACCAAGAAGGACAGGGCGAGCCCTTTAAAAGAGGCCCCGTGGATACAGAGTACACATGTTCCATGGGGCCTCTTTTAAAAGACTCACCCTGTACATTATTGCACTATCCAAGTCTAAAAGCAAATAGAGTAGAAGAAACCAAAATACCCACAGTGGGGCATGAGGCTAGTCAAAATATACTCACAGAACATTGGGGGGCGTGTGCATCTTTTAAGCATTCCTCTTTGCATACCATCGTTGAAGGTTCACTGCTCACTAAGTTACATATTAACATTCTGACATTCTCTTCAAAACTGTCTTCTAGCACACATTGATAAAAATGTAACTGAGCAGATCAAGCAATGTCCAGTACACATGCAGCGGTACATCAAAGTAGTCAACAAAGCAGATCTTTTAGCAGATACAGTGCTCCTTTCCGACAGGATCAGATTTTCCTCCTGCCCCTCCTTTCATGGGAGACTTTCTCTACCTCCTTCATGAACCGAAGACACAATTCCTCCTGCCATGGCAGGGCCACACACTGGACAGCCACGGGCAGCCCAATGGCACCTTCAACAGCCTGCAGGAGAGATACAAAGGCAGCATGGTATCACAAAGTGTATTTCATTACTGAGGGAAGCAGCCAGTTTGAGCTTGTGGCTTTCAGACTTCTCCCTGCGTGTCTCCGTTTTGAATTGATTGAGACTTTCAGGTTCTACTGGGCAACAAGGAGGCCTATTTTCAACAGGATAATGGAAATGCTCAGAATAGATTTCCAACATGACTGTGGGGGTTTAGTGTTTTGGGTTAGGAGCTGCATCCCATGCATTTGTTTATAAAAATGTATTCCTACACATGTCACTTGTGTTGGAATATTGCTAATAATTGTACTCCATGACCTTATGGTTGTGATTTATTTTTTTTTACCCAGGTCAGAGATTTGATGTCAAGTGCTCTTATAGGAAACAATTTAATCACATTAACCTGTTTAGAACCTATTCCAAATAAACACACTTAGAATAAGGCTGTACAAGTTACTTTTAAAACGTAATTTTGTCTGGCAATAACTAAGATCCTACTCAAATCAGAAGCCGCCAATGAAGGTATATTAATGAAGCAGTTCCAGCTTTCCAATTTAATGGGCGGTGTTAACCAGCTACAAAATTTCCCTAATTTCAGAAGGGAAGCAAGGAAGGAAGGGTCAATCTGCTACAAAGCTGTACAGCAAACAGAGCCCCAACGACATGTGGTGGGGTTGAGGAATCTGTTGAACTCCAACTCCCATCAGTCTCTACACCAACCAATATGACCAATGGACAGGATGGATAGAAGTTGCAGTCCAACAACATCTGTGTGTGTGTCACTGGTTCCCCATGCTTGATGCAGCTTTTAGGCACTGTCCTTGCCTTGGTTGCTATTGACTGACCTCCTTCATCCTCTTATCCCAGGGGTCTCCATAATGCCCTTTGTAAAGCTTCAGCTCTTCCTCATCTGCCTGTGTCACTGTAGTAACTGGGACAACTCCGGCCGGAAAATTCAAGACGTTGTATAAATGGGTGTAAGTGGTAGCAACTGGAAAAGACAACACACAATACTTCTCATTTTGCGGTACCAGACCTTTGTTTCATGACACCAACATGCAAATGCAATAAGAGCGCAGTGCATACTTCTCTGCACAAACACACAATAAGGAAAAAGAAAATGATCCTGACATGGCAGAGCACTGCTGGATTGTCTTGTGCTACTTTATCAACTAATCTAAAATAACCTTAAGAACAGTCGCACAACTGTTCAGGGGAAGGAGCCTCAGAAAGGTGTTGATTGACTCAAGTGTTTTCTCAGATATTTGCCTAGAAGCATCCACATCAACAATGCACACACCCATGGAATCAGCCCAAGAGGAACTGGGTTTTCCTGGTTTGGCTTCAAGCATATTGAGAACCTGAAGAATTGACTTGATTAAAGCCTGAAGCCTTGAAAAAAATTAGAATACAAATGAGGGTCCTTTCTTATCACTTCTAAGAAAATATGGCATTTGCCTGCAGGCACATTCTTCCTAACTGTACAAGCAACCTCGAGAGATCTGGTCAAGCTGAAATCTGTTGCAATCTTCTTGCCTTGAAGTTTTTAAAAGGAGATGAGACTTAATTCACTCAGTTTTGTTTTGTGGGATTAATAATACTGGGTCCAGAGAAGAGTGAGCAGAACTCCACTCAGGAAACAAGATTAATATGGATCCTCTCACCACTAGTGCCCCTGTGGTCTCCCCAAAGCTGCTCCATCTGGAATGGTGTGCAACCAGGTACTGTAGGGGCCAGCTAAGAGAATGGGGGGGGGGGGGTTGCCAGAATTCAAGGGGGCTGCCTTGCACAGGCAGAAGTTCCTTTCCACTCACTCAATATACCTTTTGATTCCAATTATAAAATAACAATGATAATATTTTCTCACTGACACCGGTTGAAGGAAAAGTACCAAAGTATAAGTACAATTTCATGCAAGGTAAATATTGAATAATCAAGGAATTAATGCATTAGTCAAAAAATCCCTTCTACTCATAATAGTTTTGGAAGAAGGTATGGGTTGTGAGACTACAATGCAACCCAGCTACAGTTCTGCCAGCAATACCTTACAGATTCACAGTATATTAATGTCCTGGGTGGAGCTAGACTAATGTCTTAGCTATACCTAAGTGGGTTAAGGAGTCCATCCCAACTAGTATGGAATGATACAATGTAGGTGAATCTACAGCTACGTATGTTGCCATATTGGTATCCTTCAGGTTGAAGGGTAGGTTATAAATACAATAGATGGTGGTGATGTTAATAATAATGGGACCTGTTCTGTGGTAGTGTGTTCCTGCTTCATAGCCCTGCTCTACAAATCTGCCTCACCACTTTTCAAATTCATTATGCCCCTTGAAGGAACCAGAGCTAAATGGATTAATAAATAATTTCTTCCTCTTGCTTGATTACTACTGAGCAGGAGACAGTTACGTATTAGTGGATGGATGTTCTAACATCCATCTCCTGCCAAGTTGGGATCATCTGCCAGGAAATATGGTAGATATCAAGGATGGCACAATGTGGCTAGATGGGCCCATATACCCTCTCTCCACAAACTTTTATAAATATTTGGATCATAAGCCTGGGAGAGGAAGATGGTCATCATCTATTCCTCCTCTGGTCAGAGCAGGATGCTCTACAGGTCAGCTCAGAGAAAGCCACATAATTTAATCCACAGTATGCAACAAGCCAAGGGAACAGGATCAACATAATAGCATGTATACTGGAAAATCAGATAAGATGTATTATTTGGTACCAAATAGCTTGCCAGCATATCCCAAATTAAAAGCTGGTCCCAAAGCTGGACAAAGCACAACATCCAGCTTCAACTTCCTCCATTCTGCAATGAATTCATCACGGTAAGCCTGGGGAGAAATACAAAGAGAAGACAGTGGCTATTATGTACAAAATGCCACCATCAGTGTGAATTGATTAACAGAAATGCATTTACATCCTTACTTGTTGCTGATCAGCACAAAACCTAAGAAACTCTACAGTGTTCTAGTCATTTTAGCTGTGGAGAAAAGGCTGAAGTGTGCTATACCTGAAGGGGTGTCTCCACCCACATTATTCAACCCAGACACTGAGGCCCAGCTCCAAGAACCTTCTGGTGGTTCCCTCATTGCAAGAAGTGAAAATACAGGGAACCAGGCAGAAGGCCGCCTTGGTTGTCACATCTGTGTAATGCCTGTCTAATGTCAAAGAGTTAAACAACCATACTACTACTACTACTACCTCTGCTACAAACAAATCAGGAGAAGACTGAGACACTCCAAATGCAGAAGACTTGGGAGACGATTGACATGCTACTGCATACCCTTGGCATGAGTCCTATTTTTCCTCAGTCTCTCATGGCTTCTGCTCACCCATTAGTACTTTATCATCAGATCGACCTCTGTCAAAAATGCTCTTCACTTCATCATTTGGCCCAACCCTCTTTGGTCACTTTAAACTATCTGCTTGTGTACATAACAGCACACCACAGCTCCATCGGTTGTATGTTAACATAGACCAGAACTGTGGAATACAGTATTAGCATAGGTCGGCATCATTGATGGTGCTGTAGCTGGGGTTCTAGGGACCATATTAGCTTTCAATTAATATCAGTCTCCAGAATTAAACCATATAGGATTGTGAGGTAACTATTATTTGCACATCTTGCTCTCAGCGATGAAAGGCACAAAAACTACCCAATAGGGAGACTGTATGCACACTTTCCCAAGAAACTGCCCTTTCTGAACAGGTTTCTCTCTGATGAGCAGTGATTGGGGGCGGAGAAAATTTGAGCACTTGGGCACTTTTTTTCGCCTTTTAACAAGAAAACAAAATTACCATCCGGTCAACATTGTTCTTCCAGAAGTTTTTCACTGACCTAGGAAATTTGCAGAAGGCATGCAGATTAGAATTCATAACAGTAACAAGAGAAAAAAATTCGTCAGAGAAAATTAACTAAAACTGCCCATTTTCGCCATATAGTCACTTTTCATCACAGATGCAGTCACACAGTACATTCACAATGATGGAAATATCATTATTCACAACAGTGGTTGTGAAGTTTTAACAACATTGGTATTCCACACAAAATCCCCATCATGATTTTATTTAGTACTTCACAATGCATCCATTTAAAAATTGTGTAAAAATTAACTTACCCTACTCCAATAAGGGCATTCAGATGTCGAGAGATTCGTGGGAACTGGGAGAGGGAATACATTTTTTATTTTTATTTTTATTTTTATTTTTATTTTTATTTTTATTTTTATTTTTATTTTTATACACCACCTTTTTCCATTAGGAGTCTAGCATGCTTTGATCAAAAGTCACAGCTAAATTCAAAAATATAGTAATGACTGAACTCTCCTATGTGTCTGATTAAAAGCAGGTTTGAGACAAAAAGTCCCAAGAACAAATTTACGCTTCACTGCCATGTGTGCCCAGGGATGTACCTGGAACTATGTCACCAATTGCCAGGGCCCAGAATAGACTATCATGCATACACCAATGTATCTCTATTGTTCCTGTGTGCAAACTGTTAACTCCTGTGGGACCCAAGCATGACTGAAGAGTGGGGCATAAATATAAGAAAAGAAGGAATAGTAAACCTATATGTATAGTCCCACATCTATCCATCTAGATGCTATCTTCAGAGCAGCTTTTAGAAAAGTGTCCAAGTGATAAGTTGCAAATTACAGCTGATGGGGTTTCGATGAGAGGTAAATCCTCTTCGTAAATTATTCATTGGAGCATTCTACTAAAGAAACTGATGGACTTTCTGTCTTATTTCATTATTCAACTAAAAACTAATGATCCACAGGGTTTGTCAGTGCACACAAATCATGAGCTCCCAAGGGGTGTTAATTCACACTCACAATATTTCCACTATCACTAACATCTTTAAAAAGCTTTTGTGCAAGATCCCCAACTGTTTTTTTGAGGGGAGGTGGAAAAGCAGTTTTGTGGAAGTACTTTGTAAAAAGGGAGACTTTCAGAATTACTTTAAGTACATTCACACAAATTCAACTGTGGTCACTTCCCTCCAGATATAAGCCCAGGTCCCTTTCAGACAAATTTCACATAACAACATCATTGTTTCTACTGATTTTATCTGTATAGTTGTTTTCAGCCACCCTTGGCTCCTTCAGGAGGAAGGGCAAGATATAGGAATAAAAAGTAACACTTGTAATTTTTTGACTAGTAAGAACAATTGTGATATTTTTACTACTTTTAGTTTACTCTGGTAAGTGCTTATAACCTTAGCATCTGCTACTTTTTAAAAGTTGCCTGATATGGATTGAAATTTACTGGCATTGCAAAATTGCACTGTTTGCAAAGCTGTTTTGCAACTTATCATCTTGTTGTTATGTATTCAAGTTACACAGCATTTTTCTCCTCTCACAGTTGGCTGAAATTTGTCACATGTACCCCACCTACCCAAAAAGCATCTGCTCCCACTGTGCTTAACATGATGGAGAAGTTAAGGTCAAGTAAAGGCTAAGGGTTTCTTGCGATCCAAACATCTCTCCAGCAGCCATGCTTTTTACAGGACCAGCCCTCCCATTAGGCAGTCTCTGGGATGCAGGTGCGGCTGTGGTCTAAACCACTGAGCCTCTTGGGCTTGCTGATCAGAAGGTCGGCAGTTCGAATCCCCAGGATGAGGTACAAGTAGATAAATAGGTACCGCTGTGGCTGGAAGGTAAACAGCGCTTCCATGCACTCTGGCTTCCGTCACGGTCTTACATTGCGCCAGAAGCAGTTTAGTCATGCTGGCCACATGGCCCGGAAAACAGCCTCTTAAAAGCAACTATGCTCAACCCAGGCAAAGCTAGTTGCACTAGTTTCAAAAGAAGAGGGTAACACTCATGCTTAATTCACTTAATGAAATCAGTGGGACTTGAAAGTTCACAACTATAGCCGGAGTTTGTGCCTGACTTTTTTCTTTTGACTATCAAGAGATTTTTTGAGTGGATAGTCATGATAAAAAGAATGTATTGTGGCATATGGGGGGGGGGGGCAATAAGAAAAAAGTTATTGCACAGGGGGTGAGATTTCTGGCAATTCTATTTTCTCCACTTTGCTTTCAAACCTGATCATTTTGCAGAGGATGGGCTCATCAGAAAGCAGCATATGAAAACCTGAGACTGGCTGCATCAAAGTCATTATTCTTAGATTATGATTTTCCACCTTGGTTATTCCGCTTTATAAGGAAGGCAGCTAGAACTTGATTTCAGTTAACAAGATTGACTGAGGCGACCGAGCTCTAAATGAAACAGTCATTTCTGAGACATTGTATATGAGGGAAACAATCAAATATACTAGTTTGCATTACGATTCAGCTTGGAAGGAAATGGAACATGGCTTGCTCTAAAGATCCAGAGCCACGTTCTGATTTAAATATAACAATAGCAATCAATGCAAATAGGGAGTCATAAGCTTCCTGTGCCGTTAAGGAACCTGTAAGCAATCTCATTTTCAGATGCATAACAAAGGCTTCAGCATATTTCCAAGAATGCTGGAGCAACCTTGCAGATTTACTCCCTAGCAATCAAGATTCATCATAGGCATTTTTGGAATATAGGCCAAAATATTAAAACAGGAGCATTTTCTGCCCTGGATCTTGAAAATCCTTGCCCCGGCAGTCTCTCCTTTCCATCCTACCTGTAGTGCAATCCTTGGCAAGTCAACTTAGAAGTAAGCCCACTGAGTTCAATTGGAATGGGATAGCTCAGTTGGTAGAGCATAAGACTCTTAATCTCAGAATTGTGGGTTCGAGCCCCATGTTGGGTGAAAGATTCCTGCATTGCAGGGGGGTTGGACTACATGTCTAACTCTACAATTCAATGATTCTGTGACTTAGTCCCAGGTAAACGTGTACAGTATATGATTGCATCTCTAGTCCCGTGGCTTGTCATCTCTTGCAATCCCTGCCCCCATCTCTGTACTTTTCAATTTCTAAAGATTTACTGTCTGCTCATGAACCTAGGCTCACTTCCCTCCTCTGGACAAAATCAAACCTTGAGCATGAAGACCTTTGCCAAGTAGAGAACCTAGTGTTGTGGCAGCCAATGGCTTCTTTGCTGTACTCCTAGCTTAGGCTCTGAGCTCCCACACCAGGCCTAGCTGAAAAGCTAGCCTCCAAATATTCAGAAAACAGAAGGTCTATCAGCCTCCCTCTAGCTATCTGGCAGCATCTGAGGTTTTCCATGATCGCATTACCAAGAGAAAATAAAACACACAATCCCAAAGCTGCACTCCCTACTTCTGCCTTATGACCTCCTAGAGGTGAAGGATTTCCCTGAACTTTTCCTGCAAAAGTTGGCTGAGAATCCTGTTCAGCAGAAACCGGTGGAACAGTGTGGGCATTGCTCTTCCAGCTTTCCAACACTGTGCATCATTACTCAGAGAGGGAGATGCAGAGAACGCAGCAGGGTGAAGCAGCATAGATAATCTGATGCTCCTGCCACTGCAAGCTGCACCACACTGATCTCCCTGTACCTCTCCTTCATGGGAAGCTGCAGCAATGTACAATGTTGGGAAGCTGCAGTCCACCAGCTGCTACTGATTCTGTTGTTGATCTCCATTAATCTATGGGGAATGATGATGATCCTGGGCTGCGAAAGAGGAGGTGAATACCACACAGGGACAGATTTAACTTGGAGTGGTTTGGGTCACCTGGAAAGCCCCTGTGGCAAAATAACCTGCATTGGCACCAATATGGAAAGGTAAGTGGGAGACATATAAATGAAAAGCAATATTGTTGGAATAAAAAGGTAAAGGTAAAGGACCCCTGACAGTTAAGTCCAGTCACAGATGACTCTGGGGTTGCGGCGCTCATCTCGCTTTACAGGCCGAGGAAGCTGATGTTTGTTTGCAGACAATTTTTCCCGGTCATGTGGCCAGCATGACAAAGCCGAAACCAGAGCAGCACACAGAAACACCGTTTACCTTCCCTCCGGAGCAGTACCTATTTATCTACTTGCACTGGCATGCTTTCAAACTGCTAGGTTGGCAAGAGCTGGGACTGAACAACAGGAGCTCACCCCGTCGTGGGGATTTGAACTGCCGACCTTCTGATCAGCAAGCCCAAGAGGCTCAGTGGTTTAGATCACAGTGCCACCCGCATCCCTTATTGTTGGCATACACAAAGGTATATATGGAGAAAGATTCCTTGTATCTGTTTCACAAGTTGGAGACTCACCAACGGCATTAAAATGAGAGCCAGGATCCTTTTCAGTAAATTTGGCAACCGGTAACAATTTATCTGGTTTGTCCAAGTGGAATCCACAAACTCTCCATCACTGGGAAAGTAAAAAGAGGAAGAAAGCAGGTTCTATGCTGTACGGTAATGTCTGTAAATGCTATTTACCTGTTGCAATGACATGCCTATGCTACAGCTACTATCCTTGCAGTTAAAACCCCTGATAGACAAATGCAGAATCTCAAACTTAAAGCATGACTGAGGAGCAGATAATCAACTCCTGAAGGAAACGGAATTTTCAGTAATTCAGCAAAGACCCCCCCACCCACCCAACAAGAGCATAATTTAATTTAAGCCTCTCTCCCCCCGTTTATCAATTTTATGCAACACACTATAATTCAGTTCCACAACCTATTGTCATTGTTATCTGCACAATACTTGTATACATAATAATACTACAATTTAAAAAAAAATATTTTTATGCATACATATTCTATTGACATTTGTTATTCCAGAACATAATAAAAAGTGTATGTTGTTCTAAAAGCCATTCCAGAAATGTGTTTTGGCCATTACTTCCTCTTCTATAATATTTGAATGTTATAATTACTATGTTACACCAGATTTTTCAAATCAATCTGAAATAATTATTATAAACCTCTTTTGTTGTTGTTATTGTTAAATTATTATTATTAATAATATGCCTCTTTTGTTCCTAATCGTTTCCCACTAAAGAGCCTTGATATCTCTTCTTCAGAAAGTTTTTGATCTAACTTTAAGTGTCCTCCTGTAAACACATACATACACTACATATGTGTCTATATGTCTTGGTATCTACTTACAACTTTTCCAGTAATGTTGAACAGCCATCTGCATAGAGGCCTTTGGTGAAGAGCTCATCCACCAAAAAATCAATTCGAGGAGGAGTGAAAGGTATAAGCTGAGCAGAAAAACAAGGGAAATATTTAAAGGCAACAAAAAATATAATAAATATATGCAGTTATCATTCTGCCTTTATACATGTGATTCTTTGCAATCGGTAAAAGGAAAGGAGGACCTATATATTGCCTGGATACACATTCTTGGTGGAAAATGTTATTGTCTAATCTCCACAGGCCTCTATTAACTTTTGTCTTGAATTTTACTCTGCAGCCCAGTCTATAGCTGCAGGTGCAGCCACAAGCTTGAATAAGTACCAGAAAATGTCAACTTAGCAGAACTCTGGAAGCTGCAAAATATCTAATGTCAGAAAACTGGAAATTTATGTTTCAGCCAGTAGTTGGTAACTAGTATGCAGACATAGGGCGGTATTCAACTAAATTTTACTCAGACTAATTGGAATTAATGACCATTACTAACTTGGCAGACCCTCCAAGTGTCCCTATTTTCCAGGGACATCCCTGATTTAGAGATGCTGTCCCGGTTTCTGATTTGATCCCGGAAAGTCCCTCTTTTCCTTAGGATGTCCTGAATTCCATTGGAGAAATGTTGGGGGTTTTGGAGTTATCTGACCCCTGAGCCATCTGAAGGCAATCCTGTGTATGTTTAATATTTTGTTATGTTTTTATATATGCTGGAAGCTGCTCAGAGTGGCTGGGGCAACCCAGTAAGATGTGTGGGGTATAAATAGTAAAAATTATCATTATGGAATGGGATGTCCCTATTTTCATCGGAGAAATGTTGGAGGGTATGACTTCAGCCTACTAAATCCAATAGATCTACTCTGTGTAAAAGAGGGTGTGTACACTCAAAAGTCAAGTGTATGTTACGTGCAGCAATCCAATGGCTACATTTTCAGTGGTGACAGGCATCTTCTAAAAAACAATGCCAGTAGACTAGCATGGCTCCAGAAAATAATGAAGAAAATACCTTACTTTTATTATCCCCTTCTGCTTCCTTCCCATAGCAACTTTTCGTCAAGTTTCTTTCTCCTTTGCTCCCCACATCTTCCACTTGCTATTTATTTTTTTCTTAATTAACAAATAGCACATTACACTGCATCATTTACAAAGATCAAGAATCAATGTTCTCGCTGGCAGTGTGCATTGTTTCTGCATAAATAGCCATCTCTTATTATTATTGATTTGTTACATGTATTACAAAACCCAATAAAATTAAAGCAATGAAAATGCAGCAAACAAACTCAATATAAATTAAAGTTCAGGCAATGTAAGAAAAAGCTCTCCATGGGCCCAGAGCTTACCGTGTGTCCTGCTTCCTGTAGCAACTGTCGGGTTTCCAGAACAGCTCTCCTCATGCTGGGAGAGGGCTGGAAATAACCATCTCCATCATAGTAGCCAATCCTGAGTGGCCGGGAGCTAGAGTAAATCTGCAGAGAGGAACCAGAGTAATCACATAGTGCTAGTCACCAGGGCAACGAGAAGAAGGTGACATGGCTTTTCACAGCTCATGTGAGGGTGAAAGCTAGGGATCAGGGTACCTGACAGACTGCTCATCTCCCCGTGTATCTGTGTGCAAAAATCTCCATCAGAGGCCCTTCCCTGGGTACCACTATCATATGAGGTGTAGCATTTTGACTCTGCTTTGGTTTTAGAATGCTCTTTCCCACTGTCTAATTTGTTGAGCCCAGCCATCTTGTTAACTGAATAGTTGTTGACACAGTGTCAACATCAATCAACTCAGATCACATCAATTCAGGGACTGTAAGGGATGGAGTATTCACTTTGTTCCTCTTTGGTGCTGACCTTTAAAGCCCTAAACAGCCTCAGCCCCGTATACCTGAAGGAGCATCTCCACCCCCATCATTCAGCCCGGACACTGAGATCCATCTCCGAGGACCTTCTGGACGTTCCCTCACTGCAAGAACTGAAGTTACAGGGAACCAGGCAGAGGGACTTTCTGGTAGTGACACTCACTCTATGGAACGCTCTCCCATCAGATGTCAAGGAGATAAACAACTACATGACTTTCAGAAAACATCTAACAGCAGCCCTGTATTGGAAAGTTTTTAATGTTTCGTGTATGTCTTACTATGTTTTTGTATTTTGTTGGAAGCCATCCGAAGATGGACGGGGTACAAATAATAATATTTCATGAAGCAACCTGAAAATCCAGGGCCACATTCTGAACAACCAGAAACCTCAGCTGATACCTGAAGAAGAGAGAGTCCTGCTCCTGTCTTAAACTATTTATGTAGCCATGCAATAGGTATCATTGTTCAGCTCCTCTGTGTGGATAATATCACTATGTATTTGAGTCACTAGGTGGCACTAGACTTAGTGCTCTGCAGGTGGAGTCACAAGTTTCGTGTTGTTGTTAGAGAGATAACAAACTGACTCATGGGTCTCCTGAGCCTTTAATTTCTCTTGCCTAGATGTCAGATCTGACTTCAGATTTCTCCCTCCTGACACCTAGACCAATCTTGAGTTTTTCCTTGTTTCGTTGTGAAAGGGTTTCAGACCTCAGATTTCAAACAAGCTTAACCCTGGGCCTCCATTTTGGCTTTACCCTTTAGACCTTTGCTCCTTCCTTGGCTGACAGCTCCACTCACTGCTGCTATAGTCTTTAAAATCTTTACGGTGACACCTTCCATGCATGCACTCACATCTCAGCATTGACAAAAACTGAGATTCCCCCACTAAAAGAGAAATTTCATTATGCATTAAAAGCCTATGGTGAATCAACTACTTCAGCGGGCTGTTAACACAATTCCATTACCTCCTCATTAAAGGGAATTGGGGGCACAGATGAATCCAGGCGAAATAGTTCATCACACAGGAGGGCCCTCATGCACAGAACGAGACTGTCCACATCTCTTGCCATTGGGCCTGTCACGGAGATGACTGGAACAAAAGAGGAAGACTTCTGAACATGAGGAAGAAGATAGGAGTTCTAGTAGCATGATTTCCATGCAGTTGCCTTCCAGTTATTAGGGTTTCTACGTGCACAACAATGCCAAAGGGCCATTTCTTTCTCCCCAGGCCCATCAGTTTTCACATGATGATCACCCAGTCATCCCATCCACAAAAACTGCCAATTTTATTGTATTCTGAAATGCATCTACAAATATGCTTTTCTAGGATATGATGGTAACTAAAGATCTCACTGGGTGACAATGTGTTCACAGATTCATTTCACCATATGAAAACTGAGCAGTCAGGTCCTCTACATGGTAACCAGAAGAAGAAGGTAAGTTTTAAATGTGCAACCATGAATTTTGCAGTATGAACATTAAAAAGAATTGAGGTGCAATTTTCGCACCCATTTCAGACATGCTGTGAAACCATGGCTTAGCACAGCCATCTGCAACCTTGTAACCTCCACACCTTTTGGACTACAAGTCCTATCAGGGGCTATATTTGTGTGCAGCCATTGGCAGATGGCCAATTTCTGGTGATTTGAAGTAGATCTGACCAGTTGTTTAAATGGCAACAATATAATGACTTCCCCTTAATACTGCTGACTGAAGAGCGTTGGGGATGGGGTGAGGATTTTTATGTGAAAAGACATTCTGGATTTCAAAACAAATTGCCGAGCTCAGAATGTCTGTTGCACCTGGTTCTGTGGATCTCAGGGTTATAGTAAAAATAAATTAAGTGGATCCCACAAGGCCTAAGGTCTACATACATTTGCATAGAGTATTTGTGTAAGCCAGGGGTGCCAACTTGAATAAAATATTGGGGGGCAGGTAAGCCCCATCCTGCATAATCAATCACACGACATGGTGCACGCACACCATTTGAATGGCAATGCCCATCAGCTTTGGGGGGGGGCAACCTCAAATATTTTATTGGAGGGGCAAAGACCTCTTGGCCCCTTGGAATTGGCTCCTATGGTGTAAGCACAGGCACAAAGATCATTTGACTTAATTTTTTTTACTGTCACAGAATCTTACAAAATTAAATGAATTTTCAGGTTGCAATACAAATGCCCACCCTTTTTTCCTTACATATAGCCAGCAAAAACAGTTAAGATACATCTGATCTTCGTTAAACAAATCAGAAATTACCATTAACACCTGGCCTTCTCCTAGAATGGCATTTGCATTTGTTTGTTTTTAAATGAGCCCAAACTCTAAAAGTTTATCGCTTATCAGAAAACCGCTGTCTCCATCAAAGGGCTTGTGCTTGTTTAAATTCTCCCATGAGCTAAGTAACACTTTCAACTCTCGCTTATATTTTATCAGCAATAGACTTGCTCACCTGAGTTCATTCCAGCTACAGGAGTGCTAGCACCTTTGACGCTGCACAAGAGCAAACGGGAAAAGTAAATTAATGATGGAGAAAAGCCAAATGACAGAGAGAGCCAAAGAGACCCAAGCCATGAAATGCAAGTGACATGCGTCAAAGGATGTTCCTAATAGCTGAAAGCCATTGGAAAGCCATTGGAAATTCTGTGCAAAGTACCTTCCTTTTTAAAATATTTGATAGGGAAATGTTATAGGCACATTTCATTATACCTAATTAACTTCCGAGCCTCTGTAAAACTACACAGAGGAGGGCAGAATCTGATGTCCACCCCTCACTGAAGCAGATCCTGATATTTTAACTATGCAGCTTGCATACACTGTGGATTCAAACAATTTCACTTCCCTTCTTAGAATTTAGACCAGAACTAACAAAAATTTGCAGAGAGATTTGAGCTTTAAGTGAAAACAGGCTCTGGATCTTCCCTGTGTTTAATACTTTCTGTGGCACTGCCCACTTTTTTTTAGTCCAGAAGTCAGGAATTATGCTACTAATGCAGTTCCCTTCCCCCACTCCCACCCCTCTTTCACAGATATAGTCACGTTTCCTGGAAAACTGGCGTATCCTCATGCCTCAAATACTCTGAAAGTTTAGTTGACTACATCTCATAAAAAACAAATGTTACTTGTCAATAACCCAAGTTTGCTTAGACAAAGAGGAGCCCTTTACTGCAACCTCTTTGTGGTGTTATTTGGTGTTATTTATTTATTTACTTATTTAATTTGTATACCGCCTCAGGTATAAAACACAACATAAAAACACAAAAATAAAATCAATGTGACTTCAATGTGAGCCAAGACTCCACAGGGCTTAGCCTCAGAATCTGCTTTTTTTAAAAAAAAAAAAATTAAATGCCAAAACACAGGGGTTCATTGAGTGAGAAGTTGTCAGATTAGTACAATAATTTTTGCCTGCACAATGGGACTTCCTCCTTCTATACGCCCCCACTCCACATAGAGTGAAGAACTTGGTGCTGTTCTTAAGGAGATCCTGAATGGCAGATGGGCCTTGGCAAATGCCAGATCATGCTAACTTACAGGGATTATGTAATGTTTGTCACCCAGAGAACTAGTTTCCCAGGGCTCTCTGAAATTACAGTGATGACCTGTATCAAGAATGTCTGCTTTTAAACTGCAATTCTGCTGCTCCTCACTTGGTTGATTGTACATGATTTATGGATGGATGGTTCCAAACCTGTGAGACCTACCTCAGCCTATAGCCGGTGGGTTTTATTCCACAGATCCCACAGAAGCCACATGGCACTCGGATACTTGCAGCCACATCAGTCCCAATCCCAAGAATGGAGCCTCCACCTCCAATGAGTGCAGCTTCCCCTCCGCTAGAACCTCCGGAGGTTTTCTTGTGGTTGAAAGGATTCAAGGTTTGTCCAAAGAGTGTATTGCCACAGTCAATGCTGAATGGGATGGAAAGGGGCTAGTAAGTTAATGCTCCAGTAAGGAAGAGTACACAAGCAATCCTTACAGTTGTTAAGGACTGCAGCAAGGGTATTTCTGAGAGCAAAACTACTATCAAAATCTTCTAGTGACTGGGTGTCACTTTCTCCTGTGAGACGATAGCTATTCAAAGTGAAATATGGAATGTTTAATGGAATACTTTTGTCTGTCTTCCAGCATTTTAGCTCTGTTGTACTGCACTTGTGGTCCTGTCCTTGGAGGATTCTGTTGTTGAATGTATGTTTATCCTATATATCTGAATGGTGGAAAGACTGCTTTCCTTGGTAAAGGTTGTCCCTTAATAATCACGTACCAATTTCATTAAAAACAGGGCCTTTCACTTTGAATAGCTATCATCTTACAATAGCTATCACTTTGAATACAGCTATCATCAATATGTTAGAATTCCTGCTCCGTGACTGCAGTCATAGGATTGTTGTCTTTCACATGACGATATATGTTTTGACTCCACAGAGTGGGAAGTGACAGAGACAGGAAGTTTGTGTTACTGTGTTCCGTGAAGTGGAACTATTGTCCTTCGTTCTTTCTCTTTGCTGTCTGATGCTAGAGAGAGAGGGAGCCATGTTGCAGTGTTCCATGTGTGTTTATATGTAAATAAAGTAGATTAGCCAAAATGCTGAGTTGCATTCTTATGTAAGTGTTGGAGTGAAGAAGTGCTTTGTACAGTCTGTTCTTATCTGTTCAATTCTAGCATCTAGAAAGATTGGCTTGAAGAAGCAGCCCAGCATGCTTTGGGTTTCTTGGATTCGGGGGCCTCAGCCAGTTCTTTGTCATGAAAGCAGTAAACCATGAGATGACACTTGGAAATCGATCTTCACAAACACACCGTAGTTCTTCAAACTTCTCTCCTTTCTGCCTAGAAAAATAAGCCTAAAAAGCAGGGATGGGAACCTGTGGCCCACCAGATGTTGTTCAGCTGAAACTCCCATAATCCCTTGACCACTGGCCATGCTGGCTGGGGTTGATGGGAGTCCAGAACCATCTGTAGCTTCTCAGGTCTCCCAACTCTATCATGAAGCCTGACTTGGATTTCTTCCTGTTGAGTGAGAGTCAAACTGTGTCTGTATGGCACCTAGCTGTGATCTACTGGGTGCATCATTTCCTGGCATGGGGATAAAGTGATAGGAAAAGGTTGACCTCCTTATTTTCTGTGTTTTCAGTTGCTGTAGAGCCACCAAAACTGCCATTATTTACCTGGACTGCTAAGGCCCAGCTGCTGCCTTGAAGAATTAAACAAATGAAAGAAACAAACACGTACTTCACTATGGCCTGTGAAAGGTTGGTCTTTACAAATGGAATTGCCCCTTGTTTCTTTAAAACTTTGACTATCACAGAGTCCTCCTGCTCAGGACGGTCAAGAAATTTCACCAAGCCAAGTGTATTGGGGTACCCCTGGAATTAGAGAAATAAAGTGAGATACTTATCCTTACATCGGTTGACCATATCCCAAAAAAACCACCCAAAAACATTAGATGAGAAAGTAGAGGTGACATTTATTTTAAAGAAAACAACCACAGTCCCTCCAGTCATTAGGTAATATCATCAAATTTCACTTAAGAGTGAATTCAGGCATATATTTAGAGGGAATTGGGTTAGTCTAAGAAGCATTTGTAGAGCTTTAAATATAACACAAATAGCTTGAGAAATTAGCGTGCCCTCTCCTTTGACTTTCCCTCCATGCAGATGCCCATAACTAAAGGTAAAAATTGTGATGTTTATGGGAGAGGAGCAGTTCCACTGTAGGTGGGCAAACCATAGGGACACTCGCCCCCCAACTGGTGAGCCACATGGCTGATTTAATCATATTATCTAAACAAATAGAAATATAAAAATATACATATTCCTCTTGGCTTTAAATTCGCAAGCTTCCTCTGTTGCAGAGCCCTCCTCATCTTACCCTCATTGCAATTATTCAGGGATCACGGCAGAAAGTACCTTGCAGGCCACATCTTCCTTAATACTGACTGGGACTCCATAAAGCAATCCTTTCTCCTTTTTTTTGGTCTCCCGGAGCTGTTCCTCACACTCCGGAAGGAAGTTGGTCACACAGTTGATTTGCCGGGTTACCTCCAAGGCCTTTGTGTGAGCAAGAAACAAAACAGGGGGAGAAGGCGGCAAATTTGTGACAATATGGTCTCTTCTTGACTGTTCATGTTGTGAAGGTCTCTTTTCCACCTTGCAGATGCAGTGTTTTATCTGTGATCATCATGCAAGACAAGCATGCTAGTAGAAAACTGCAGCAAAAGGGTGTGTTCCAACTTCTGTTTGTAGCATAGGGTTCACCTATAAGTTCACTGTGTCGAAACTGGATATATGCTGGTCCTATTAGGATCTGGTTGGTTTCAGCTGTTATTACAGAAACCACTTTGGGGTCACCAGGTGTCGAAAAGCAATGTATAAAGAAACACCCAAACAAACCACTCTATTTGAGGGTGGATCCGCTGCCTATTCTCAGCACCACACAAGATTGCATACACTTCTGCAGCGGGCATCTTCCAGCTGCCAAGCAGGCACCGCATTCACTCGATCCACTTAGCAAAGCCCCTGCTCTCCTCCCTAGAAGCCTGAAATCCAAGTCGCTCCAAAAATGGAAATCCCTTGTAGCTTAGCTGCTAGGGACCATAATAAATCTATCACGGCTGAAAATAACTACACAGATCATATGGTACATGAAAGGCCTGAGTCCATTACATGCCCTAGATGCAGGGTGGGGGTGGGGAGGAAGATAGTAAACTCTCCCATTAAACCTGTAACTGTGACAGGCCTAGATGCGCTGTTAGCACAAATAGTGCAGTTTGCAAAATTTGACTTTTCTTGGAGCTGGATTTGAATTAGCTTGGCTTTTAGTGTGTACGCGTGTGTGTGCAGAGGATACAAGAAGTTTGGGATAAGGGAATAGTGTCTTGTTTGTTTGGTCTAAAGAGCAAAATGGTGGAGACTTTTATTTATTTTTTATTAAAATTCAAAATTATTCTGTGAGCTCAATAACCTTAATTCAAACGTATTAGACTAGTAATGTGTAAGTAGGGATGGTCAGTTTTAGTTTCTCTCACTAGCTCATTTTTCCAATCTGAAGTTCACATCAGTTTGCAATTTTTTTTAAAAAAGCCCATCCTCCTTAGTGTGAATTTTTCTTAATATTCATATATTCAGTTTTGCCTAATAGGCAAAGCCATTTCTCTCCCCACTAATATATGCACTTTTTTGCACAATATTACCCCACCATGTGCATTTTGGGACACATTATTTGGCTGGGGAATTGCAAAACAAAACTGTGCACATTTTGAACAACAGCTGTATTTCAGCTAGCATATTGCACATCAGTGCCTTAAAATGAGCATAAGAGCCATTATGCTGAGAGAGACAACTCATTTGTACTGTGTCACTTTTGAGTTTGTACAGTATGTATTCTGCCTCACTCCTTAAGTAGTAATAATAATAATAATAATTTTATTATTTATACCCCACCCATCTGGCTGGGCTTCCCCAGCCACTCTGGGCAGCTTTCAGCATATCTAAAAACTTCCCTAAACAGAGCTGCCTTCAGATGTCTTCTAAAAGTCAGATAGTTGTTTATTTCCTTGACATCTGATGGGAGGGTGTTCCACAGGGCTGGTGCCACCACTGAGAAGGCCCTCTGCCTGGTTCCCTGTAACTTCACTTCTCACAGTGAGGGAACCGCCAGAAGGCCCTTGGAGCTGGACCTCAGTGTCCAGGCAGAATGAATGGGGATGGAGACGCTTCTTCAGGTATACTGGGCCGAGGCCATTTAGGGCTTTAAAGGGCTCGGAAACGAACTGGGAGCCAATGTAGGTCTTTCAGGACCAGTGTTGTATGCTCTCGGTGGCCACTCCCAGTCACCAGTCTTCTGGATTAGTTGTAGTTTCTGAGTCACTTTTAAAGGTAGCCCCATGTAGAGTGCATTTCAATAGTCCAAGCAGGAGACAAACAAGGACATGCACCACCCTGGCAAGACAGTCTGAAGACAGGTAGAGTCTCAGCCTGTGTACCAGATGGAGCTGGTAAACAGCTGCCTGGACAAAGAATTGACCTGTGCCTCCATGGACAGCTGTGATTTACCCCCAGGCAGTCTTACCTTTTCCATGTAGGTGTAGAGAACACTTTCTGGAGACAATGAGCCATCTTTCAACTTTGCAGACAGTTCCACAAGGGGAAGAGCTAGGATTGGAGCAGCTTTCACTCCTGGGTTCTGCAGCAGGGAGCAAACACATTGCTGGCAAACTGCTATGTCGTATGCACTCACTTGCTAGACCAACACTGCTACACAGCATTGTGGACACATTTCACTTTCAGACATGCAAAGCAGGCTACAGATTGGCCAGTCAGCAGCAGCGTCACATGGGTGCTCAATGACTATATATCTAATTAGTAGCAAAATAACAGCTCACTGATGACCAGGAATGGGTACTGACCCCAGGCTTTAGCAGCTAAACTGATCTCCACCCTGCTTTGTATGGCAAGTCAGAGAGATATTTTATATGTGACTGTATTTGACACCTAAGATATCCTTAAAAAGATGGTACAACTGAACAAGAAAATTTTGAATTTGAAGTACTGACTTTAAAATATTGATTTCAACCAATTACACACTTCCTCACCTCTGCACTGTGGTCACCAAGAGTTTTGAAACAGTTCTGTATCACAAGCAGAGCCTGTAGTTTGGAACAGTTTCTCCAAAGAGGTAAATATATGGTAACAGATGCCCTCTGCATCCAAAGAGAGTTCTGGGCTGTATTTCCACAAAGTGCAAGTAGGAAGACTTAAAGCTAACAATGGACATTGTAAGTCTGCAGTCAGATATGAGGATTATTGTGTTAGATTTACTGATTGTAATGCAATTTATAGCATTCATTTTACACTGTGATGCCTTGTTGTGTTATGTAACTGTGGCTTTTTGTTCAATATACCACCATGGCACACTAAATTAGAAGTGACGGGAAATAACTGTATGCTGGTATACTGCCCCAAGTTTTGTCAATGCAACTCCCACCATTTTCTGAGTTAATGAGGTTGCAAGAGGACCTCCAGTAGATTCCACTAGATTTCCACGCATAGCTTTTACATTGCATGAAAGATCCCATACAATGTGAAAATGAACAGGTAAGGAACCATTGTGAAGATGGAATAAAGTGCTGTATAGATATGGCCAAAGTTCTCTCTGGGAACGTTACTCTCTTCACCCACCCCTGTGCAAAATGAGAGACAAGTGGGAAGGAGTTGCTCCTATCCAGAGACATACCAGCCCCTAGCATGAAAGTGCAGCAATGGCCTTGACAGGCACCAGCAATTGCCAAGCAATCCTTAGGCTCAAGTATCTTTTCTTTCATGACAGGTGATTTGTTAACAGTCTGCTAATAACACGGCCAGGGACAGCTGCATTCAGGCTGCCAGTTGAAATGCAGCAAGAAGAAAAAGGGAAAGCAACTTTATACCCTCTTTTCCATGACACAAGGTTTGCCTCAGTTTCAACAAGTTCCTAAAGTTAGATAGGGTGCATAAATTGGGGGGGGGGCCTCCCATAATAATCTTAGCTGAAGGAAACAGAGAAAGCATGGACTGCACCATCCTACTAGATTTATAGGAAAGCAGAGCTTTCAGGGGAAGAGCAATCATGTTAAATTCAACATACACATATTGGGAAAGTATATTGTCATCACTGTAAGACTACCTAGAAATAATTGCCATCTTTCATGCTATTAGCACTTTTGCAAACCTCAGCAATCAACAGCATCTCTGCAGAGAGTACCAGAAGAGACCCACTGAAATTTTGATACAAAGAAAAAAAACCCTTTATCCAAGTGATATGAAACCTCTAAAATATATTCACCTGTTGTTTAAACTGTCTTGCTGCTTTCTCCATACGTTGAAAGCCAAGCTCTCGCTTGCCCTTGGCCTCTTCAAGTTTCTTCTGCACCCGCCTCTGATTCACCCATTTTACCACCAAAATTGCAGTGGCTGAACCACAGAGCACAGCTGAGACAATGCGGACATCCACCTTTTCATCATGCAAGAGAGAGTTCACTTTGTCTAGAGCCATAGTGGGAAATCTGCTCACAGCTCTCAACCAGGGGGAGCTGCTAGAGCTGCGAGTTCCTAATAGCAAAGACGGCAAGGAAGGGAAGGAGGTGGTGAATTTTAATCCCACCCAGGAGCTATCAATTCCAAGCCACTGGGAAGCAGAAGCTTGTGCGTCTAGGACTGAAGAAAGTTTAGGAAAGTGTCTCACTAGCATAGCCAGGCACTGATTGACAGAAACTCCACGTCATTTGCCAATCATCAGTGAATCCACCCAAACATTCCAACATTCTTCTGAGCTCTTAATCTTAGCAGTACAAGATCCACCTGTTCCTTTCCATATTCTAGGGTTTGTTTTTATTTTATTAAAAAAAACCTTATCATCTTCCCAGGGGTGTGTGAGCATGAGGGAGACAATTGCAGGGTAGAGAGCCAGTGTGGTGTAGTGGTTAAGAGCGGTAGTCTCGTAATCTGGGTTCGCGTCTCCGCTCCTCCACATGCAGCTGCTGGGCGACCTTGGGCCAGTCACACTTCTTTGAAGTCTCTCAGCCCCACTCACCTCACAGAGTGTTTGTTGTGGGGGAGGAAGGGAAAGGAGAATGTTAGCCGCTTTGAGACTCCTTAAAGGGAGTGAAAGGCGGGATATCAAATCCCAACTCTTCTCTTCTTCTTCTTCTAGAGGACATCAAGCCCAACTCATCAAATAAGATCGTGAGCAAGTGAAATTAACTTCCAGGGCAACATGTGATGAAAATCTATATGTGCCAGATGATAGCTGAGGTGCTGGCTGCAGTTTTAGGAACTGTCACAAATGGACTCTAGATAAGCTAAGAGGCACATCTGGGGGATGGATGGGTGGGTGGGTGGGTGGATGGATGGATGAATTGATGGATTTGCTTACTTACTTACTTACTTACTTACTTACTTCTGAAGATCACGGAGTGGTTTACAATATAAAAATACGTAAATACTACTAATAATAAACAAAAACAATAACCCCCACACACAGTTTAAGAGGCCATAGATTGTTTAATTAGCCAATGCTTGGGAGAAGAGGGCTGTTTTTGCCTGGCACCTAAAAATATGCAACAAAGGCACCAGGCAAGCCTCCCCAGGGAGAGCATTCCACAAGCAGGGAGCCACCACAGAAAAGGCCCACACTTGTGTTGCCGCTGTCCAGACATCCTGCGAAGAGAAACACGACAAAGGGCCTCAGATTATGATCACAGGGTGGCTTTAAAACAACTACAGTGGTACCTCGGGTTAAATACGCTTCAGGTTACAGACTCTGCTAAGCCCAAAATAGTACCTCGGGTTAAGAACTTTTCTTCAGGATGAGAACAGAAATTGTGCTCCGGCAGCGCGGCAGCAGCGGGAGGCCCCATTAACTAAAGTGATGCTTCAGGTTAAGAACAGTTTCGGGTTAAGAACGGACCTCTGGAACGAATTAAGTTCTTAATCTGAGGTACCACTGTACTTTGAATTGGGCCTAGAAATTAATTGGCATCCAATGCAGTTGCGCTAGGATTGGTGCAATATGTTCAAACCATCTTATCCCAGTGAGCAACTTGGCCACTGAATTCTGTACCAGCTGAAGTTTCTGAACTGTCTTCAGAGGCAGCCCCATATAACTTTGCATTAATCTAATCTAGATTTACTGAACCAGAGCTACAATTCTCAGAGAGGTTTAAATAATCCTGAAATCTGGAGAAATGTAGTTTGGTGTGGGGAATGGGGTCTCTCAGCACCCTTCACAAGTTACAGCTCCCAGAGATCCCTGGGGAAAGGGGTTGTTCATGCTACTTTAAATGTAGGGTGCAGGTGGGGCCTAAATTGAGGTATGGCAATCTGTTACCAGAATCTACATATGGGGGGATATGAATCCCTGTGGCCCATATGTGCAGGGTAAATAACAAAATGATCCCCTGGCTGCCTGGATTCAAAATGCAGGACTAAACTCACTCTCCAGCAGGAGAGAGCCCCCAATAGCAGAGTTCAAACTCACAAAACTCATGCAGTCATATTATTTGGGAATATAGGCTTTTCAGATATCATTTAGTCTGTGGCAACTCTCCCCTCTTTCTGTCCCTCTTGCAATGAACAGAGCACATAATGCTAAGTAAGTTTAAAATGTTTTACTTACAACATAGGCTTGCTGTGTCATTGTGGGGGCCACCATTTGCTTCATGGAGCAGCATGCAGTGGCCCAGGAGTCAGGGGAATGAGGGATCACATCGCACAACTGTGTGTGTGTGTGTGTGTGTGTGTGTGTGTGTGCAAGACCTCCCAATCCAACTGTGCATTTCCCACTGCAAAAACCAGCTTCCCAGACAGCCAATCAGGTGAGCGGTGGGGGGGGGGAGGGAGGCTGGGCAAGGACCAGGACCAGGACACCTCTCCCCTTTAAAAGGGAGCAGTGCCTAGTGCCCAGCCTCTTGCCCGCATGGAGCCTCCTGCCGTTCAATCACTCACCCTGCCACCCTGTTCTTGGTATGCATGGACCAGCCTGGTGATGAAATCAGAGATTGAGAAAACCCTGCATCACAGCGACATGTGGAATGTGAGCCAGTGGTGAGAAGGGATGTGGAAAGATTAGTAAAGCTGAATTTCACATATTTATTCAAAATAGGCCGTCTAATCTTTCCGAGAGACTTCCAGAAGAGGAATTTCACTGTGCTTGGGAACAACATTTTATTTTTTATTTTTTTAAAATCTCATATCCAATTTAGTGGAATAAGTTGGTCAGGCATTGTACCTACTACCTAGTGAGATAAGAGACTTCTTTGTACTTCCCTCCTGCCTTGGCAAGTCTCTCCCCACCACATATTTTGCTCTTTGGTATATAACTTTTAAATGCAGGAAAGGAAAACATTTTGCTGATCCAGAGATAAAATTTAATGGATTCCTAAATAGTTTCTTTTAACAAGCCTATTTAAACATAATTGAAATAGTTTAATCATCTTACTGCAGACAGCTGAAGGAAGACAGTTTGGCATCTTGGGCAGAAAGTCCTGAATACAAGGAATGTTTTGCTGGCGCTCATGATGGATTTTAATTTTATAGTATTTTGCACATAACTAAGAAAAAACAATTTTCCATAGCCATGAAATACAAAAGTTAATGCCTTTCCCCAAAAACATTAACTGGTTTAAAGATATGTTAAGAGCTCCTTTGACTGTGGTCATCCAGCAAAATTCTATGATTAAGCACAGTGTTGACAAAAATTGGCAACATCCACATTGGCTTTATATTCTTTTCACTTCCAGTATTCTGCATCAAAGATTTTTGTGCCACCTTAAAGGCTTAAATTCCTTGTTGTTTTTGCTTCTTTAGTTATCACAGCTTCTGTAGTTACTCCTCTAAGAACTGTTACAGTATAGCACACTTAAACAGTATATTTTGAGAGCTGAAACTAAACAACATCAGGAGGACACCATACTGACTGCTCGTACTATAAGAGAAGGCAACGGAAGACTTTGATCTATGTACATCCATACTTTGCTCTAAAAATGGCATCTCCTTTTTCCCAGATAGAAATGCAGCCAAGGACAAAGATGTCTCCAGTCACAGACAGCAGGAATGGCTGACCTTTGGCCCTCTAGATGCTACTGGACCACATCACCCATCATCCTTGTGTGGGATGTAATCCATTGGTACAGTTAAATGCAACTTTCCTTATTTCCCTAGAGTGGACACAGGCAGGGGGACATCCAGTCAGTGTAACTTCCTGTTCCACTGGTCTGGAGCTTCCTCCCCCTGCATGTGATCTGGGAGATGAGTGTGGCTCTGGCTGACTCCATAAAAAGAGCCAAGTCATGCAGCCATTTTCTCAGTCTTGAAGTTGCCTTGCTCCAGTGTTGTCTTGTTCTATCTTTTGCAGCCATGCTGCTCTCCTGCAGCCATTTTGTTGTCTTCATGTAATTTTGCTGTCTGCTGGCTCTCAGCCAGCAGCACATGAGTTCATTCTCCCTATGACATAAACTCACACAGTTTCTTTGTGTAACTAAAGTCTGCCTTTCAGGGATCAAATCGTGAACTGAAATGTGAGTAAACTTTTTGTTACTTTACTCAGAAAGACTCTTGAGTCTTTATTCTTTTAGGAGGGATAAAAGGGGACACCAGAAAATAATCTTAAGTAAGAGATTCAGACGAATCTGCAAACTAGCTTCCAGCTATATTGAGGGGAATCTGCTCTGCTACATCACTTACTAGCATGAGTGAAGGAAGGATAATACTTATTAAATATATCCTTTCCTACAGTCCTTAACATCCCCACACCTTGATCACTGGCCAAGCTGGCCTGGGCCGGTGGGAGTCCAGCATCATCTGGCAGTCGTATGATTACAGTTTAGTGTGTTTCCGGCAGCTCCCCACTCTTTGGCCTATTCGATGAGGGGGGTTAAATTAAATTACCTTCTTGTTTCACTAACTGATGCCACCTGCAATAGAAACAATGGAGAAAGAAAGAAGCAAACTAGTAGCAACTACCTTTTTAAAAAGGTAAATAGCACCCAACTGCCCACAGGTCCCTATGTGAACTGCTCAACTTCACAATACACCTCCAGCTAATTCTCTTATACTTGATGCATTTATCAATTTTCTTCATTGTACTCCCACATCTGTCCACTTCTGCACCTTGGTCATCTCAAACTAAGCCCATTGCTTTGCACTGGAGACAGAGAGGAATGCCGGCCACTGCTATGGAATGGGTAGGAAGCCACACATCCCACACAGTGGGCATCACACAGATAAACAATTTCCCAGGATAGCCTTCATTAAAAGATGGGTCCAAAGCAGGGCAGAGGTTGACACCCAGTTTCAATTTCCTCCATTTGGCAAAGAATTCTGCACAGTAAGTCTGTGAAGAAAATTTTGGTGAAGCTGCAAGTAAGAGAAAGATTCTAGACACCCATAAACTTTGTTTTTTTAGGATGATTACATTGCCACCTTGTGGCTGATTCTGAAAAGAGCACAGTCTCGAAGAAATATCCCAGTAGAAAAGTAAGAGTCCCCTAGTGCATTTTAGAAGCAGAATGGAAAATAGACCATGTGCAGTGGCGTGTGAAGAAATATTTTGGAGGGGACCCGTTACGTACAGAGGCACCAGCTTGCAAGGGCCTTTGGTGGGGGGCAACGCTACTCACGTGAGCGGCATTCTCTCCCTTATGGAACGTTGCCCTGGGAAAAATGCAAATAGAAATTGGATAGAAGGAGTTATGCTACCTAGGCAGACTAACCCTAATCCACACACATACCAAGGATGGGCTGATCACTGTGTCAAGCAAAAATAGGAAGAAGGTGAGGTGTGGGAGATGGAGGTGCCTGCAAGCAGGTGTTGGGTCTTTGGTGCTTCAATATGTAGCCTTCTCCAAACTGGAACAAAGAGAGAACTGCTTTTGTATAGATTAGGATACAACATTATCCATTTCCAGAATCCACTGCCAAAATCCAGGTTTGCCTCGGTGTTGTCCTCTTCATATTAATGGAAGAAGCCAGTAGGCCTAGAGTAAGAAGCGAAGTCCAGATTGCTTGCACCACAATTCCAGGTTGATCTTCACACCTCACATCTACAAGCCCCACCCTGAATCTTTGTTCTTGGCTTCCAAAAGCAAACACCATCCACACAAATGTGTCTATTCTGATATGTGGTCGCTAAGCAGTTGCTAAGGATATTTGGCCTTGATATCAAGGGAGCTACTAATTTTCAGTCTATCTGAGTTATATACACTTAACTTTAAGATGAAAGGATAGGGTAGAATTAAGAGGTTTGTTTTATATCATTGTAATAAAGAATGGCTATATCACAAGCATAGATGCCTCTAACAAGCATTGCCTTACTAGGTTGCCCAATACACAAGTTGCCCCTCATGCTGCTGCTTTATTAGGGTGGCTGTCTTACTAGAACCATGTTTAAAGAATACAAAACGCATTTTAATCACAACACGAGGGCCAAACAAGATGTAACTCTAGCTTTTTCCCTTAATTGAAAGTAGACACAGTGGGAAGCCACTTACTATTGGGCATCAAGTGAAGTAGAATAACCTTTTCTTCCCTGCACAGTCCTCAAAAATAATATTTCTTGGTGCCATTAATCTCAGGAACAAAAGTTCTCATTTGCTCTGTGGGAGTCTAGCCTAGCTTTCTCCTTGATATGCTAGTCTGTAACTTGAGAAGTTGTTTGTTCACTATGCATTTGGACAACACTTAAGATATATCATAACCAAACTGTGCATAATCTTTCCTGAAATCAGTAACAGATTTTTGATTATGCTTCATTTCATTTATATGCCATTGTGAATCAAGATGGTGGACTCAAGCTACGAAAGCTTAACTGATTTTTGGGTCGCTTATAATTCCTGAATAATGCTGAGTATGAGGTCGCTGTATTCTATACATGAGAGTATATTCTGAATATAGAAACATTTGATCATGTACAATCTGAAGTAGTACAGTGCAAGCACGACTTCTGCTGTTTGTGAGAACTAGGCCTTAGTCATAAATAGCCTCCCGCTGAGTAGGATGTTGGATTTCACAAATAACCACGCCTTAACCTGCATTTTAAAATATTTCATAAGTGAACTTGGAGATGTTCTAACCCTCACTGTGGTAGGTTGCATTGTTCCATTAGTATTGATGCTATAATCATTTTGGAGTTCTCCTCTCATGAACAAGAGTCTCCACCTCCTTCATGAACCGAAGACACAGCTCCTCTTGCCAACACACAGCCACACACTGGACAGCCACAGGGAGCCCAACAGCATCGCTGACAGCCTGAAAATGGAGAGGCAAAAAGACAGGACAACCCAACAGCATTAGAAACCTTCAAGGTATAGTTAGGTAGCATAAGGACTGGGGAAAGGCAGGTGGGTTTTTTCTGGTAAATGTGCGCCGACCTCTTTCATGCGCTTGTCCCAAGGGTCACCATAATGCCCTGTGTAGTGTTTGAGCTCTTCTTCATCGGCTTGAGAAACAGTGGTGACTGGCACAACTCCAGCAGGAAAGTTCAGGAGGTTGTATAAATTGGTGTAGGATGTAGCAGCTGAAAGTACAGAAAAGCTATAAATAACGTGACCTGGGTTTTTGCTTTTGTTTTTAATTTGAGCAAGACTTTTGCTGTTGTTTAGAACTACTCTGAAGGGAAACCATAGCTAACTGGGATTTCCCCCCATTTAAGTTAAGCTGAAACCAGAGGCAAAACAAGGCAACATGGTGCCCTCCTGATGTTGTTGGACTACAACTCCCATCAGCCCCAATCAGCATGAGCCAAACTGCTCACAGGTCCAGGAGTGAACTGCTCAACTTCACGATATGCTTCCAGTTAATTCTCTTATTTGACGTGTGTAGCTATTTATTATTTGTACTTGTAGCCTTCACCAAACGGCCCCACATTCGTACATTTTGACCCCTTGGTCATCTTGAGCTAAGTATGTTTTTGGCATGTAGGAAGATAAAAAGGGAGTTGAGAAACAGACAAGAATTTATGTTACTGCTATGGAAAGGTGGGGAGGCCACATGTCACCCACAGTAGACATTACTGGGACACAGATAATACCAAATAGTTTCCCAGGATAGCCCTCATTAAACGCTGGACCCAAAGCAGGGCAGAGGATGACATCCAGTTTCAGTCTCCTCCATTCAGCGAGGAATTCTTCACGATACATCTGTAAAGAGAATGTTGGTAAAGTTGGAAGCAAGAGAAATTGTGAACACACAGAAACTTTCTTATTGGAATGACGAGATCGCCACCTTTGTTCTATTTATTATTTATGAAAATATTAATACCCACAAAAAAAATACCAAAGGGGTTTACAGCAATTAAAATACCATAAGAACAATCAAAAAAGAGATGCCTTTAACAGAATTATCGTATTATCTGAAGCATCTGCTTAAGTCTGGCAGCAAAGAAGCAACTTTAGCAAATCCTTGAAAGTCAATGCAGAAGGCACCTCTCTATTGGAGGAGCATGTAGGCAAACAACCCTGAAGGCTCAGTTTCTTGTCAAATGAGTCTCACCAATTTGGGGGGCAAGAGATGATGCTCCTACAGATTACCTCAGTGATCCAGCTGGGATATAAGCATTGTAGCTGATAATGGAACAAGGTCTCTTTTAAAAAAGCAGGGTCTGCCACAGCCTACAAACAATACCCCAGTAAAAATACACACACTACCCATCAAGTATGAAGGGTCTCTTAATGCATTTTAGAAGTGAAATAGAAAACAGACCCCCTGCCCTTCAAATCTGAGTTTAAAATGTGGTGTTTCTGTTAACAGCCAAAAACAAAAGATCTCAGGTGAAGCAACTCATAGAGCTGTTTTGTATAGTATCATTCTTATATGGAAATCCATTCTGTGTCAAAAAAAATATAGCATCTGTTGAACATCCATATATGCATAGCTCACTGGACAAGATTAGATGGCAATCTAGTTATTGTATGAAGCCTTATCTATTTTTTTAATAAATTTTTATTCAATACAAGTTAAAATACATAATCACAACAAAAGAAAATACAAAAGAGAAAAACAAATACATCTATCCAAGGAAAAGGAATTAGAAAATATTTTGTCTCTTTTCATATTTACAGTTATTTATACCTCTATAAAATGCCATTCATGATAACACAGTGAAATGAAATGTAAGATATCAGAATAAAGAAAAAGGGAACAAAAAGAGAATAAAAAAGTAAAAAAAACAGATCATATATGAATTTTTTTCAAAATAGATAAGCACTCACAATACATAGCCATTTCCCATCCACATTTACATTCAATTGTATAATTTCGTCTTGTCCTTATCTACCTTAAACAAATTGTTTCTTTTGAAAGAAAAAAGAAAAAACAGAAAAAGGAAAAGGAAAAAAAAGACTTCCACCGTTTACCTCACGCGTTTTTAATAATCCGTTCTTCAGAGCCTCTGTTCTTCATATTTTCCCTTTGGGTTTCCTTAATGTCTCTCTTTGTATTTATTTTTTTTTTTTATATTACGCACAAGGTTATTCTAAACACAACCAGATTTTTGTGGTTGAGCCCTGGTTTTGTAAATAATCATTTAAACACTCCCATTGCTTCATAACCATAGTTTTGGATTTTCTCCTTATTATATCTGTCAATTTTGCTAATTCCAGGTACTCGCAAAGTTTCCCCAACCATTCTCCTTTTGTTGGGATGCTTTCCTCTTTCCAGTAGCTAGCAATCATAATTCTTGCCGCTGTTGTCGCGTATAGAAATAAGTTAATTTTCTCTTTGGGGATATCTTTATCTAAATATGCCTCTGCCTTTTTTTAATGTGATGTCCTTATCAATTTTTTTATTTCGTCATGGATCATGTCCCAAAAGATTTTAATCTTTGGGCAAGTCCACCACATGTGATATAATGTACCTTTTGTTCTGTTACATTTCCAACATTTGTCGTTGTTCCTTTTATTTATTTTTGACAATCTGTCAGGGGTTAGGTACCATCTGTGGTGCATTTTTCTGAAATTCTCCCTTAATAAATCACAAGCAGTAAAATTTATATTTTCCTCCCAAAAAGTTTTCCATCTTTCCAGATCTATCTCATATCCCAAATCGTGCTCCCATTTTAACATGTTTTCCCCTTTCGTCTCTTGTTCTAGGGTGGTTTTCATTAATAGTCTATACATTTTTGCAAGTATTTTTGATCACTCTGTAGTATTTCCTTTTCTAATTTTGAGGTTTTACTTTCAAATCCCCCCCTTTTTATGTCTTTTTCTTAAGTTGCTTTTAATTGATAATATTGTAACCAATTTATTCTAAATGTTTGTAATTGTTCGTAAGTTTTTAATTTAATATTTCCATCTGCTTCCTCTAATATTTCCCTGTATGTTGGCCAAGTCTCTTTTACATTACTCTTTAATGTTGTAGTTGCTTCCACTGGCGAAATCCATTGGGGAGTTTTCTCAATAATTTTTCCTTTTGTTCTTTCCCAGACATCCAATAGAGCCTTTCTTACTATGTGGTTTGTAAATTTTTTGTGTTGTTCTTTTTTATCATAGAATAAGTAGCCTTGCCATCCATATATTTTGTCCCAGCCCTCTAATGTTAGGACTTCATTATCTTTTAATAATATCCATTTTTTTATCCAGCACCAACACACTGCCTCAAAATACTTCCCTAAATCTGGCACTGCGAATCCTCCACTTTCTTTTGGGCCCATCATTACTTCTGATTTTATCCTTGCTTTTTTTCCCCTGCCATATAAAATTTGCAAGGTCTCTTTGCCAGCTTATAAAATATTTAGTTCCTATTACAATTGGAATCGTTTGGAATAAAAATAGAATTTTGGGGAGTATCATCATTTTAATCATAGATATTCTTCCTCCTAATGATAGTTTTAATTTTCCCCATTTGTCCATACTTCCTTTAATTTATTTCCATTTTTTAATATAATTGTCCTTAAATAAATTTGTATTTTTATTTGTAATCCATATCCCTAAATAGTTCACTTTATTTTCTATTTTTAGTCCTGTTATTTCTTCTAATTCCTTTTTTCCTTTCTCGCCTATATTTTTAGTTATCAATTTCGATTTATCTTTGTTCAATTTGAATCCTGCTACTTCACCAAATTCTTTCATCCTTTCCAATGCTTTATTTATACTTTATTTTGGTGTTTCGGTTGTAATGATCACATCGTCTGCAGATGCTCTTACTTTATAACACTGTGTCCCAAGACATATGCCCTTTATTTCTTCATCCTTTCTCAGAGCTATTAATAGAGTTTCTAATATTGTTATAAATAGAAGTGGGGATAAAGGACATCCCTGTCGCGTCCCTCTCTCGATGTCAAATTCTTCTGTAATTTCATTGTTTAGGATTAATTTAGCTGTTTGTTTTTTGTAGATTGCTTGAATTCCATTCATAAATCTTTTACCTAAATTTAAGCTTTCACATGTTTTGATCATAAATTTCCAAGAGACACTGTCAAATGCCTTTTCAGCGTCTACTAAAAGCATTACAATTTCTTTACTTGGATTCATTCCTATAATTATTCTAGTATTCTAGTGTTGTCCTTTATTTGTCTGGCTGGTAAAAATTCTGCCTGATCTTTTTTAATTATCCTTTTTAGCAGAGTTTTCATTCTATTTGCAAGGACTCCAGTAAATATTTTATAGTCTATATTCAATAAAGATATTGGCCTGTAGTTTTTTTATAAGTCTCAAATCTGTACCTTGCTTTGGGATAAGGGTTATTAATGCTTCTTGCCACGAGTTAGATATTTCTCCTTTATCTAAAATTTCATTCATAATTAATTGCAATTTGGGTGTATGAAGCCTTAATGGTAAACATAAACTCACCGTTGCTGCCACATGGTGGTTCCATAGGTTTTTTGCTGACCTGCAACATTGGAAATAATGAAGAGATGACTGCCCAGCAGAAAGAGAAGTACTCAAGAGTGCTGCTTAAAATGTGTCAGCATGATTAGGAAAAAAAAATGGGATGGTTCCACCGTGGCTCTGCAACAGTGTACAAAAATGGGATGCCGCCCACCCCGTGCTGGTTAATGTTCATTGGCTATGTGGTAATTCACAATCAATCTCTTCATAAGAGATCAAAAGAGGACTGAGTCAATCACTCCGTGGGACTGGAAGGGATGAGGAACCAGACTCTCCTGCTTTGTGCCTCATGACCTCTGCACCACTTTGCAGCCTCCCAAAGATGCCTGCTGTCATATGAAAGGCATAGCAGAATAGCACTGAAGCTATATACATATTGCATTAACCTTAAAGTTGCCTGCCAAACTATAGAGATAAATGGGACCTGAAAGCATCCAGATTTCCTTACAGACAGCATTCCTCTGTGACTAGAGCAAAGTTGCCAACATACAGTCCATTTGCTGGGTACTACACTCTCCCTTCCATCTGTACTTCCTGAAAGCCAGTAATAGGGAACCTGCAGCCCACCAGATGTCATTAGATCCCAACTCCCATCAGACCCAACCAGCATGTCCAACGGTCAGGAATAACAAGAGTTGCAGTCCAGCTACATCTGGAGGGGCCAAGCATCCCCATTGCTGCTGGAAGGTGATGAAACTTTACGTTTCACAGGAGAAGTGGTCAACCTGTGGCCCAAGGGCTGCACATGATCCTTGGAATAACTTCATTTGAACCTCAGCCTAATTACAAATACTGTCTGCAAGTGATCAGTTCTGTCCTCTGAGAAGAGCAGATCCGTCTCTTCCCTGGCAGTCTGCTGGGCAAAGAGGAAGCAGGATAGAAGAGGGTGTTGGAAGAGGAAGAGGAAGGAAATGGAAAGAAAAATACCCGCAGTTGCATGTGCCCCCCAGCAGATTACCCCCAAGGCTAATGTCACCAATGATAATCTTTAAACCAGATGTTTCTTACCCAACTCCACATAGTGCATTGAGATCTCTGGCAATCCGAGGGTACTGGAGAGAAACACAAGCTTAGTTTCATTGTGAATCCCCAACAATCACATCATTGGTGTTGAATACCGTGTTACCTCGAGTTACAAATGCTTCAGGTTACAAACTCTGCTAGCCTGGAAGAGTTACCTCAAGTTGAGAACTTTGCCCCAGGATGAGAACGGAAATCTTGTGCCGGCGGCGCAGTGGCAGCAACAGGCCCCATTAGCGAAAGCATGCCTCTAGTTAAGAACAGTTTCAGACTAAGAACAGACCTCTGGAACGAATTAAGTTCATAACTAGAGGTATCACTGTACAGAGCAGTCACTTCATCTCTTTGACATGTACTCACCTTACTCTATCCAGCCATCCTACCCTATGCTTGTCAGCATCTTAAAGCACGTGCAGTTGCAGTGAAACAAAGGAGCCAAATACTTACTATAGGTTTCAAGAGGAATGCAAAAATTCTCTTCACTAGGATGGGAAGACGGTAACAATTAATCTGGGATTTCAAATTTGGGTCCACAATGTCTCCTTTGCTGGAAGATGAAAGAAGAAGAAAAGGAAGTTTTTCAGTTTTTATATCTGAAGTTACATTGCTTAACCTGGGAAAGAATTTAGGTTCCTGAGAATCCCAAGTGAGAATAAACTTGGAATGATGCCTTCCTGATTTCCTAGCTTACAGATAGTTTCATAGCTCACCTGCTTTGCACACAACAAAACAAAAGTTCTGCCCTGATATCTACATTGAAAAAGTGCTCAGGTAGCAAGCCTGTGAAAAGACCTCTGTTACCTTGGGTAGTCTTTGCCAGTAGCACTGACTTAGAGGAACCAATAGCCTCATTCAGTGTTGTAGCTCATGGCTGCCTAACTTCTTATATTGCAAAGTTTGTGAAGCCAAAGTTAGTTTATCCTCTTGGCTCCATTTGGCTATGTGCTTTGCATGGTAAAGGTAAAGGTAAAGGGACCCCTGACCATTAGGTCCAGTTGTGGCCGACTCTGGGGTTGCAGCGCTCGTCTCGCTTTAATGGCCGAGGGAGCCGGCGTACAGCTTCCGGGTCATGTGGACAGCATGACTAAGCCGCTTCTGGCAAGCCAGAGCAGTGCACGGAAAAACAAAATGAACTTTTCCTATCCCTGAGTTTTCCCTAGCATTAAACATACTCTGATGAAAATCTGTTATTTATTAATGTGCCAATTATTATCAAAAAAGCTATCCTGGGCATCACGCTTTTCCAATGCATGGCTATAATAGCAATGTTATCAAGCAACAGCCATGTTCACATACCAGAACGTCTACTTACAACTTGTCCAGCAAATTTGCACATCCATCGGAAAATAGGCCTTTGGTGTAGAGCTCATCAACCACATAATTAAGCCGAGGAGGAACAAAGGGGATGAGCTGTGAAGAAAAGATAACAGCTTTTATTTGACAGCAGGCAAAATTATATGAGCTGCACATAAGGATTATGTAATCCACCCCACTCTTTAATAGATTCAGAGAGCTCTCTGAAAGTGTTGAGGAAAATGAAGCAAAGTTCTAGTAAAGGGTTGGGTGGTAGAAGTGCAACAGGAATGGAAATTTTCTATGCTCTCTCCTCATTTTGCAGCTAATTTGCCCCAGAAATTATAAGCCCTGGGCCTATTATGTTCTTCATGTATACCCCAGATAAATTTTGACTACCACACACAAGTGTTTAAACAAAATGTCACACAGATACATTCTGAGGACCAGGATTAGCAGCCGTTTCTTATGGAATGTACTCTCTAGCACTTGCATAGATTTGTTGAGTTGTGTGGATTGGTTTCCAAAATTCCAGATAGGTTGATATTAAGGCCAATGTATGTGCAATAAATTTCCCACATAGGAGGTTTCCACACTCTGTGTATAAAACTGTGTATCCATGTGAGCAACTAAATATGTGTTAGAACCAAGTGTGCACATGTGGTGAAAGATATTCATGTTCATCGAGCATGACAGTATACAAGCATTTTTCCTGCACAGAATTCCTAACTGTAGAGAAATGGCATATTTTAATGGCATATTTTCACAGCTCTTCTGTTATACAAATACATACATAAGAAATCTAATATAATTACAATTGCCTGGTTCACATACTGTGCTTGTTTTCATGAATATATAGCAGGGAAAGGCAAGGAGAATGTCTGGATGGACAAGGCATGGTGTGAACTGGGCCTCATTCCCCCACCCAATAACAAAAACTGAAAGCAATGTAGATCTGACAGTGTTCATCACATGACCATAGCAGCTGGGGCAAAGTGTCAGAGATACAAACAAAATCCTAGAATGGAATCTGGGTGAAGAAATTAAGAAACAGACATACTGTATGCCCTCTGAGTTGAAGAAGATTTTTGGTTTCCCGAACAGCCCTCCTCATGCTGGGAGATGGCTGGAAATAGCCATCGTCTTCATAGTATCCAATCCGTAGGGGCTTTGAACTGCTGTATATCTGGAAGAAGATGAAGAAAATAGGAACTTCTATTTACAGGTGGCCATTGAAGCATAGAAATAGCTTCCAACCACTTTTATAAACCACATCATGGATCCCTGCAGTGGGACTGTTTCTTCAACACTGATCAAAAGATTTGGAAGGTGACAGAATATAGAATGCCTTGAAGGTTTTCTAGATTTCCAGGTGAAGATTGCTACAAGTAAGGCTGCTTGTGTCCTTGAGCTCCATGGCCTGTTTAAATTTATTTTTATTTTGAATAATTTTAAAGCCAGTTGGCTCAGCTGTTGATGTTAATTGGCACATACAAGCAAGGAGCATATCTGTTTTATCTGTTTTACTCTTATGTGGACTTAAAAGCCATATATTTTAATTGGAGGACAAGTGCTGGGAGAACAGCTGTTTTGATTGAGTGTTTAGCATTCAGCTGATAAAGAATGTTCAGAAGCTAATCTCTACCAAAGGAGACCCTGCACTTTTAACAGTTTTAATATGGTTACCACACAAGCACAGACCAGCAGTGCTTCAGATAAATCATTTGGAACTCTATTGCCAAATTTAGCCCAGAAATCTATGCTGGACTATTGTGAATCAGCAACTGGAGCAGCTGGAGGAAGGGAGGCAAAGGTAACTGCAAGGCTATTGTGGCAGGATGAAATTAATTTGTCTTATATGGATAGCCCTGGTTCTTTACATAGTGAGAGTGCAATAAATGAGGCTGGAAATGACTTATCCCAAGTAAGAAGTTTTGCTACATATTCCTCCAATGAAAGCTTAGCTTGTTCAGAAACTTTTCTTCCAAATCTTTCATGTGCCACAGGAATAATATTGCAAAGTATTTGAAGTTGATCAAAATAATAAGTCTTACTGAAGAAGCTATGGGACACTGGGTCTGTGGAACAGTTAACGGGCTGAGTTTGAACTGATATGATGAAACTGATGCACCAGGAGTCAATTAAATGGCCAAAATATTGGCAGATGCAGAACTGCATCAGATCATACATTCTCAGTGTTACGATCGTTGTATAAATTATTTGAAAGGGTCTCATGGAAAGCATCATTCATTGTTGACCAAGGGTTGTGCTGTCCATGGTGCTGAATGTTTCAGCTTCTCCCTCGTCACTGACACCACTTACCTCCTCTCTGAATGGCATAGGTGGTATTGAAGGATCAAGGGAGAATAACTCATCACACAGGAGTGCCTTCATGCACAGAACCAGGCTGTCCACATCCCTTGCCATTGGGCCAATTGTTGCTGTAACTGCAAAGAAAATGGAGACATAGGAGGTGGAGGGGAGAAAGCATGTGGACTTTTATGCCCAAGTCTACATTCCAGTAGCCAAGAAAGGGGGAGGAACCACACAGGTCAGTGGTAGAACACATGCATTACACACAGAAGGTCCCAGGTTCAAACACAGACACCTCCAGTTAAAATAGTCACATAGTAGGGGAATTAGACAATACTGGGCTAAATGGACAAGTAGTGTAACCCAGAAAAACTGGGTTTAAAATTCCCAAGTTCACTTTCAGGTGTGAAAGTCAGGTACACAACTCCACTGACACACAATGGATTTCAGTCTGAATAGGATGCACTGTGATCTCTGCTCTTATAACCAAAAGTTCAAACTTCATTCAGTTATTTTAGTTCAGAGCTACCATACTAATGATTTGGTTGGTAGGGATAAGCAACATGGTGAGCAGATGATGCTGGATTCCAGCTCCCATCAGCCCCATTCAACATGGTCAACGTGCAGATGGTCAATGTGAGATAATGGAAGTTGAAGTCCAGAAATATCTAGAGGGACCCCAATGGCTACCCCTGGTTTACAGCAAGAGGACTACATTATTTAAATACACTCTAATGTCACTGAAAGGACATGCAAGTTCCTAGCATAGTTGCAGGTTCTTTTACTAATCTGAATGGGTTAAAATTACTTACCCGACTTCATGCCAGCAATAGGGCTAGCAAGACCAAGTGTGCTGGGAATGATGCAAATGAGAGAAAAAGAGTTGTAACTATCAACACAGTAGAAGATGATCCATGTTTCAGTTGCAAATCAGATGCAGGCATTCAGAAATGATACTAGAGTTCAGCTACACTGGAGTTAACAATTCATTCAGTTACGATTTGCTGGCATGGTAAATATTACCATGAGAGAATCGAGTTTGACTTTAGATGTAGCATGATATTAAGAACAGAGCAATCACATGTTTCAGATAGCCAGGTGCAACTTCTATAACGTGAATGAATGTATAGCAAATAAATTATGTAATAAACTAAAATTTAAAGTACTGACTTAAAAAGAATATATAATATTGTATATAATATTGTTGGGTATAATGTATCAATTATAATTAAAATAATAGAAACATATAAATTTATATCCCACTCTCCCTCCTAAAGTGGCCCAGGGCATTTAAATGTAGCAGTAACAGTTATGACAATAAATTTAGTTTTGCTCCAATTATCTCTGAATGCATAAAATTGGAATATTTATCACAGTCAAGGAAGTGTGTTAAATCCTTTCCAGCCCCAGGGGCCACATTCTCTTGTGAGCAACATTCCTGGGGCCACAGGCCCATGGCTGGCAGGGTTAGAAGGAAAAAGTGGCTGGACTGATGGATGTGACTCTTCTTTTGGTATTATAGGCGACAGTCCAGCCACACCAAAGGCAGAAGTTTCTATACCCCCCCACACACACACACATGCATCTCTTCATCTCAACAAACACAAGGCATTATGCTGCATGTACGGGGAGGGGGAAGGAGACTGCTTCTGTAAAACAGCCACTGCATTTTGTGGAATAAAAATGCATTTTTAAAAAAAATGCATTCCAGCCATCCAAAAACAATTAAGGAGGACACAGTGCAGGGCTGGTAATGGGAGCAGGCCCACATTTCATCCCCAGACTCAAAGTTCCCCACTCCTGAACTACAGGAATACCTACATTCAATATGCAAAGTCAAAAAGCACTGGTTGTTTCTGCTCAAATGAAGCATCTCCCACTAATGCTCAATAAACACATTCCATTAACATTCACCTGTTTGACTATCTGCCAGCCCAGGACCAGTTAATTGAGTGAACTTTCCAGGACCCACCTCAGTCGATTACCAGTTGGTTTGAGTCCACAAAGCCCACAGAAACTTGATGGGAGCCGAATGCTTCCAGCGACGTCTGTCCCAAAGCCCAAGAGGGACCCTCCTCCTGCAATGAGTGCCCCTTCCCCTCCAGAGGAACCACCGGGACTTTTCTTGTGGTTCAGGGGGTTGATTGTCTGACCAAAGATTAAGTTGCTGCAGTCATAACTGAGTGAAGTAGAAAGCGGGTTGACCATTAACGTTTTATAGGAGCTTTATGCCTTATACTCAAACAAAGCATGAGACAATGGGTTGCATCCAACACAGAGCTAAACAAAATGTTCCAACAGCACAAGGAGTTCTGCTTGTGCAATGAAATGTTCCCCCCAAACCCCTCCCCTAAATCTGTTCTGGGTTCTGGAGCACATTTGTGGACTGAGCAAAGCATGTGCCGGGTTGGGGGGGGGATTCCATTATGCTAACACTATTCCTTCCAATAGCACAACTATTAAGTTGAATATTGCCCAGTAGGTAAATAATAGAATGGAAATAGCATCAGACAATTGAGAAATACAGGGAATGCCCTTGAATGACACCATAAAGACTAATGCAAGGTAATGAAATAAGAACCATCTTGCAGAATCACTCATGGTCATTCAGATGCTGCAGAGAAATGCACAAGAAGGATGTAGTGGAAATAGCTTATCCCCTCTTCTGAGATGTATTTTCTCTGAACGTAGATGTTTCATTTAGCATGGTGAGTAATAAAAACCAGTGCTAATGTAGACATCCTGAAGAAAAAGTTGGTAGAATCCTAAGGTTGAAGAGTTGACTGTGGGTGGGGAATGCCACTATTAAGAACATAAGAATAGCTTGCTGGATCAGACTAATGACCCATCTACTCCAGCATCCTATTGTCACAGTGGCCAATCAGATGCCTGTGGGAAACCCACACAACTGAAAAAAAGTTCATTAAAAAGTTACCTGAAAATAAATAACTATTCAACCAGGGGAAAAGTTCTAATCTGCATACTCCCTGCTATGCAACATTTGATGTGTGGGAAGCATTCAAAAATACCACCAACCACCTGCATTCTGGTAAAATCCAGTCAACCACCTCATTTGTGTCCTTTTAAGGAAGAAGTAGAGAACTTATGGCTCTTCCTATCATGTTGGAATCCATTTCCCAGCACCCAAGCTAGTACGGTCAATAGTCAGGGATGATGGGAGTTGTAGCCCAGCAAAACCCACAGGTTCTTCATCCCAGCTCTATGCCCACTGGAGATGCACATGTGAGTGCAATGAGGTACATAACAAAAGCCCTGCCCCCTTCACCAGGAAGAGAATGCTCTTTATGGGGTGAGAGAGAAATGTAAAATTTCATTGGAAGTATATGAAGAACAGATTTCATTAATAATATAAAAGATCCTAGTTTCTATCTCCGGCATCTTCAAGTAGGGGTGTGAAACCCTCCTGTCTGAATCCTTGAAGACCCACCACTTCCACTCAGGGTAGTCAAACTGAGCTAAATGGCTCAGTGATCTAACTTGGCAAAAGTTTATCTACTCGTTAAGTGAGTGGACGCTGTTGGCGCAGGGTTTGTCTGCCATAACATATTATAGGAGTAAATTCCCTATCTTAATTGTGAAGAGATGCTTCCTATTTAATAATTCCTCCCAAATCACTCTCCCCCACATTGATCATAATCTATCAAACTCTGCAATGCTATTTTTCCAGAAAATATGCCATAAACAGCTCCCTCATTCTCTTAGAATGGCAATGGCGCCCACCAGAAAGGTGCCAGAACTGAGTTCTGGTGAGTGCCGTCTGAAAAAAAGCCCCAAATCTCTGTAATGTCCCCCATAGTGTTTTTTGCTACATTGGAAAGCCAAGCTACTCACTATTTTTATTTCTTTTTTCTTAGTCCTATGGTATATTTGTAAAAAGAGAAAGCAACAGGGAATTACAAAAGAAGAGAGTGTGCTAAAGTATACTTAATCATGCTTTGGGGAATGTTGGTCTTCACAAATGGTATTGCCCCTTGTTTCTTCAAAACTTTTACTATCACGCTGTCATCCTTTTCCACTTTGCCAAGAAAGTGCACCAACCCACACGTGGAGATGTGGCCCTTTGGGGGGAAACCAAACACAGCCGATTTAACATGATGGGGCAAACAAGTCTAGAGCTATGTGGCTTGGCCCAAGAACGAAACTGTTAAGCCTTGTTGGTAAAACAGATGCCATGAAACAAAGAAAGCTTTCCCAGATCCCAGGGGGAATGGCCCTGATAGAAGACATTGACTTATTGATTGATTGATGGATGGATGGATGGATTGAATTTCTACACCATCCTTCATGTGAGGATCACATGACAACATAGTAACAAACATACACAACATAGTAACAAACAAACAAAATACTCTACCCACAGTTTAAAGGGCCATAATATATTTAATTAGCCAATGGCCATATATTATTTAATTAGCCAAGGCCCACCCTGACGGCCTGCCATGGACTAGGAGCAAGTTTTTAATAATAATCATAATCATAATAATATACAGAATTAGAATGGATTCTTGACTATATTATACCCTAGCACCCAATTACAATTCTCAAACATTCATTCATTTGATTTGTTATATATCCCACCTTTCCTCCAAAGAACTCACAATGGAAGAAAATGACTCTCCTCCCCATATTTATCCACCCAACAATACCTGTGGAGTAGTTTAGGCTAAGAGACAGGGGCTGGCCCAAAGTGAGCCTCACAGGGGAGCAAGGATTTGAATTCGAGTTGCCTCAGCCATACTCTGACATGCTAATTTCTACACCATACTGGAGTCATTTTAAAAAGAGCTATTTCAACCTTAACATTTGTGCATTCATAGTGAGCGGAACCAGGCAATCCATGTAATATGCACTCATATCTGTAGATGTGCACATGCACACACAATTATGTATGCCAAATTTGGAAATGTATATATATATTTCATTGGAATGTGATCATGCTGTACTCCATTTCAGTTATCTCCCTTCTCTAGAGTTCCACAATGGCCAAAATTAAATGGGCCATACCCTGTATGTTAGCTGAAGCTGCTGTGAGAGGGGAGAAGTAATGATTACGTTGAACCAATCAACATCACAACTGATGCACAGACAGATCATCATAAGGAAAGTGGTGACCACATTTAAGGGTAAAAGGGGGATTAACCTTGCATCCAATGTGGTCCTTAATGCTGACAGGAATCCCATACAGCAGGCCTTTCTCCTTTTGCTTCTTCACTTCCTGGAGCTGTTCCTCACAGCCGTGAATAAAATCAGTCACACAGTTCACCTCCTGGGTCACTTCAAGAGCCTTGCCAAGGAGGAGGAGGAGGAGGAGGGAAAATAGGGAGAAAGAGAGCATTCACATTATAAAAAAGGTATCTCTGCAGTGAGTTCAAAATGTCATCATTGTCAAAAACCTTGGAAGGTAGAAGACTGTTAATTTGCTACTTGCAGCTCCTAAGTTTAACAAACTTAAAAGTCATGTCAGTCATTTTGGCCCAGTAAAAGCATAATTGAGATTTAGATGACCCAGAATTTGGTACAAATTCATTAAGAGTTGAGCCAGTGCAGGCTGGGGGACTCTGTAGCTCAAGGGCCATATTCCCTCATGGGTAACCTTCCAGGAGCCACATAGGTTGGGTCAGAGTCAAAAATGGGTGGAGTAAAGTATGTGACCTTTGTCCACTGCATCACATTTTGGGTATACAAGAAGACACACATCTCTCTCCAGCCAGGCAAGAAAAAGGCATGATCACATTTCAATAACACATTCCAGCCAGATAAAATCATTTGAGCATGGAACAGGGCCGTTGTGATGTGAATGGCCTGGGGAGAAGAAGAAGAGTTTGGATTTGATATCCCGCTTTATCACTACCCGGAGGAGTCTCAAAGCGGCTAACATTCTCCTTTCCCTTCCTTCCCCACAACAAACACTCTGTGAGGTGAGTGAGGCTGAGAGGCTTCAAAGAAGTGTGACTAGCCCAAGGTCACCCAGCAGCTGCATGTGGAGGAGCAGAGATGCAAACCCGGTTCCCCAGATTACGAGTCTACCGCTCTTAACCACTACACCACACTGGCACTGGGAGAGTGCTAAGGGGCGTGACAGTGGTCTGGGATGGCAGCAATTGGTCCAGGAACCAGCACTTACTCACTCCTGCCTAATGGCACAGTCATAGCCATGCTCTGCAGCATCAGGTGACAGGCATTGTTCTCCTATGAGCTCCAATACATTTCAAACCTTCAGCACTATCTGTTACTTGATATTTTTTTCCCCTATACCCTTTGTAAAATGAGGACATTGGAAAAGGTTTAAAGGGTGAGGGGGGGATAGATATCCCTATAACAGACACACTACATTGACAGAGCCCCTGGGACCAAATGAGCAACAGCTACCAATTAGTACATAAAAATGGTGCATTATCTGGAAAGTCACTTGGTTGAACAGAAGTATGTCAGAAGGCTTCCTGCTGAAGCAGTTGCACTCACCTTCTTTACATAGGTATACAGGACACTTTCTGGAGAAAGCGTCTCCTCTCTAAGTTTCTCTGCCAGTTCCACAAGCGACAGGGAGAGAATAAATTCTGACTGGACTCCAGGGTTCTGCAAGAGGAGGCAGCTGTGTCAGAAGGAAATGCTTATCCTCACACATTGGGAATAGCCCCAAATTATAAAAGTCACTTTGGTCACAAGCTCAAAATTGTGAAACCAGAATGCAGTCCCATCAGTTGTTGTTGTTGTTGTTTTTAAATGGTTAATTTTTTCCATGATAGGTCCAGGAAACAATAACCAAAACAAAATAGCAACAAAAACTAAAGTAGAAATTACAGACATTGTACATGCATCAGTCATAAGTTCCTCAAAAAGTAAACCAAGGTTGAGTGCCTATCCATTTGGAAGCAATCCCTAAAATAAGGTAAAGATTTCTATTTCCTTGGGGAATTCCTTAGTCAAGCAGAGGTACATAGATATATTAAGAGAGAAATACATTTCTAAAAAGGCACCCAAAACAGCTCAAGGTCTTCTGCCATTTCACGCCTTTTTGTCTGTTGGGGTCTGTATTGCCTTTGTCAGAACTTACTAAGGCTGTGGACATATTAGCTGTGGACATGGTCACAGCAAGAGAGGGTGGGCCACTCTGTGTGTGTGTGCTTGTGTGTTACGGAGGCCCTGGGCTGCCCAGACGACACACACATAACCAACCAACCAAATAACCATTCATATCTATTTATTCACATGAACAAAGCCTGTCTCTGGTTTCTCGGTTGCAGAGTTCTGAATAAAAGGACTCCAAAGAATGCACTGCAACAGGTGGTAGCAAAGTCCCACTTTATCTTAACAGTACAGAATTTGCAAGGTCTTCATACAGTCCTATTACAATGTTGATTTCCCAGTGAGTGCTATGATGATGCAGGTGATGATGCAATCAAAATGGGACATGTGTTGCAGATAGGGACATTGATGCTGCCTGTAATGAGGCCCCAACTCCCCATTTCAATTGTTTCTCCTATCTTGATCTTGCTCAGATTAGTGTGTACACTTGAAGTCAGGAGCTTGAAGCAATGTTGGAATATTTGCCAAATCTGTTAAACACTAATCTACAGTCCCCTTCAGAGTCACAGTCAAACTCTGGATCACCAGCTTGTTATTCCTGTTTATTTATGGGATTATGAACTCTTGAGTAAGTGCAGCAGAACTATCACCATCAGCCTCCCAACTTTTAATGCATGTTCCTCCACCCACAAATGCAGGACTGTAGCCTGCCTGTGACCAGCAGTTTCAGAAAAGAGATTTGCTGTTAAGAGACAGACTTTGGATACTGCTGCAAACATGCTAATCCTAACAATTTGGGCACCAAGATCCTGGGTTCAAAAGCCGAAACCAGCCCAAATGGCCTGACAGACCCACTCTCAAGCTAGTATTGGAAGAATGTGGGAGATACTCTGGTGACTTTTAAAAGTAGGAAGAATATTGGAAGAATGTGGGAGATACTCTGGTGACTTTTAAAAGTCATTTTGAATGGTTATGGGACTGGATTATGCAGTAAAAATCCATTTGTCCCCATACTTTAAAAAAAAACAAAAAACTACTGAAGAGACCAGTAACTTGTAACTGCTGCCTCCTGCCTTGTTTTTGCTGAATTAGCAGCACCAGAGTGACCTATCTGGCATCAAGCCTAGGCAGTGTCATGGAGGCCCTGGGCTGCCCAGACGACAAGACCCCCCTCTCAGCCTCACTGATGTGGTCCAAAGGAAAGGAAAGCAATACACTGGGCACCAGCTTAGCTGCAGGAATTGCCAGAATGAGGCGCACAAGATGCTGTCCGTCTTAGGGACTCAGCATTAGCTCAGTGCAGGAGTGCTTGCTTTGCATCCAAAAGGTCCCAAGTTTTATTTGAACTGCACAAAGTGGACACGATCCCTAGCAAACCGGACTGGAGTGCTCTCAGCTAGACATGATCACAGCCATTAAAAGTGTTGTTCGAGGAAGATCTCATTTTCAGAAGAGGCCTCCATCTCTTTCCCCTGCACCCCACCCCAATTAAAAGTTACCTTCTGTTTAAATTTCCAAATCATTTTTTCCATTTGTTCCAAGCTGTCGTCTCGCCATTGCCTGGCCTCTTCCATCTTCTGCAGAATCCTTTTGCGGGCCACCCATTTCCAAACTACAACCGCTGCTGCCGAGCCACAGGCAACAGCAAGAGCAGCCTGAGGATATAGCCCATCCCTGGGCAGAATCTCTATCAACTTCTCCTGGATCATGGCAAAGCCCTTCTCTCTGTCTTCCCAGTTTGCCTCTCTCTGACACTGGAGGAGGCTGGTGCTATTTAAGTATCAGTTCCTGAGCTATTTCACATTCCAAGAGACCATCAACATAGGGGCTCCCAAGATAAGACTCCGCCCAAGGCATCCCAGAAAATTGACCTTTGATCTGTTAAAACAGTAACTCAAGGTTGTTTTCCTGCTGGAGTCGACAAAAGAGTCCTTACAATTCTGAGCAGTCTCCTTCACATCAGATGTAACAAGCAACTACACCATTGCTCACTTCTTTTTTTAGGAGCAAAATAGTCATTATGACGACAACTTATTCCTTGTAAATAGAGCCTGTACATTACAAAGACCAGGTACATAATTTTCCTCCTCTCAGTGGAAACCAAGCCATCTCGCATATGCATGAAAGCACACACAAATAACTGGCCTGACCTTTAGAAGCCTGAAGAAAATGGCTAGGAGATGGGCAGACTTTGGTCTGTCTTAGCAAAGAGTAACAGTTATTCATTTCCAAACTTAAACTCATTTGCAGTTTATAAAATACTAACCTATGCTGCTGAGTAACTTACTATTGCATTTTCAACGAGCTCTTCTCCAATACCCCACACACAGCACTGAGGGTGAAGCAAGTTTTCACACACTTTGCTCACAGTTAGCAAGCTATAAACTCCCTACCTCCCCACTGGGTTGTGTGTGGCTATTTCCACAGTATTGGCTAGTAGATTGCAAGAAACCTTCAAATGAAACACAATGCAGTCTCTACCATGGTGCAACAATGGGGCCCTCCGAACTGTGCCACAGCTTACAGATGTTAGGTTGGCAGTGGGAGTCTAGAAGAGGGCATTTCCCATTGTGCCTCTCCCCACTTTTCTTGCTCTGCTTTTGTCAGCAGTTAACTCTGGCTTTCTGACTGCTATGGTTTCACTGACAATTGTGGTTTTCTAGTTTGAATGAACCATTTTGTTAATTTGTTACAAACGAAAGGCCGTGTACGAAGTTTTGAAAGAAGATGAACTATCACCTCTGCTGCGTTGTTGCAGCAAGCCCACAAATGACCACCAGACACAAAAGCACCTCAGTTATTTAATCAAAATAGGCACAGACAAGTCCATGGTTATTATGGGCCTTCCCAGGCGCAGGCCGCAGCTTCCTGCCATATCAGTTTCTGCAATATGTCATTCAATTCTTGTTTGATTTCTCTCGGGTCAGTTTCTCCACTTCCTTCATGAACCGGAGGCACAGCTCATCTTGCCATGGTAAAGCTACACACTGGACGGCCACAGGGAGTCCCACAGCCCCTTGCACTGCCTGCAGGGACAGAACAAGGGAATAAGGTTTTTTTCCTACCAAATAATGGCTTCTGATGCCCACTACAAAGCAGTTGCTTCCAAAACCAACATGGTGACAAACCTTCGCAAAGACCTTGTCCCACATATCATTAAAGTGCCCTCTGAAACTCTTCAGCTCCTCCTCATCCTCCTCTGTCACCGACGTGACAGGCACCACCCCGGCGGGGAAGTCCAAGTAGTTATACAAGATGGTGTAACTGGCTCCCACTGCAGAGTCAAAAGGACAGGTTAAAACTTTTAACTATAGATAAGGGCACCTGGTCAAATCTCTTTGGCACTTTATCTAATCCCTCTACAGCAGAAAGTGCTATACGATTCACCACTACGAGTCCTACGTGATAGATTCTCCTCCTCCTCCTTTTACTGGTGAGAAGACCGACTGGAGAAATCAAGACTTCTCTCAAGCAATGAAACATGGGCCACTTCATACAGGGACTTCTCCATGCCAGTGGCCCTCAATAAGAGACTGCAACATCTTTCTGGAGACTTCCCATGGGATCAGATTGGCCCATACATAGTAAGGCCCTGACAAATGTTACAGGGGAAGCACCCACTGAACACATGAGGGGATGTAATCAATGCAGCGTTATGCAATCGTTCCATCAGCACAAGGGTTCCTCCTTGTGCAGCATAATATTCTCATTCTTTCTCTTCCTCCTTCCCCCAAATCTGTCCTACGTGATTCCCCAACCCTCTGGAGCATATTTCAGGAAGGTGCATGGGGCAAGAACGGTGAGAAGTCCCATTGCACCAGTGGTCATCCTCGTGCTAATTCAACAAGTTTGTTGAACACCACCAAAGCTGAATTACACTAGCACTGCCACCATGCAACTGAGACAGGTGTTTGACAAGAACATGGGCCACTACTGCAAGCTCTCATCTACACAATTCCTCCAGCACACAAGTACACTTGCTCTCACAAAAGGGGTATAGATTCTCAATTATTCTAAAGCTAGAGCTAGCATGGGAAAAACCCTCCCACCCATCCAAGCCCAGCTGCAGCCCTTGTGACAAGTTGCTGTGAACCCATGGGCTTTCAGATGCTGCTGGATTCCAGCTCCCATCAGCCCCAGTCAGCATGGTCAGGGATAATGGGAGTTGTAGTCCTACATCTGGAGGGGCACAGCTACCCCACCCTGTCTTAAAGCATGCTGCTACACAATTTCTGACTTGGCCTGAATCATCTTACTGCATTTTTACATTTATATTTGGAGATGGAGCAACATCAGATGCACTCATAGCAAAGGGCTTGGTAAGGCCACTTCCGCCATAAGAGGAGGTGGTGTTGCGGGTTCTCACATCCCTCCCCATGCGCAAAGGGTAGGTGGCCAGCCCTGCGCAGTTGGGGTTTCCCGGCTGCGTCAATGGCCGGGCCAGCCAATCCAGTCGGTCAGGGGGTGTGGCCTGCCCATTAAAGGCAGGGCGCAGCCGGGAGATCTCTCTCTTTTGGCTTCCAGTGCTGCATCCTGGCAACTATCCAATTGTTTTGACTGCTCCTCAGTCACTGATGTAAGTCCCAGCTGAGACTTGGGCTACTTTAAAAGAAAGGCAAAGGACAACTGTTCTTGAGTCTGATGACTATCAAGTTTCAATCAAGGAGTGGTTAAAGAAAACTGCTTACAAGCAAAACTGGAGCAAAGAAACCATTTCCCAAGGCTGCATGACAAAAGCCCCTCTTCAGGCATCCTACATTAGGGTTCAGTCAGCAGGTGAGGGAGGACAGCAGCGATGACCAGGTTAGCTATGCTCACTTCTGCCTGGTTGCTGTTCCAGTCACCTGCCATGCATTGGAAGCCAAACTTCAGAAGCAGTGAGCCTCCTGTACTCAGATAGGCTCTCTGCGGTTTTTTAGAAGCTTTGACAAGGAGGCTCTCCACTTTGGAAGATCACTCTCCAAGCTTGTGGAGGGGGGCAGAGCCAATGGCCTCCCTTGAGTGTTTGCTTAACCACTAATGTAGAATGCTTGGTGACAACCAGAGAGATATTTGCTCTCCATTATGTTTTGTTTGCAATTCCCTACTCAACAGTGACTTAGAGAAGAAGTACTAATACACTGAATGTATTTCCTATCAGGGGTTTTTTTATTATTGCATTGCTCTCTTGTACATTCAGTTAGAAGTACAGAAGTACCATCAACCTCCTCTTCAGGCTGAGAAGATCTTCTGCCAAGAACATGAAAGCCACTACACATCACCCAAGCATATGTGCCTTTTAAGTAGGAATCTATTGCTGCTAAGCCACACTGACTCATAAAAGGGGGTCAGGTTGTGCAACAAGATATACTGTACATCCAGTCCCCAGAGTATTGTCTGGACAATAAAGAGGCTTCTGTGAACACAAAGGTTGACCATTCTTGGCTTACAGCATCAGAATCCAGTGCAAGTTGCAGTATACATGAAAGTACTCCAACATATACCAGTGCCCTCTGGAGACTTCATTTCCCATGCAATGTGGAATTACCTGACAGTCTCCCAGGTAACCCAATCTTAAAAGCAGGACCCAGGACAGGACAAAGCACCACATCTAGATCTAGCCTCCTCCATTCACCAATGAATTCCTGGCAGTATTCCTAAGAGGGGAGAATAGTTAAAAACAAAAACAAAAAATCAGCAGCAGCAGCAACAGGCATACTTCAGCATGAGTGGCTGCACATGACTGGCAGCAAACAAGAATCTAACCGGAAGAACTAAGCATGGCCCGACCTCCAGGGGGCCGCTAGGGGCGCATTGGAAGATGGCCGACAATACCATCTCTCCGGCTCACACGAGGTAATTAAGAGGCTAATGATGGGAGTAATTAGCCTCCCGGGTTTTCCCAGGGGATGGGAAAATGCTGCCTTGTCCGCGGATGCCTATAAATCACCCCTGAATTCAAAAGAAGGATGGGGTAGGGGCACTGGACAGAAAGCCCTCGAGTGAGTTTTTGGCTCTCCCTGACGCCGCTTCTGATCGCGATCCTAGTTGCATTGCTCAAGATAAACAATTGGAGAAGAGTAAATGCACATGTTTCGAGCGAAGGAAAGGGAGTATTGATTGCTAATTAAATTGACCTCTGAGAAGCTGAGTGACGGGTTGGATTGAACAGAAGATTACATCAAAGAATCACAGCTATGTCAGTATGTTGAAATGGAGCGGAAAGGGGGGGAACTTTCCCTTTTTTTATATGATTTACTTAACAACCCCTCCCTAAGAAGAACCATCACACGACTGATAGCAAGTGAGATGGGAAAATAAACGGTGTGGAAATAAAATTATTAACTAAAGGCTTTGTTTTGCAGAAGATCTGGAAAGGAAACGAAAAGCTTTTGGATGACGCAGTTCTAATTGGGAACCACCATTATGAGACAGACTTTGTTGCAGGATTTACGGTCAAGGGGGGAGGAAGCCACGCTTTTGTTATCATATCTGAATTCTACGTTTGATCTGGCAAGAACTCCCCTGAAAAGACTGATGTATGGAGAAACTGATCTGGGAAAGTTAACGAGCAGACGCCTAGACTGTATCTTATGGGAACTGCTGAAATGGCATCTGCCATTTGAACAGGACTTTTGGATCAGCGGGAAAATCCACACAAGACTATAATAATGTTTGCTTCAACTCGCTTGTGGAGATAATCTCAGAGGTTATAAAGAAAGAAGTTTGCTTCAACTCGCTTGTGGAGATCATCTCAGAGGTTATAAAGAAAGAAAGAAAATGATAACAACACGAAGATTGGAAGATGGGATTTGTAAAGGATAACAACAAAGAGATGGAGAGATGGGACTTGTGAACATCAAAGCAGCAGAAATATGAGAGGATTGGACCCTTTCTGAACTCGAAGCATGGGTACCCCCAACAAAAATTTAAAATTCAGCTAAATATTTGGAAATATTTGGAGTTTATTATATATTGGTATAATTTGGAACTAATGTGATATGATTGGTTTGTCAACTGGAAATTTAATAAAAATTATTTTTAAAAAAAGCATGGCCTGACCTCCAAAATTCCTGTTAAGTGAATGGCAGGATCCAAACATCAAATCAAGCATGAACATAGTGACATTCTCTCCAAGGCAGCAGAAATGGGGATGTTGGGGAGAGGAGAGTACCCTGGAGTCGCACAGAGTTTGAAGCAGGAATCAACTGCTTTGGGCTCGCTTGTGATAAAAAGCAGCAATCAAAAGCCTTACTTAAATAAAGCCCCTTTAAAGTTGCATGTTTCTAAAATCCTCTGCAACTGTCACTTCTGCTGCAGCCACATGGAGAGATGACATTTTAAGGGGGGCTTGGAAAGCAGCAGCAATTTCTGATAAGGAATCACCAGCAAGCCATTTTGTTAGTGCCCTTGCAGCTTGAGTCCTCTTCAAGGACACAGTTCAGAACTCTGGAGAGCAGCCAAGACCTGCCATATTGGGGTCAGCCTCCATAGGTCCTCTCCACCCAATTTCTTCTCTACCAGATGTGGCCACAGGAGCAAAATATGCAGTCCCTCTTCTCTGCACATGTTCACATTTGGATGTAAGAACATAGGACGGTGCCTTAGATTAAGTCAAGCATCTGGTCTCACCCAGCAGTGACTCCCTGGGGCGTCAGATGGTTGTTTTCTCTTAGCCCTACCTGCAGAAGTCAGGGATTGAGTGTGTATTCTGTTAGAGCTTTAGAACTTTTAAAGCTCTGGGGTGGACCAAGATGATATAGAGCAATTAAGATGCCAAAGTGACAAAATGAAGTTCATGACTAATAATACACTGCAGTTGTAACTCTGTTAGCTCCAAGGATGTTCTTTGCATGACAGACACTCCAGTATTGTCTTTTAACACTGATTTCAATGTACAGCATTATTTGAAACGGAAGGAAGATTTTGTATAAAGCTATGTCAGAACTAGACCTCACTTGGGTACATTACTGGGGGAAACAGCTGCAGAAGGCTATGTGAGTAAGCCTAGAAACTTGGCTGGATTTTCATATTACAATCTGAAATAAAACAGATATTGTAATATTTCTCAGAGGTAGGAAGATTTTGGTCCAAGGCTGACAAAGGTTATAATCGCCTTTCCCATAAACTTCTTGGGACATTTATGGAGCTTGAAATACTCTTAACAACAACAACAAAAACCCTAAAAGGAAATTACCTCAATTTCCGTGTGAAGTTCCCAAAGCTCTTTCACAGACCTGAAAATTCAAAAAGAAGCTGCAGGTGAATGAGAAATTGGTGAATTCAGCCTTTATGCTCATCGTTTGTACCAAGATGGTGCCTTCCAGGTGTGGCAGACTACAACTCCCATCAGCATGGCCAAAGGTGAGGATGGGGTTGTAATCCACCACAGGAGCTAGTCACAGCCTATGCTACAGGCAAAACTACACAATACCCAAACAATATTTGGTTTGCTAAGGTAGCATATATGGGACTGAGGGGGCATTTGTAAGGAAGCAGGGATGAATGGTACAAAACCCCATCCATGCTCATGAATCCACCTGTGCCTCCATCAAACTAGGTCACACATCCACACTCCAGTGACCAGGGTTGATTCCCATTTTAAAGATTTGCTGAGGAGGAATTAAAAAGTAACCAGGGAGGGTTGAGCACCTTCCTAGGTCCCGCCTCAGTTCCCCCCTAAATGCACCAACCTATATTTGCACCACAAGGGCAGCAGGGAGCAGTGATTAGAAACTGCATTTCACCCCCTTAATATACTACTGTGCATTTTTAAATTTTAAAAATTAAATTTATTATGCTTTTTTTAAAAAGGCAGCTATTGTACATTTAAAATTTAGACTGCATTTTTCCAGAAAAGCTAAAGGAACTACTTTTCAGTAGGCATGCATAGAAATGCACTGCTAAGACTCCTGCACCAGAACTCAGTGAGGCCATATGAAAAGCCAACCCCAATCTGCTTTGATCTCTGCTGAAATTTGCAAGCACTGGAAACTTGCCATCACCTGGACCTTCACAGAAGTTACTTAGATCAGGTAGCGTGTGGGGAGGGGGGAGAAATCAGCAGGCAGGGAAAGTGGAGAACCAAGTTCAAGGAGGAAACAAGTGGGAATTGTTGCCGTTCTCGTCTTTCCACTGTAGTTGGGGGTTCAAATGGGACATGAACAACATAGCTGCTGCAATGCTAGCATATGAAAGCTGTAAGCCCACCGCACCCCCATCCTGAAGCCTTACCTCTCATTCATGCTTGTCAGGATTTTGGAAATACGAAGACTCTAAGGAAACAAAGAAAGGACTGATAGGCTTTGAGCTGAAAATGCCCATTACATAAACACATTATGGTCAAACAGAAGTGTACCTTCCATCTAGGAGGTATAGCATTTTTTTTATTATTATTAAGTAAATAAATCATCCTTCACTAGTGGGTCCCAGGGTGGGTTACATGAATTAAAAAATGTTTAAAACTGTTTTTTTTTATAAAAAAAAACCGCAGTCACAGGAATAGAGTGGATCCTGAAAGCACACAAAGTCAAAGGTAAAGAAGTGTGTCTTCAGCATTCCATTGCACTGAAATGCAGTGCTAATCAGAACTGTTGCTGTCAGCTAGCCAGCTGCATGCGTTGCTGCACTTAGCAGAAAAACACTCCCGGCAGCCAGCCATAAATTCCTTTCTTTATTTTCTTCTGACAAGATTACATGCAGAATAAACAAAGCGACCCATCTCTCATGACGCGTTGCTCTAACTACTTTCTCTTTTCCCTCTCCCTCGAGACCAACAGAGCCAACGGCTCAACCCCTTCCGTTTTCCCCTGTGACATGGATCCCCCTCTCTCTGAAGCACCCCTTCCTCCCCAGACTCACTATCCTCTTCTCTGTCTTCTGAGGAGGACTCAGTACTGAGCAGTGGAGATCGTTCCCTGTATCCTCTAATTCTTTCCTCCCTCGCTGCTTGCAGTTCCCTGACATCCACCCCCTCCTCAAGGGCCCCCCTCACCTCCCTTTCCTGAGGAGAAGCCTCCCCCGATGCATTCTCCTCATGCTTCGCGGGGGTAAATCCTAGGAAAATTTCCTCCTCCTCCTCCTCTTCGGTATCATCAAAAACGTTACCCCAACTCTAACATCTGATGGACCCGGACGCTCTTCACTCACTCCTCCCCCCCCCCCCTGTGTTTCCTCTTGGTCCGAGGCGGAGAACCCTTCAAAATCCTCTTCATCGTCCGTCGGCCCAAACGCCCTCTCAGCGAACCTCCCTGCTGGTTGTGGCTTATGTGGAAATAGCTCGTGGGAGTCCTCCACTAAACCCTCCTCCGTGACCCAATCTGACGGCACCCATGTGCTATCCGAGCTGGGAGCCCCCTCCCAAGCTACAAGATACTCCAGCTGATTACCCTTCCAACGCGAGTCCAATATTTCCTCTATCTGATGTCCCCGCTCCCTTTCCTCGACTTCTGGCGGTGGCACCTCCCCTTCCCTTATGCCCAGCCGGTAAGCCGACAATAGCGACCGGTGGAACACTGGATGAATTTTCATGCTCTCTGGCAGCCTCAACCTAAAGGCCACCGGGTTGATTTGCTGTATGATTTCAAAGGGACCCACCCTCCTTTGTTTGAGTTTCTTACAACCCCCTTTCCAAGGCAAGCCTTGCGTTGATAACCACACCTTATCCCCCACCCAGAGGGTTTCCCCTTCCCTCCGATGCTTGTCTGCTTGCCTCTTGTATACCTCCTTGGCCCTTTCCAAGTTCAACTTGAGTTGTTGTTGAATTGCTTCCATTTCCTCCGCGAACTGTTCAGCGGCTGGCACACTCCACGATTCCTCCCCCCTCCCCGGGAAAGCCCTAGGATAGCACCCGTGATTTGCAAAAAACGGAGTCATCCCTGTGGACACATTCTCGGAGTTGTTGTATGCAAACTCCGCCAGCGCTAATTTGTCCACCCAATCGTTCTGCCTCTCCCCCACATAACAACGCAGGTACTGCTGTAATACTGCATTGACCCTTTCCGCCTGCCCATTGCTTTCAGGATGTCTGGCGGTGGTGAAACTTACCTCAACTTGCAACAAACTCATGAGTTTGCACCAGAACCTTGAGGTAAATTGTGTCCCCCTATCCGAAATGACCCTCGAAGGGATCCCATGCAACTTAAACACGTGCTCCACAAACAATTTGGCTGTCTCCTCCGCAGTTACCGCATGAGAACACGCCACAAAATGGCACATTTTGGTGAGTAGATCCACCACCACCAACACCGCCGTTTCCCCCCTGGACCGGGGCAGGTCAGTGATGAAGTCTACTGATACCACCTCCCATGGCCTCCCTGGTGTTGGCAGAGGCTCTAATAACCCTGTCGGAGCTGCCCTCTCCCCTTTGGCTCTCTGACAGGTCTCACACCCTCGCACATATTCCTTCACATCTTCCTGCACCTTAGGCCACCCAAATTCCCTGGTGACCAACAACATGGTCTTATGTTGCCCAAAGTGTCCTGCCGTCGAGCTGTCATGCAGTTGTCGGAGGATTCGGGCCCGGAGAGCTTCCCCTGGTACATACAAAGCCCCTCGATAAAACAGTAGCCCCCCTTTTTCCTCGAAACCTCCCTCAGCCCCTCTCCCTTGCCCAAGTTCATCCAACTTTCCTCTGGCAAAAGCATCGTCCCGCATCAAGCGTAGCAGTTCGTCGTCCTTCACCAATGTTGCCCCGCAAGCCCACCTCTGCTCGGGGAACATGAACCGGGCTGTCGGCGGTCCTTCCTCTGCCAAATACTCAGGTTTACAGGATAAAGCGTCCGCCCTCACGTTCTGCTCACCCGGTACGTACTGAATCCTGAAGTTGAAATTGGCAAAGAACTGTGCCCAGCGTATTTGCCTCTGGCACATCACTCTTGCCGTCCGCCAGTACTCCAAATTCTTGTGATCCGTGCACACCTGTATCTGATGCTTCGCTCCAATCAAAAAATGTCGCCATTGCTTGAATGCAGACACAATAGCAAGCAATTCCTTTTCATAGATACTATAGTTCACTTCCGATTTATTGAACTTCCGGGGGGAAAAGGCACATGGACGCCATTCCCCCTCCCCATCTTGTTGCATGAGAACCGCTCCAATCGCTTGATCAGACGCATCTGTCTCCACCCGTAGTGGTAATTCAGGGTTGACATGCAGCAGTTGTTCCTCGGAGGCGAAGACTCTCTTTAGACTCTCAAAGGCCCTCTGCACCTCATCCGTCCACTCAAACTTCTTCTTGCCACTGAGGCAATCCATTATGGGGGTCGCCAGCCGTGCGACACCCTATAGCCCAGGAACTCGACCTCTCTCGTGTGAAACTGACACTTCTCCAGTTTCACCCATAGGCGATGCTCCTTGAGCCGAGCTAGAACTTCCCGCACGTCCTTCACGTGCTGTTCTTCGTCTGGAGAATAAATAAGTATGTCATCCAAAAATGCAGCGCAGTTTTTGTAGAGCAAAGGTCCCAACACGTGGTGCATGAAGGCTTGGAAGCATGGACTACCACACTGTAAACCGAAGGGCATAACAAGATATTCAAATGCCCCTAGTGGTGTGAACATGGTTGTCTTCCACTCGTCCCCCTCTCGCACTCTGATGAGATTGTAGGCTCCTCTCAAATCCAGTTTGGTGAAAATTTTCCCCTTTCGCACCCTCGCCAATACGTCATCAATTCTTGGCATTGGGAAGGCCATGGGGAGGGTCTGGGCGTTGATTCGCCTAAAGTCTACGACGAGACGTTTCTCTCGCGTTGCCTTTTTGTCCACAAAGAACCCGGGGCTTCCGCCTACTGCCCTAGACTCCCTAATGAAACCTCTCCTTAAGTTCTTGTCTATAAATGCTCTTAAGTCCTCCATCTCCTGATCGGACATAGAGTACAGTTTTCCTGCCGGTAACTTGGCCCCCGGGATCAAGTTGATCTGACAATCGTAAGGCCTGTGCGGCGGCAGCGTGTCTGCCTCTCTTTCGCTGAAAACCTCTGCCAAGTCCATATATCCTGGAGGAATGCCGCCCTTCTCTCCTGCACACGTAGCTGCCACTCTGGCACTACCAACTCGCGGCTCCTTTACTCCCAAACAGTTCTCCAAGCAATGCGCCGATCCAAACGTCAGGTTATGCTGATGCCAGGAGACCACCGGATCGTGCATGGCCAACCAACTCATGCCCAAAATGATGGGTGGGCCCGCCAGCGTGGCCACATGGAAAGCAATTGTTTCGGAATGCGTTGAAATCCTCATTCTCATGGGGGGGGGGTCTGATGGGTCACTTCCCCTCCCAAAAGTTCCCTCCCATCAATGGTGGTCACTTGTAACGGAAAGTCCAAAGGTAATAAATGCAATTGGTGCTGCGCAGCGAAGTCCCTGCTGAAGAAAGTGGCACTCGCTCCTGAGTCCAACAGGGCATGGACCTCCATAGCCTGTCCATTGGGGAGATCCAGCACCACCCTCACAATTATGCCTTGTTGGGGACGTCCTGGTCGGGGCTCTGGTTCAGTTTCCTTCCGGCCTGGCTGCTGCCCCGCCCCATTCCCAGCCAGGCACTGGCGTTTCCCTGCTTTTGGACTCCCCCCTCTCCCATCTGGGAGGAAGCCCCCACCATTCCCTGCCAGTTGCGACGTTCAGGACACACTCTGGCAAAGTGCCCTGGTTTCTGGCAGATAAAGCATTTCTTGGCAGCCTGCCCGTTTTCTGCCGCCTTGTGAGTTGGCCGTTGAGCCTTTGAATCTTCCCGCGCGCGGGCAGAGTCAATTTCCAATGGCCGGCTCTGAGCAAGAGTGACCTTGCTCTCCCTCACTTGGTATGCCAGGAATGCGATCACCATGGGAACGCCGGCCTTTGCTCTCAGCCTTCTCTAGCTGCCTCAGTTCCTGCCTGCTGCCCACCACCAAAGCAGCCTTAACGAGGGAATTCAAGTCCTGGTGTCGGGGGCCCCTGGCAAGCTCATCTTTCACCTGAGAATTCAGTCCGGCCTTAAACAGAGCTTGCACAGGTTGAGAGTCTAAGCTCCAATCAAGCTTGTGGACCAGCATCGCAAATTGGGACCAGTACTCCCTCACAGTTGAGTTCCCCTGCCGGAGATCCAATAGCTGCTGCTGAGTCACATCCTCCTCAGATCCAAATGAAAACATAATGTCCATGGCTTCCCAGAATTGTTTGAGATCGCTGAGCGCAGCATTGTGGCTAGCAAGCAGTGGGCGTACCCAATCTCGCGCTGCCCCCGTCAAATGGCCTATAAGGTACCCCACCTTGTCAGCATCCCCAGCAAAAGCAGCTCCTTGTAGTTCCAGGGCATACTGCATGTCAAGTTTGAAGCCCGTGTATAATCTGGGGTCCCCATTGAATTTGCTTACCAGCATCAAAGACCGGTTCAGTAAGCCCCCTCCAGAAGCTCCTTCAGATCTGGCCCTGGCTTCTTCCAAACGAATCCTTAATTCCTTTGATGTAGCCAATAAATCATTCCTCTCTTTTTCCAGCTGTGCAAGGCGAGCTTCCATCCTGCTTTCTCCTTGCCGACACTCTCATCTCGAGCGCTCGTTAGCTGGGTGTTTTGATGAGTTAGAGCAAACTGTCAGCTAGCCAGCTGCATGCGTTGCTGCACTTAGCAGAAAAACACTCCCGGCAGCCAGCCATAAATTCCTTTCTTTATTTTCTTCTGACAAGATTACATGCAGAATAAACAAAGCGACCCGTTTCTCATGACACGTTGCTCTAACTACTTTCTCTTTTCCCTCTCCCTCGAGACCAACAGAGCCAACGGCTCAACCCATTCCGTTTTCCCCTGTGACGTGGATCCCCCTCTCTCTGAAGCACCCCTTCCTCCCCAGACTCACTATCCTCTTCTCTGTCTTCTGAGGAGGACTCAGTACTGAGCAGTGGAGATCGTTCCCTGTATCCTCTAATTCTTTCCTCCCTCGCTGCTTGCAGTTTCCTGACAGTTGCCCATTCACCAGGACTAAAAAATCCCTTCTCAAAAAGTGCCAACAGCCATAGGCTGCCTTCTTCAGCAAATCAAGACAGCAGCTAGAGAAGGGGAACTTACTATTGGCTTGACAATGCAGGATAGGAGGCTTCGAAACCAATTTGGCAACTTTGCTAGAAGCACCAATTCCTTTGCTTTGGGATCCACAGACTCCCCTTTGCTGAAAGGCAACCAAAACAATTAGGTTACACAACCCTGAGTGAATTTTATGTTATCCAAACCTTCAGCCATTTCAGCTCCACAGAACCATCAGCCATGGCTACTGATGTTCAGAATGGAACACTGATCCCTTCTTGTCTGACACGCAGAGGCATTCACTGTGGGTTATATGTTGCATATAGAGTATGTGACCATTCAAAAATGTTTTCAGTGGTCCTTAATGTTTTTGTTTTACGGTGGTACCTCGGTTTTTGAATGTAATCTGTTCCAGAAGATCGTCCGGCTTCTGAAACGTTCAAAAACCGAGGCACAAAGGGCCGTCTGCAATTTCCATTGAGAAAATTGAAAAACACGTAGCAGAAGCTGTTTGACTTCCAAGGTGCATTTGAAAACGGAAGCCATTACTTCTGGGCTTCCGGCATTCGAAAACCGAAATGTTTGGCTTCCGAGACGCTTGAAAACTGAGGTACCACTGTATTTCTGATCACACTGTTCTGCTGCCCTGCTGTTTGCCATCCTGACTCTTGGGAGAGAAAGGACAGAATGGAAATTATAATGCTGCACAATAACATTAAAAAAAAAATACTTTTATTTGCATCAGGTAAAAATCCTGATGGTTTGCTTTTTCTTTTTTTCTTTTTTTACTATGTTTGCTATGTTTTATATATACTGTAAGCTGACCAGAGTGGCTGGGAAAACATAGCCAGATGGGCTGGGTATAAATATATATTTTATTTATTTATTATTATTATTATTATTATTATTATTATTATTATTATTATTCCCCTTGTCCACCATGCAGCAGAAAGAACTCTGAAACACAGCAGGATAAAGAGAACAGAAAGGAAAGAAGAAGCAGTGACCTCACCAAGAAAGGTATGAGCGAGATGCTTAGCTAAGTAGCCAATGTGAAAAATGGAAGCAGGATCTTGCTGATGAGTACATGATGGTGAAAGCCTTTGCACCCAAAGTAAGGTAAGTAACCAATCTTCTTCTTCTTCTTCTTCTTGGGGTTTAATGGTGTGGGTGCATATACACATGCCAGCATTTATACATACAGGAATACTTACAAGCCTTCTAAAAAAGTGGCACAGCCATCAGCAAACAAGCCCTTGGCAGAAATGCTACACATGAAATCATCTGTGCGGCAGGGCTTAAAGGGGACCAGCTAGAAAAGGAAAGCGAGAGTGCAGGATGAGAATCTTTCTCTCTGTAATGCCATACAAAGGTAAACTTCTGACTTGCAAAAAATAAATAAATCACTCATTCATTCTTCATGGAAAGCATTTTGCAAGAACAGCAGCCAGCTTTCCTGGCAGTGTTAACTACAGCAAGTTCTAGAGAAGGAGGCAGATGTTGTTTCTTTCAAACAACCCTCAACTGGAGCTATTTCTTACTGCCCAGATTCTGGCATTCTAGAGAAATTGGAGAAGTTTCAAAATTTTCTCCCCAAATCATGTGGTGAAAAGAAAAGAAGTAAAATATCCATCCCCACTTAAATGAAAGGTTTCTATATGCGGCTATGCTTGAGGTTAGAGCAGTGAGGAATACCGAGTCTAAAGCCAGACACAAATAATCATCATGTATTGTCCATGTTCAGGTCTAGGATCAGCAGATAGCTTATGAAAATGGGAGGCATTAAAGTTAGCATAGTGCAGCAAGTCACAACCCCACCTTATCATGGCATACTGGTCATTCTGAGTTCTCATTCTTTAAGATGTAAAGCATCACAAAAAAAGGAAAAAGGAAACACATTTAAGGACTTTTTCCTTCTTCATTAAAATATGACTGACTTTCTACTTCTTAGCCACCCCATCTTCTCTTGCCCAGGACATCAATGGAATTCTAGGTGGTGTTGGTGGGGAGGGGGGTGTTTGTAGGTGTGGAGACAGATACATACCGTGTGGCCAGCCTTTTCCAGAAGTTGCTTGGTTTCTAGTACAGCCCGTCTCATGGAAGGGCTTGCCATAGTGAAGGAATCTGTGACATAGTAACCTATCCGGAGGGGCTGAGAACTGGAGTACACCTAGATAAAATGATCACAAGGTTAAGAGAACAGTTTGGAAATCAAAACATAACATAATCATTTTGGAGTCTTTAAAGACAGATGCACTAGATCAAGCTCTTAAGTGTCGACATCTTATCCTCCAAAGAATCCTGGGAGCTGTAGTTCACCATCCACTGAACTACAATTCCCAGCACCCTTAAACTACAGTTCCCAGGATTCTTGGGGACGGGTTTGTGATTCAAATCTATGGTCTGAATGCAGCCCCATTCTCTACTAGTCAATGATATTTCTCAGAATAATCCCATATCCATGCCAAGAGAAAGCATCTTGAAAATCTGAATTCCCAGTGTACCTTAAGCAATGATTGCACTACATCTGCACAAGTCTACTTTTCCCAATAGGTGATGTTGTGCCATTTTCTACCTGTTTCTGTAGGGAGGAATGTATCTGAAGAACACTGTTATGCAGTTTCTCATGTAAGTAAGACCCTTCATTTTCCCTCACAAGCTTGTGGGAATAGGATGAGGACTAGGGAGGCTTCCGGTCTGATCCAGAAGGATTTACATGTTGTTCTTAACCTCTTTCACCCCACAATACCCTTGCCCTCAGCACAGACAGTCAGGAATATAGGTCCAATGTTCACAGACACCCCCTCCAGACTAGAATAGACTAATAAACTGCACAATCTGGGATGGCAGCAGAACTTAAAATATGAGCCAGAGCTGCCTGCTAGATCTTACTTTAAAGTGCCAGTGCTGTGTGAGGTACTAATATGGAACGCATCCTCCGAGCATATGAAGAGAGCCTGTTGCATCTCATCACAGCACACTCCAACACACCTGGGATTAGGGTGAAGGTTTCTAGGGCAGAGGATATAACATTCCCCATAGAAGTGAGCACCAGAACCTCCATTTTGTGAAGCTCAAGGTTTGCACTGCAAGGAAAGCACTCTTATTCCTCTCGGACCTTAGTCACCCCAGTTCTTTCAAGGTACAAAGGGGGTCCATGCCAACTAGCCTCATCTCCTCCCCATGTCCAGCCTGGACATCTGCAGAGAGGCAGCCCTCATGCATATATAAGCTGCGCCCATGAAGGATCACTCCCTGCAAATGTTTGTGCTGTACACACAGATCCCAGGTTTGGGGCTAGTCATAGAATCATAGCCAGATTGCACGGGTAAAGGATTTAGACAAACCCCTCCCCCCAGTGGTTCAGCAACTAAATAAATGTCTGTCAGCAGTGAACACTGTATGTTAAACTCTTGAGCATCAGTACATAAGGTGTTGTTTTTTTAATCCCACATATTGGAAGTGGCCCACAAGGAAGGGCAGAGCAATGTTACTGCTTTCACCATGCATCTGATTATCATAAAAAGGAGGGTGCCTTTTCCTTCAGCCTCTCACCTGCTCATTGAAGGGGAGGGGAGGCACTGTGGGATCCAGCCGGAACATTTCATTGCACAAGAGAGCTCTTAAGCAGAGAGCTAAGCTGTCAACGTCTTTCGCCATTGGCCCTATGCCAGCAGTCGCTGGAATAAAAAATAAAAGAGAACAAGTCTTGACAATAGGATCATCTTTCAAAACAGGGAAAACACTTCTGGGAGCAAGGCATCATGGGGATCAGAGCACTAACTGAAGCTCTTTTCACTACAAAAAGCAAGTAAGAAGAAATCCAGTAAAAGCTAACTCATAACAAATTGCCCTGCTGTCTAACGCCCCTTTGGAATCTCTTCACCATTCAATAAGCAATGAAAACTGAAGCCTTTAAAAAAAAAACCTGATATCTGAAAAGCAAATTAAATACTACTGTAAAGGGACTTATGGAAGAAGCTGGTCAGTTGTTTATTACAGGAAGGGTGTGGGCTACGTGCAGACCTCAACACATAGACCTTTCTTGCTAGAATTTCCACATCTGCTGCCACTCAAAAACCTCTTCAATTTTTAAAAAGCTTCTGGTCCTCATGACTGAAGATTTCTACTTCAACATGACAGCAAAATATCAACACACATCCCTAACAGCATGTTTTTAGAACTCATTTTGCATTTTTTAAAAGGATGACAAGGTAGAGTGTTGTTGTTTTTTAAGAAAAAAGTGTATAAAGTTGGGTTAACCCATTACTATGTAAGAATTCAAAGCTACCACATTTTCACCACCTTGACATCTTACTCTTTCCAAGCAAATGATAATCACCAACCTGATTTCTGCCCACGAATGCTTGGTATAACTCCTTTTTTGCTGTGAAAAGATCACCAGAGAAGATGTTTCAGCACAGCTTTCAGGGTTGCTGGTTTCCAACACCTAAGTTTCCACAGTGTTCTAACAGGGAATCTATTCCCAGACGCCAGCAGAGATGCTGCTTCTCACCCCTTTGAGAGTTCTCTCCACTGAAGAAGGGATAAATCTTAGCCAGCAATCTAGCACATCCCATTAAAGGAAAATCTCAAAAGGCCTTTTGTCCAAGCAGGGAAAAGTTGAGAGACTGGAAGAAAATTCCATTAAGTTCAATGCAACTTACTCACAGATAAGAGAGCATAGGATTGCTGCCCATTTTGAAAGTGCACATCAGTAAAAGAAGAAGAAGAAGAAGAAGAAGAAGAAGAAGAAGAAGAAGAAGAAGAAGAAAGAAAGAAAGAATTAACTCCCCAACAAGTTTAGTGCCTGTGCAAGAACTTAAATTTGTAGCTTTCTGCTCCAAGGGTTAATAGCTTGCCTGATTCTTGGGCGCCTTCTGCCTTTATGTGTACAATGAACTTGGATCCTGTGAAGAACAGCCCCCACCAGCCCCCAAAGAAAGGCTTTAGTCTATATCTATATCTATCTATATCTATATCTATATCTATATCTATATCTATCTATCTATCTATCTATCTATGTAGCTTAAATGCTGTCTTTTAAGGCTGCAAACTTGCACTGTACCTAATTCGGCCACCTGTGGTTTTGATTCCACAAATTCCACAGAAAGCAGCCGGGATACGAATGCTGCCTCCTATATCTGTACCAAAGCCCAAGATGGATCCTCCACTTTTAATAAGAGCACCTTCGCCTCCTGAAGAACCACCTGGACTTTTGGAATGATCCAGAGGATGGAGCGTCTGACCAAAGATCAGGTTGCTGCAGTCATAGCTAAAAACACAAGAGAAGACAGTCAGATGATTAAGCCACAGCTAAGTCAAATATACCTTGCCGCCCCCTATCCCAGATAGGATCCGTGCTATGGCTGCAGCTCCCTTGCCCAACCCCCTATATAAATATATTTATTTACTTATTTCATAACACTTATGCACCACTTGATTGGATAAAACCCTCAAAGCAGTTTACAAAAAAAAAGGATAAACTCATCCATAAGATGAATCAGTAACAATCTAAGACTTTCCAAGAGTAAAACAGCAATGGACTAAAAACAGAATAAAACTTGCATCAACTTTCTAAACATCCAGGTAGGCTTGCCTAAACAAAAATGTTTTTCACAGGCACCAAAAAGTATACAGTGAAGGTGCCTGATTCATATCAATAGGCAGGGAGTTCCAAAGTGTAGGTGCCACCACACTAAAAAGTGAGGAAGACGAGGCCAGAGGGTACACACACCATCAGCTCCTGATAGAACCAGCAATGTGTCAGGGCACCTGATTCCCACCTTCCCTGGGGCTGCTGAAGACCTGTGTGCACTGAGGGAAGGCAGAACTGAGGGAGACCAGGCCACGGAGCACACATACCACTGACTCAGGTGGCTCAAGAGGACTCTGCCACTGTACTTTTGATATAATGTAGTAGTTTTAGTGTTTTAAAATTGTAACCCACCTCAGGTGCCTTGGCAGAAAGGCAGAATTAAAATCCAGTGCATAAAATAAACAAATCCTGTCATTATGTTCCAGTCTCAGATATTACCCTGCCCTTTAACCACAAGAATTCATGAGGCACCTAACAAAATATGGAGTCAGAACAAACCCTTTTAAACACCAAGAAAATGAAACAATCAGGAATTGTCTAATGAAGCATGATGCAAGTTACCAATCCTCTCATTACCACAGAGCTGCCCATCACAACAAAAGGGTTGGGTGGACAGTGGGTTGAGAGAGAAGGTGGGGTCATATACCACTTGACAAGCAGGAAGCAACTATTCCACAGCTATTCAGAGGCTGATTTCAAGAGAAAACAAAGCTAGAGAGAGCTCTGGAAAAGTCTTGTTGCCTAGCTAACAAAACCACTTGCCACACTCCACTGCAATCACAACAATGCCCAACAGTTTAAATGCTTAAAAGAACAAAAAAAACCCCCCACATTTGTGATTGTTTCTAGAAGGCCCATTATAAACCATATGGGTGCAGTTTTGCAGCATTCAGTTCATAACTTCTGTCTGACAGCATTTGTTTCATCTTCTATTTATCCACAGAAAAGTGCTTTCACACATCACATAGTCATCCCAGGCTTCTGATGTCTGAAAACACCTATTGAGTTTAAAGAATCAGAGTAATCTAGCCCAACCTCTTGCCTATGCACAATATCTATAGACTGGAGTTATTGATATTGGAATTCTTAACACTCACAATACTGTGAGCATGCAAAGTAAGAAGTTTCCTCTGATATATGCACCACTCGGAGAGGCCAGCAAGCAAATGGGGAGAGTTTAAATTCCCTCTTTCACTTACTCTTCTTCCTAGAATAACAGGCTCGAGCAAATAAACTGAACGAGAGCTACTCTCTGGCAAAAGGAACAGAAACAAGTGTAGTTTATTGTTTCTTAATGGAGGCTCAGTTAACTTACATAAAAATAAAACTTCATTAAAGCATAGAATCAGAGTTGGGAAGTATCTCAGAGGTCATCTAGCTGCCCCCACCTGCCCCTTGCTGATCAAGGAAATCCATTGCTACCTGGTTTTTTAAGCAGTCTAGGTGACCACCTAAGGAAGGCAAGCCCACCCCCTTTCTGAGGCCATCTGTTCCACAGATGAATAGCTCATACCATCAGGAAGTCCTTCCCAATGTTCAGCCAAAATCCTCTTTCATTTAATTTGAACCTGTTAGCTCTGGATCAACAGAGAAGAAAAATTTTGCTCTACCATTTACAGTATGCGACTTCAAACATTTGACTGTCATCTTGCCCCTGAATTATCTCTTCTACAGGTGAACCATATTCAACTCCTTTCCTCATAGTATTTGTTATTTGTGTAAATGCCCACACAGAAATATAGCAAAGGGGGGATTATATGATTTACCTCAATAAAGACTGAGGAACATTGGTTTTTACAAATGGAATTGCTCCTTGATGTTTCAACACCTGAATGACAACCGCATCTGTTGCTGCAGGAAGGCTGAGATGCTTCACCAGGCCCAGTGTGGAGTCATGGCCCTGGGGGTGGGGTGGGGAAGAGAACAGAGTTAAGATATCTGGTTCCTACCCCAGATCCTTCAGATATCAAACAGTAATGCTGCCTGCAGTATAAGTCACAATGCTCTTTCACATATGAATTGGCTAGTAATATTCCTGATGATGGAGAGTTATATCCATGGAGAAATTTGAAGCGAGTATCAGTTGTATCCAACATGGCTACGTTCATGTCAACATGTACACTAGAAGGCTAACGGGTCAGTCCCACTGCCACGGTTCAGTAGGGTTTCCCCTCCACAGGATTCTAGCACAGCAATTGGTTTTGTAAAGGAATTGACCCAGCAAAAGATAATGCTCCACTACGTGCAGGAGGGCATTCGCAACCAAACACATATCTCCTACTACAATGCAACTTGAAAGAGGATCTTCGGCATGTGATGGGGCTGGATACGAAAGCACATACGAAAGCAATTAGAAGACTGATCATCACATCAGATTATGGAAGCTCCACTATGCAACTGCCATGTCACACTGAAAAACTGCCCCCGAATTAGGAACAGCACATCATTCTGAATGAATCAGACCCCAAGGAATGGGATCCAAGTAGGGTTGTCATACATCCAGAATTTCCTGGACATACCCAAAATACTGCAGTCAGAAGCAGTGTCCGGGCAGGAATCAGCAGAAATGTCCAGGAAAATTCAGTTGTATGGTGACCCATTATGTGTGCCGCTTTTCCTTAAAAATAGCTTTAAAGGGTCAACAACTTTGCCCAAAAACAACTTTTGTGCCCTGATTTTCACTTTCTGAAATATGGCAACCTTAGATCCAAGTCTCATTTCTTCAAAAAGTAAAGATGTCATGCTACAATGCCAATCCTACCCTGCCCCTCAGATTCTGCTAAATAAGAAGTTTGGCTCAGCAATTTTTCTAAGACATGGTTTCTCTACAAATTTACTGGTTTGACACATGAGCACAGGGCATTGTTGCCCATGGCCAAGATTGGTGGTACCTTGCAGTCAATGGAGTCCTTGATGCTGATGGGAACGCCATAGAGCAAACCCTTCTTCCCCTGACTTTTCATGTGCAGAAGCTGAGACTCACAATCTTCCAGATAATCGGTCACACAGTTGACATCTCTAGTCACTTTCAAGGCCTGTGAAAAGCAGGAAAAGGCAATCAGTTCAACCCACCTTCTAAGCTGTCTGTTCTACAGCTTAGTACCTCATATAATCGGGACATATTTCCCAATAGTTAAGTCAAAATCCCCTTTTATGTACTTGGGAGTTTGGGTTCTACCCACTGGAACAATAGAAATAAAGTTTCTCCAGCCCAGAGTGGCTGGGGAAATCCAGCCAGATGGGTGGGGTAGAAATTATTATTATTATTATTATTATTATTATTATTATTATTATTATTATTATTTCTCCACCATCTATGCAACTTATCAAGTTTAATAAAATGAAATAATGTGTTTGTGTGAGGGAGAGGGGTTATTGTTTTGTTTTATTATGTATTTTATGCTCTCATTTTGTATTTTGATGTTGTGAACCGCCCTGCTATCTTTGGATGAAGGGCAGTACCCAAATTTAATTAATAAATAAAAATATTTTAAGACCGCTGTCATATTGCCTCTTAACCATATATTCTCCCGGCTAAACATAGCAAACTGTTTCAACTTTTCCTCATAGGATTGGATCAACAGGCCCCTCACTATCCTTGTCCTCCTCCTCTGGACTCTTTCCAATGAAAGTTACTTATCAAACCAATCGGTTCAGGGTTGGAATGCAAGGGAAATCCATGTTGGCACCCTGAGCAGCAGACCGATGTTCAGACAAAGGATTTACAGTCTGCTATGTAGCATTTATTTGCTTGAGTGACAAAACCACTTCAGTTCCCGCTGTAGTACTAAGTCCCCAGTGGCACACAGGGAACAAATTATGTGCAAAACATTTTGAACAATATTGGCGCTATATGAACAACAACAACATAGATGTCCAACACAAAAACCTTCAAGTATTCAACATTTACAAAGCGCCTAAAATTTTCTAAGCACTGTACAGGTATTATAATATACATTATACAGTGAGTTTGCAGGCAGGGTCTCATAGCCAAGATACAAGAAGTGGGCAGGGAAAGAAACTGGGGCAAATAAACAAATCCAGAAAATTGGAGCAGAGTGATTTTTCAGGCAGGGAGCAGGAACACAAGCTCCTAGCAGCTGTCAATAGACGGGGTCAGTTCCCTTTCACCCTGGATTCTCTTGAACAAAGGGCACAGTTTACCAGCCAAAACTTCACTCTGTCCATCACATTCCCTTCCCCACACTCATTTCCCATTGCTTTTGGTGGAATGTCAGCCACACCTCACCTGGTCCATGTAGGAATAAAGGACATTCTCAGGTGAGAGTGATCCATCCCTCAGTTTCCCACAGAGTTCAGGAAGAGCCAAAGACAAGATGGGTTCCGGTTTGTGACCTGGATTCTGAAGGAGAAATAGTAATAATAATAAAAAATTTAAAAACTATCAAGTCCAGTGTTGTTGTTTTTGGGAGGTACGCATACCCCTAAACATTTTGTGAATCTAAGTTTGGCCCCATTGAGGGGCAGTACTTCAATATGAGTAGGAAAATGAGAGTACCCCTAAACACTGATCGAGTCCATTTTATATATATATATTTGGCAGTCATACTACATTGCTGACTCACACCAACTGCTTCTATAATTCCACAACATAAAAGCAAGTGCTTGTGTTTCAACACAGCAAGAGGAGGGACCCTGCTAAAACTACTTTTGTTGCACAACCTAACGCAATCCTTTGGAAAGAGTACTTGACTTGATCTGAAGATACTGATCCAAAAACCTGCTTTCAGCAACTCTCAGACGCAATTACTCATTGGCTGGTAACATGGGAGCAGCCTCCTTTGCAAGACTGATTCAGGCTTGACTGCATCCATTGCTTGGATAATAGAAGTGGTACAACTGGCAGTGTTAAAGGCCTTCCAACCAGTGGTGGAGCTACCTGCTCCGGCACCTAGGAATGGCATACATCCGGGGGCGTGGCTGGTGTGCATCCCAGGGGGCGTGGTGCACGTCCCAGGGGGCGTGGCTCACCACCCGTGGGGGCATGGCATGAATCGGGGGGTGGGGGTCACAGGGCGTGAACGGCGACCACAGGCGTCCCAGGGCATGTGTGGCGAGCACCGAGCATCCCAGGGGGCAGGGGCAGCCGCGATGGCACCCGAGGTGACCCGCTCCCCCCATCCCCACCTTCGTCTGCCAGGGCTTCCAACACTCCATCACATTAAGATTAACAGCCAGTCAGTGGAGCACTTGATGACATGGCCTGATGAATTCCTCTCTCTCTCAAAACTTGATTACATGGAGACTGGACTTGTCGTGGCCACATTGTTTCTTCCATTGCGCTCTGGGACAGGTACGTGACTTGCATTTCAGGGTCTTGGACTGTCCTAACCACTCTTAGCGAGGGAATCACAATCCAAGGCCACTTGTTGAGTGGAACAGTGGGTGGGGTGGCCCACACTTCTTCCCCACTCTCCCCGCCCGACAGCTGAGCACTTATGGTTGAATTTGCAACCATATGTTTAACACACGTAAGATGTGATTGTGCTGTACCGCTGAAAGTACACTGGGAACTTTCCAGTTCTTCGACCTAAGCTTTCTTGAGCTTGAAATCTACAACATACTTTAAAAATCATCATTATCAGCGTTGTGTAATGGTTAGAGTAGGACCATGGAGACTAAATTTCAAATCTCAATTCACTCAGGAAGCTCACTGAGCAAGTCACTTTCTCTCAATCTATTTTGAACTGTTAATTACGGTAAATAAATCCAAGCCTTTGATTGGATTGTGACACCTCAGTCACCAGCCCAGCCCAACTCACATAAGTTTAGCAAGCAAAACTTTCTTCACCATCATTCTACCACATTTCAGTGCTTGGCTGTTCTTAATACCACAAACCATGGTAAAGGACCCCTGGACCGTAAAGTCCAGTCAAAGGTTACTATGGGGTGCAGCGCTCATCTCGCTTCAGCCGAGGGAGCCGGCGTTTGTCCACAGACAGCTTTCCGGGTCATGAGGCCAGCGTGACTAAACCGCTTCTGGTGCAATGGGACACTGTGACGAGTGCCAGAGCGCACAGAAACGTCGTTTACCTTCCTGCCACTGCGGGACCTATTTATCTACTTGCACTGGCATGCTTTCAAACTGCTAGGTTGGCAGGAGCTGGGACAGAGCAACAGGAGCTCACCCCATTGTGCGGATTTGAACCGCCAGCCAAAGAGGCTCAGTGGTTTAGATCACAGCGCCACCCACTCCCACCACAAAAAGCCATGGCAGCAAAGGCAAATAGATTTCTGCAGGCATAAGCTTTTGTAGACTAAAGTTCACACTTAATATGCTTGTGTCTGGAAGTTGCCACAAAGTACATGGTAATGAGTCAAGGTCAATCTAGTGGGACGTACTTCTGCCCACAAATGCAACTGTTGCACAGAACAGAGTCCATGCAGCTTCTCTCTCTGCCACAGCCCTGTGAAAAGGCACAGCTGCCTTTTAGGAACCCTTAAAGCACGGGCAAGCAGAATCAATCTGGGGGCCGCCATCCCCTTCTGGGGGCCACGTACCAGTGGCGCACAGATTCAGAAGTTAAAGTGAGCAGAGCAATGCATGTAAAAATTGCTTTCATACAGCAGGCTAGTTTCAGCGCGCAACACACAGATACACCCCTTCTCCATCTTCCATCCAGGAAAAGTAATTGAATATCAGAGTCCAAGGACACCTTGCAACGGGAGGAGGAGGATACGCACACTCACACACTCAATGAGATGCTGAAATAGGGCCAATAGGGGGAGCGGCTGGGAAGAAGGAGGCTTGGTGTGTGCATTCACACGCACATTGAGGACAGAGGCTTCTCACCACAGCCTTAAAGTTACAGGAGGAACCTTCGACGTTAGGGCTGCAGCTGCCTCTGCCCCGTGACCCTCCAGGGAGACAAAGCCAGCCGGTTCTTTCCGCTTCGGGGGTTTTCCGACGACCCTTGCTCGGTGCCTCCAGCTGTCCCGTCCCCGTCCCCCCCGCCCTCCAGGCAGGAATCAGGTGCGCTCAGCGAGTAGCCGCTTCCACCTCGACGCCACCTACCTGCTCTTTGAACTTTCGGGCAGCTTTTAGCATTCGCTCCAGCGCGCGCTCTCGCCTTTCTCTCGCCTCTTCCACCTTCCTCTGGACTTTCCGCCGCCGCCGCCATCTCAGCAGGAGCACCGTCGCCGCCGAGCAGCACAAGAGAGCCGAGACGAGGCTGACGCTCATCCTCGTCAGGATCCCGCGCGGCTACTGCTTCGTCCGCTACCTCCGCAGCCAGCTGACAGCTCCGGAAGGCGCGGCCTCCGCAAAGGGCGGAAACTGGATTCAGGGGCTTGAACTCCCACTCGGATTTCTCCATACACAGTGCGCCGGAAACGCATTCTGTTTTCATGCCTTCCTCCTACCCGCACCGTTAAAATCCGGGTTTTCGGATATACAGTGCTGCTGCCCGAGAACCCCCACCTGCGATTTAGAAAGGGACAAGTTTCTGGTCCGTAACGCAGCGGAGGATGGGAAGCTCTGGTGGCTGAGCGAGGCTCGCCACACGCCAAAGAGGACGGGACTCCTGCGCCTTTAATAGTTGGGAAGAAGGAGGGATGTCAGCCGGTGTAACTCGCGTAACAAGCCCCAGCAGCTGATTTTCTCCCTTCTACGTTAAAGGTGCAGCAACCCCAGCCTCTTCTCCTCCCCTGGTCATGAGAATGAGCGTAGTCTTTTGCTCATCTAACTTTCCCCAGCTACGTAGACATCCTATGCATCCTAGAGGTATGACAGGGGTCAGGAAAGTTTTTCAGCAGGGGGTGGGTCCACTGTCCCTCAGACCTTGTGGAAGGCAGGACTATAATTTTTTGGGGGGAATTAACGAATTCCTATGCCCCACAAATAATCCAGAGATGCATAATAAATAAAAGCACACATTCTACTCATGTAAAAACAGCAGGTCCTGCAAATAACCCAGAGATGCATTTTAAATAAAAGGACACATTGTACTCCTGTAAAAACACGCTGATTCCAGGACCATCTGGGGGCCAGATTTAGAAGGCCATTGGGCTGGATCCAGCCCCCCGGCCTTAGTTTGCCTACCCATGGTCTACAATGTACAGTGAAGTGAACTTCACAGGTGTGTATAGCAGTAGTTCCTGATCAGCTAAGTACTGTGGACCCTGTTTTTCAAAAGCCAAGCCATGGACTTTGAAAAAATATATATTTCTATGGTAGCTTTTGTTATGTGGATGGTGCAACGGACCCCTAGGATCTGTACACTACCAATTGGAAACCACTGGGTTGTGTGTATAATCCACATAATGCAGCCCCTCTACACTTCCAAACGTAGCATGCTGAATTCTGCCAAAAAGATATGCACCAAGAATACATGAAAGCTGAAAGCATGCTAATTAACCACTTACACGTTTTTCCTGACATCTGATTGCCACTTTCTGGTTTTCAACATATCTTGGATTCCATCATAAACACTTTCAAAGTAATATGTTTGTAAAAGCACAATGTGTACTAGAACTAACATTTTAATATACCATTGTTTTATCTTTGTAACCAAGCCTTTTTAAGAAATGTCCACCAAAGGTTATACAGTGGTACCTTGAGTTACAGACACTTCAGGTTACAAACTCCGCTAACCCAGAAATAGTACCTTGGGTTAAGAACTTTGCTTCAGGATGAGAACAGAAATTGTGCTCTGGCAGCGCAAGGCCCCATTAGCTAAAATGGTACCTCCTCAGGTTAAGAACAGTTTCAAGTTACGAACGAACCTCCAGAACAAATTAAGTTCTTAACCCGAGGTACCACTGTATTCCTGGTTTGAGCCACACTTCCATTGTCTAGGAACCAACATCCACCCTCACCTTGATCAGAGGTCAAAATAATAATAGTTAAGAATGGAAAAATTATTTCAAGGAAAAATTCTTACATCTCACTGACCCCTAAATAACAAAACAGGCTGATGGCTGGACAGATTAAAAAACAGGAATCTTATCCTGTCTAGCAGCTAAATTTTGAAACAAAACTTGGCTAAGAACCCCCCCCTCCCACACACACGATGCTTCAATTATGTCCAAACCAGTCCAGTCCCATGCTGAGAAATACATGGGCAAGCCTGCCAGCAATGCACTGCTTCTTCCAGCTTCTCTAGTATGAACAGCACCAGCCTGAACTCTTGGGGAGGCTGGAGGACTTTCCTCTGAAAATACATGCAATAAATTTGATGGTGCAATTATATTATGCCATCCACCAGATGACAGTTTCAAGCAGCCATGTCTAAGATTCCAATCACATCATGTATATAACCTCTTTCCTGCAGTAGCCATTGGTTCCAAAGGTCTTAAGTGGCGGTTGAGCAGCCTATTAAGTCATTATGGACAGGAAGAAAGTATTTGTATCTTCACCCAAACACAGGGTCTAGATCAGGTAGTCAGTTCTCAGAAAAGTTTAGCGAACATTTAGAAAATGGACACTCCAACAACATATGTCTAATATGCAAGAGGAACTCTGCAAGGTGCACACTAGTCTTCCTCCTCCTGCGAAGTTTGTGTAAAGTATGCAAACAGAAAAAAGTTTACAATTTTTGCACATTTTTATTCTGTGCTTTTGGGATCATACTCTTCTATCTCTTGAGTGGTTTACATTCCACTTGCAGCATATGGGCTTATGTAAAAAAAATATTCCTATGCAGCCAATATACATGGCAGAAATCATGGGTGGTATTCAATGATAGTTGCACACATCAAAGGCTTGTACACATGACTTCCAGCTATCTGTGGAGGGAAGAGTTTGTTTGGTAGCAACCACAGACAGTGAGTAATGTGGTCATTTTTTTTAATGGCACACAGGTGTGGGGTCAATTAAGCAAAATGCTGGTTTTTATTGCAAGCTGCATCATAGTTTTTATTCAAAAAGACAGGTGTCCAAGGGAAGTTGTAAATATCCCAGGCCACTTTTTGTGCTGTCCCATGCCCATTCTAATTCAATCTGTGCAATTTGCAAAAATACATGGGTCCAAAGTTAGCTGTGAGATGGGGAAGGATGAGTTCCCCAAGTCTGCAGTCAGGATAGAATGAAAATGTGTTCTGGAACCGCTTTCGAAAACAGCTCAAGTCTTCAACCTGGATGCTAATGTCATGTTGGATTGCTAGTAGCTCCACAGCTCTCTCAACCACGTACTCATTCTGGAGCTGAGACAAGGAGCACGTTGAGTACACGACGTCTCCCCCTGGCTTGGCAGCAAGTATCCCAGCCCTGGGAAAGGAACAGAAAGAACTTTTTATTTATTTAAAGATTCACATCTCAAGGCACATCAGCTTCACAAGACAACGTACAGAATAATTACACAACAATGCTTAAAAGAGCTCCAGCTGAAAACAACCATCATACTTTGGGATAGACTTAGGAGAATCTAATTTAGCATCAGGAGATTACTGAATAATTACATTAAAGTAAGGGTTCCAATTTGGCTAGAACTCCAGGTTTTTAAAGAAATATTTTTCTAGTCACCAAATCACCTCCAGAAGAGTAAGCAAGGAAGCATTACTGAAGTTGGATCCTTTGAATTATATTTAATTAACCTACTCAGAGCAGACCCGCTGAAATTAATGGGCCTAAGACAATAATAGCAATGAATTTCAATGAGTCTACTCCAAGTAAAACTTAGTTAAAAGCAACCCTTTGTCTTTTAAGCCACAAGAGCCTTACACATTTGTATGTGGGCAGGACGGCAGGCAGACAAGCACTTTTGTAGAGTTTTGTGGACTCATTTGCAATGCTGTGAATGATTTAATAAAGCCCACAATGTGAAACCCTGGTGTAGCTCAAAAGTTAACATGTATCACATAAGGTCAGGATCACTTACACAAGCAGCTCCACCTGGAGCATTGGCAGCATCTGACGCTCCCCCTTTCTCATTGGATTGAACATATTGTTGTCCTCTTCTATGACTGAGTGACGGTCATTTGTGCATGGTACATCCACGAGCACCTGCATGAGATAGAGGGCATATATCCCAATTAAACTCGGTGGACTTTTACCTGTTTGTGCCCTCCCACACAGCTTGTCCCATATCACACAGCTTCTCATCAGACTCCTTAAGGCACTACTGGATGATATCTTGGAGGCCATCTCCTGCCATTTACAACTGCAACTGTTCTTAAGCCTCTTGCATGTAATACTCATACAGCCATTGTGGTGTAGTGGTTAGAGTGCTGGACTAAAACGAAAGGAAACCCAGGTTCAAATCCACACCCAATCATGAAACTGCCTGGGCAAGTTTAGGCTCTAGTCACCATCTTGCTGTCTACCCTCACAGGGTTGTGAGGAGAAACCAGATACACCACCTTGAACTCCTTAGAGCAGGCATGGCCAAACTTGGCCCTCCAACTCCCATCATCCCTAGCTAACAGGACCAGTGGTCAGGGATGATGGGAATTGTAGTCCCAAAACAGCTAGAGGGCCAAGCTTGGCCATGCCTGCCTTAGAAGAAAGATGGGAAGTAAAAATAGGTAGATGACATTCAAAGTATCCCAGAACTACACATTCTGATAACTAAAATTATTATTTTCCTACAACAAGGAAAAGGCTTGGGAATTATTATTTTTGAATTAGCTGGGTGTTTACAATAGAAATGGACTTCAGCTGGACTCTCTGAAGCAAAGTTACATACATTACCAGTAAAGGAGTTATCAGATGTGGCAGAAAGCACAGGTCTTGGCTATAGACAAACCAGATAATATTCAACAAAGTATTAACTCCGAGTCCATTGATTTCAGGGGGTCCACTCTCAATATGACTAAGTTCAGTATCATCCACTGTCACGATCCCCCCCCACAAGGTGCAAATATATTCTAAAGGAGCAATCTGCGCTCTGTACAAGTGAGGGGGGAATGGAAGAGATCATACATTCAATAGCTGCAGGCACCTGCTGGCGCTCTTCTAATGGGCTACTCCCAGTAATGTTATCTACAGCAATGCTTACCCTATCGTAAGTATTCATCTCCAGGTCACCCCACTTCCTTCCATCCCATGATGTAATCCTCACTATCTCGCTGAGCTCTTCTGGAAGGTAGCTATGGAGAACTTGACGCAGCCGACAAGTGCGGGAAACAGAGAGGTCATTGGCAGCCAGCTGTCCTAATGAAAGAACAGCAACAGCATACACCAAGGGCAGACAGACTCTTGGAGGCTCCAAGTCAACAAACCAAAATTTGCACATGACTGAGAAACAATGAATATGTTGCCAACCTCCTTAAAAGAAGACCCCATCAGTTTTGGCAGTGTATGAATGTGCGTATGTGTACGCACACACACCAAAAAAGTATATATATTTTTTGTCAGAATTAAAAACTTGCCATACTCTGCCACCAGATAGACATTTAGGATGCTGGGGGACTGAGAGAGTCATCCCATGTTGACATATAATAGGAAATTATCTTTTATGTTTTAATGCAGACACAGTGCTAGGTGGGCATGGATCATGTGTGCCTTGAACATGTGTGTACCCTCTGTGTGCGTGCACAAGAGTGTGGGTCACACCCTCTCTTGTCATGTGAGGCCTGGAGAGTTGGCCAAGGGTGAATGTGGCGCTCTGGCCACCCCTGCTCTACAAAGAGAGGAGTTGTTGGAGCTGGAAGAGGCCGGAGAAAATGTCCTGCTACCTTCCCTGAGATGGCCTTCTGGAGAGTAACCTGTGTAATCAAAATTGCACTGCACCACAAGCAGAAGCAAACATGATGCATCACACCAGACTATCTGATCCTTTCAACTCTTTCCGGACAGATATAGGAAAAACAGTTTTCACTAACTGGTCCTGCCTATACCATTTGAGCACCACCTGCTGCAGAAGAATTCTACTTACGACAACATCCAGTCTGTAGAAGGGCCAGCATCTTTCCACCTGGTGCTGCGCAAAGGTCAAGGACCAGGTTGCCAGGCTGCACATTGAGAGCCAAGACGGGCAAGACGGATGCAGCATCCAGAAGATAATAGCCCAGAACTCCTAACATGTCTGGTCTGTGAAAAAAGGGAACTGATGAAGTTTAGCGTGGCAGGCACAGGAAATTTGAGCCCCAATTAACTCCTACTTAAAATGCACTGGCAGGATGGAAGGTCTGCAGCTCAACTGTGGAGCATACATTCTGCATGCAAACAGTTCCAGCTTGAATCTCTAGGTAGAGCTGGGAAAGACAAATGATGGAGAGCTGCTGCCAGTCAGTGTAGGAATACTGACCAACATCTGACTCAGTATAAGGCATATAACATTCACGCTCACGCACCCGTGCATGGTGGGGTTCTGCCAGTAAGAGCACAATATAATACCAGGGGCTTTGACACCACCTAGCTTCCCTTCCATCTATTCCATATTTTCATGGGAGAGAAGACTGTCCCTACACTCAGCTTTACTAAGTGAAAAAAGTTAAGAAGCAAGAACTAAGCACCTTAACAACTGAAAGAGAGGCAAAAGATCCACTTGTTGTCATTGGCAGCAAGTGGGTATTTTAGAAGTTTGCAAGTAATGGGCAGTATTCAACTACTGCTGCCCATCAGAATAAGGAGTTCCACTTGTGTAACAGGACTCCCCATCCCCACCCCTCTGTATGTGTCCTGTCCTGACACTTCCCCAAATCTACTCCGGAGGATTGTGAGAACCCCAGAACAGATTTAGGGGAGTGGGGAGGAGAACATTTCAAGAAGAAATCCATGGGCTAAGTTTCACATGCTGAAGAGTACCCCAACACCAACCTCCTCACCCAAAATCAGCTATGTACCTGGCTGGATGAAAAAGGCTGATATCTCCTTTGGGGAATGTGTAACATTTTATGTTGGGACTGATGGATATGAAAGGAGAATGAGGAGGTTGCGCTTGGGGCTCAGAGGGTTCAGTCTGAGTTTCTGAGCATGATTCAGGCTCACTGGCACCTTGCTCAGCTGCAGGATCCCGGTCCTGCTCTGCTTTTCCAGATTCCCAGATGAAATCCGCTGCCTGCATTTCTTCCAGTTCCTGGGTGATCTTCTGTGCATCACAGTAATTGTTGATAAGAGCTCCACATTTTTGCTCCGAGAGAAGACCGATGCGGATCGAGGGCCAGAGGCTGCCAAACTGCACACCATAGGTCATGTCGAAGACCCGCAGAGCCCGTCTGGTGCAAGGCACGCGAGGAGTGGTGGATGCCTTTGCACGGATGAAAATGTGAAACAGGCAAAATATTAGTGCTGATAATGTTTGGGCATTATATGCACCACACACCTCTTTACCATGATGTGGCCCTACAGTGCTTGGATGTATGAGTGTATAGTGAAATCAAAGACCAGGGCCAATCCTGACATCAGGGACTGACCAATACAACGTCCTCCACCCACATCCCCATGAGATAGCACCAGTAGGGAACAGCTCCTTTCTTAAGGGCACACACACTCTATGTGAGAAGAGGTCCACGGAGGGCCTTGCATTCTACCATCAGGAGGTCCATATTCTGTACCTGAAAGTAACTCATACAAACTAAGGTATTTGTTCAGGTGAAATGCCATATTTTGCAACAGCCTTGAAGCTGTCTGTCACAACTGTGTGAGAGGAACAGAAGAAGGAAAACTACAACTCAAGGAACAATGCAGGCTGGGGGCCAATGGCAGCTGGAGTGCAACATCCCTATCTAGAGCAGGGTTTCTCAAACTTGGGTTTTGGACTACAATTCCCATCATCCTAAACCACTGTCCCTGCTAGCTAGGGATGATGGGAGTTGTAGTCCAAAACCAGCTGGAGTGCCAAGTTTGGGAAACCCTGATCCAGAGAACGGGCTGCTACCAAGAAGCCTTCTCTAAAAGGGCCAGGCAAACACGCTAACTTAATTTACGTAACGGAGGCCACGGCAAGCGAGGCGGGAGAGAGAGGCCGGATTGCAGAGCCGGGACAAAGTGCCGAGGACTGGACGGAGAGCGGGGTGGGTAATAAAAACACGGGGGGCGGAGGAGGCAACGCAGCGGGGACCCGCTGAAGGGCACGGGGCGGGATGTCCTTTGGGGCTTCACTGGGCTGGGCACGGGAGGGCGCCGCAGGAGCTGTGGGTCGGGGTCGAGGCCCCTCGCGCCTCACCCATTTCTTCTTCTGCGCGTGTCGGTGCCGGCGGGGAACGAAGGCGAAGGACGGGACCGTCGGCAAAGGCGCCTCTTTCCGCAGCAGCTGCAGCAGCAGCCCCTTCCCGCTTGCAGTGCGTGCAGCCGCCATCGCTCGGCTCCAGCGCCAATGAGGCCGGCCGACGCAGAAGCTCCTCCTCCTCTTCTGCTAAGCGTCGCAGAGCAGCCTGACGAAGCGGGGTGGGCGTCTTTTCCGGTGGACGCCGGGTTGCCGGAGCCTCGTGCATTTGCGCCAGGCATGTACCGCGAAAGGTATCGGAGGATTCGCTTTTGCCGAGACGCGTGCCGCCGGAGGTTTCATTCCAAGCAGGTCGTTTCGGGCACAGGTTACAACGTCTTGCTACCTCTAGCACAGGCATGGGGGACCTGTGGTCCAGGCCTGCTGGGTGGGACCCCCAACACGTACGGTCAGTGGCCTAGGTCTGCAGCAGAGGTAGCCGACGAGGTGCCTTTCACTGCAACTCCCATCAGCCCAGGCACCATGGCCAAGGGCAGGGGATGATGGGAGCTGTAGTCCAAAACATCTGGTAGGCACCAGCCAGGTGCCCGTGGTCCAGCAAGTTTAGGGTGACACAGCCTAGAGACGCACGTTTTCCATTTCTGACGTACCAAATGGGTCTGCATCTGCTCTTCAATTATGTGAAAACCAAATGAGGAGCTCGTTTTTTCTTCCCAATTTCAGCTTGCTAGCACTGTGGGGCTACACCATGAAGTTGTGTGTGATGTGTATTGTGGCTATAATAGAGCAGTCACAAACATGGAATGTTGGCTCATCAGCTGAATCGATATTTTCAGTGCTGAATTGATATGTAAGGTAACCCAAGTTTATGACATTTAACAACTCTTCCTTAGTTTAAAGCAAATTCCTACTGTGTGATTTTAAAAGTCCCTGCAAGCCACCCAGGTGAGGTATGTCCTTGAGTAGCCAGGGCTGATGGATGTAATCCATCTAGAGGGGACCCAATGTTGAGGAAGACTGTCCTAAAGTACAGTGGTACCTCTGGTTATGAACTTAATTCATTCCAGAGGTCTGTTCTTAAGCTGAAACCGTTCTTATCCTGAGGCGTGCTTTATTAATGGGGCCTCCCACTGGAGGCACAGGATTTCTGTTCGCATCCTGGGGCAAAGTTCGCAACCAGGAGCAGCTACTTCCAGTTAGGGGAGCTCGTAACATGAAGCGTTTGTAACCAAAGGTACCACTGTATATCTGCCATTAAAAGGTAATTCACTGGTCTCTCACATGAAACAATCACACCTTCAGGAATCTGTGTCCTCAAAGTGGAAATCTACCCTAGAGGTTTTCTGTAGGATGTTTCCTCAAATTAGGAAACCTATCCTTTTTAGCAGTTGTCTGACATTCAAAAGATTAGTGGCTGAAGTTTCTCCCAGTTTGTGTCAAGATGTCTGCAGGTCAGGCAGACACTGGGTTGTTAAACTGGCTTCTGATCAGCTTCCCTCCCCTCACACACTCCTGCCATTCCAGAGGTCCCCGTGGCGTTGCCAAGGACTCTTCAGAGGTGCTCTTACTTCAGATACGGCTGAAACCTGACCAGATTGTAAGAAAAGGCCTGACACTGATGAGACTGTAGCTCTGATGTTAAGAAAGGAAAATGGGGGCCCATGGTACAAAACGACAAAATAAGCCTTAGTAGCTTGCCTGAACATGTTGCAAACTTGGTACCACAGTGATCAGAATTGTTTGAAATAAAAGCAGGTAGTGTAGGAACTCAGCTGATTTGATTCTGTGTCCATCTTCCACAGTGGGGAGTTCTTTCCTTCCTAGGATTCGTTCAATGTAAGTTTGATGTTGGTATAGGAATGTCTCCAGCTTTACAGGCAAACACAGCTGCTAGGCAGCTGCAAATACAGCTGGGATAGACACCACATAGGCACCATGTGTAGCATGGGAAAGATTACATACAAGCTTCCAGGTTACATGTGTGACAATGTAGACAGAATGCCATTTAAAAATATATCTCACTAAGAAAGGTTCCGCACATATTATTATTATGTAAACATATCTACATGATCTCTTCTAATCTGTAATCTCTTCTAAATTTTGGATTCTACCTCCCACACTTAATATAAAGGAATAGGAAGATGCATATTATTGAGAGAAAGCAATGGACATTGTGGAAAGAGGAGGTAGCCAGCAGCACACACAGGACTATATTGTTTAGGACCCTAAAACCACATACTGTCCCCACACACAACCTGCCTAACCACCTACATCCTTTCCAATATTTCTTTCACCTATACATAAATGTGTTCTGACCTCCTCTTTGGTTTCTCCCTCACGGTTACTATTAAGGATATTAGTTGCTGTTTTCTGAAGATCTATATGCAATTAAAAGTTTTCAATGTCATGAAAAAATGGATCTTGTGCATTACTAAATTGCCTAATTTTTTATGCTTAACTTCAGAGCATGCTAAGATGTCTTGGCTGTCATAACAAGCAAACATTTTCACATTTGACAGGAAATATCTTTAATATCAGAAGTCTACAGAAACACTTTGTTAAGCAGCCACAAATCTTCTACATAACAGATGTATCCTGATGGCAACTCTTAAATTCTCCCAGAATTACCACAGAGCTAGTTGCATTCACTTTCATATCACACGTGCAGAGCTGCATGTTTACTCAAACTGAACACTCAGGTTTTCATCAGCTATGCATGAGGACGACACAGGCTTATATTAACATTTATTTCAATTTGCTGAAGAGTTTATGAGCCACCTGAAAAAACCAAAAGATGAACAAATTAAATTAACAGGAGCTTCTTTAGCAACACATACATTAGTCCTAATAGCCTTCTTTAGGCATTATACCCAAGAGAAATATGTGATGGGGGAAGCTGGAATGAGTGTACTAGCTCTGTCCCTTAACTTTTCCCATCTCCCACCAATTTGGGGAGGGTGAACTTTTGAAACAGGGAGCCTCCTGTGCTTGTCGAGACTCCACACACATTTCAGAACCATGGAAAACCAGTGTTCTAAAATGCACACAGTGCAGAAGGCTCCACACTTCAGGAATTTATCTTTCAACTCCCACAGGCAATCAAATGGAATGGAGGGCAAAGATAGCACGTTTTATTCAGTATAACACCTGAGGAGGGCTACTGTTTTGCTCCCTCTGGGAACCAACTGCATTGTTGCACAATATATTCTTGCCTACTTACAATCAAGAAAGCTGGTTACAGAAAAATGTACTTTATAAGCAACAAGCCAATAGTTCACAAATTTTTAAGATAATTTTTAAGATACTATTTTAGGATATTGTTATAAAAATCTTGTAAGTTTATGTTTTCTTTTTTCTAGTTTTTCTCTTATAATTCTTTATATTTTTAATAAAGAATATTAAAAAGATAATATCTTAGTTTCCTCTTAGTAATGTTGCTTTGAATATATACTTTATATTTGACCTTCTTCAGTAATGTTTTATTCTGGATTGTTTTATTTGATGTTGTAATGCGGTGTAAACCGCTTTTGAGATTTTTCCTTTAAAATATAAAGCTGTGTAGAAATGAAATCATTAATAATAACACTTCTAAAAAACTAATTTATAAAGCTGACAGTGTAATTCCACACCCACAAGATAAATGTCAAAATAGTACTTCAATTCAGTCATTCAATCTATATTGATGTTCAATAAAGTGTCTGTGGCTCAACACTGGAGAAATAAGGTATTTGGCCACAAAATACTGTTCACACTTAGAAATTACTCTGAGACAAACTTACACAATGGTCTCTAGCATGCAAGAAGTCAAAGAGTTCCTCTGTACACTTCTCCTCTGTATGGGACTTGGATGACACTCGAGCATTACACTCCTCTAAACGTTCCCGAGCTTTCACACATTTCTCAATCTGTTCACAATGCTCCCTTAGAGTAGTTAAAGGATCCTGGACAAAAAGGAAGATATAAAATAGGCACAGTTAATGCAAATGAGTGATTGCTAAGAGAGAGGTTCAACTTTACCACCACAAGCTAGAATATAAAAGCTTGCTATAACTTGTCCTGGATAGATGATAATGACAAGCATACAAATGATGAGATCTAAAATGGCAGGCATTAACAGTCCTGTTGTCAAAATATTCTACCTCTACACTTCCAGCTTTAGTGTTACAGTCAGGTAAATTACAATCATTTTTCTAAGGTAGAACCAAGAGCCACAACAGGATTATAAATAAGGAGCATGTGAACCAAGCCTAACTTAAATGAGGTGCAGAACCTGTATATGGATTCTAATCCAGATGGCTTTCATTCTTGCGCTAGACTGTGGGGGAAATGTTATGGTTAAGTTACATACAAAACCAAGTTGTGGGTGTTTGAAAAATATCCTCCTAAACTGCAGTATTTGAAAGCAGGGAAAGCCTATGATGCAGTACTACACCACATCTCAATATATAAATGGTTCAAAATAGATATGGAGAAGAAACAGCACTTGTATCACACTTGACAAACACAATTTGTGTATTGATTTATCATTTTGTGACTTATTAGTGCCTAGGTAAAAGTTATATACTGTTGGGAAAGCAAGCAAGCTACACCCAAGTTTGCCAGAATCAATATGTACTCCTATGTCAGTAAGTATACATATGCAGAAACTGTTGTGGGACTCCAGAGATATTCAAAACTATTTGTCACTATAAGTATCCCTTATTAAACATTATGATCCTGAAGACAGACAGGATGTGAATGGCACTTTCTGTATGGCAAAATGTGATGCAAATAACCTTTCTACAGCAAAGTAGCTATGTATTAAAACTTAACTAATGCACTTTCAGTTCTGAACCAAAGTACAGGCATACCTTGGAGATAGTACAGTTCAGTGCAGGTTCAGTTCCAGACCACCACAATAAAGCAAATATCGCAATAAAGTGAGTCACACAAAACCATTTGTTTCCCAAGTGTATATAAAAGTCATGTTTCCACTATACTGTAGCCTATTAAGCCATGCCCCCCCCCCTGACTGCAGGAGCAGGAGGGAGAAAACCTCAGTTCCAGCCCTAGCTAGCTCCACTCCTGTGGCCTGAAGAAGGTCATCAGGGGGCTTCCTTCCCCTGGAAGTGGTCAGGCTGCCTGCAGCTGCATCCAGGTCCTCATAAGGAACAGTATCTGTGAGACGCAATAAAGCAAATCTCAATAAAACAAGGTATGCCTGTACTTCCCTACCCCCAGCCTTTTGTACCTTTCCCTGGTTTTCTAAATACAAATAGGACATTTTATGGACTAGGGTTTAAGAAGTCTGCTGCTCTCAAAGGATTAATCTTTCCCCGTTGTCATTATAATAAAGTTTACCTACCACAAGCTCTTCTTCCTCCTCTTCCTCCTGGGCAGAGATGCAAGAAAATAAGAATAGACTCGTAAGTGTCATGATATTTCTATAATAAGAGTATACTTAACCATATCAAAACCAATTCCACTTATTTGCATTTCCGCTATGTAGTACTGTACAACTTCTCTTTCATAACACATATATACGTCTGTTATAACAAAAATATCTGTTATTCCTAGATATTTATTTAAAAGGTTCCCTTCAAACTGATATTCAAAACCAATGTATATGTACATTTTAACAGGCTGGGCTTTAAACCTTTCACTAGGCATCTTTCTAACCTGTTAGGGACTTGGTGGCAAGAGGTACAGTGACCACAGTATTGCTGTGGAAATAGGCCCCCAATGCTGAGGGGAAATTACGGCTTAACTAGAACCAGATCAAAACTCATGGGAAATGCTCCAGCTCTTCAGGCACTGGAGATATCCTGACAAGGGTGGGTGTCAAGGAGCAGAATGGAAATAAGGCTAAGCCTCTGAGGGTCTTATTTAAGAAAGCCTCTTAGACATGGGTAGAACAAACTGAGAAATGGATGTGGTAAAGACTGATGGGAGAGTCAGAGGCAGCAGTATACTGAACGTACTGTGAAGCAACATAATATGGGACAGGATAAATAAAGGACAGTCAGCCACAACAAGCATACAAATACAGTTATAGTGGAATTCAAGATATGAACTGTAGCAATGCTGAAAAGAACAGCAGCTGTCTAATACTTAATATTTGCAACCAGAATATTACATCAGGCACTGGGCAGAACACATATATTAAACAGCAAACCTCTGGCAGAGACCACTTATTAAAAAGAAGGGGTAGAAACCACTGCTCTTACTTGAAGAGCAGAACACGTGTGTGTGCACATATACACACGGAAGTCAGGACCTTAAAGAAAACCTGTTAAGTTTTAATTTTCACTGTACTCCATTCTGGGCTTCCTTTGGCAACGGAGAACAGATATTTGGCACTATCTGTTATGATGGTGAAAAATAAATATAAATAAATGAGAACAAGCAAGATGCGAGGAGGAAAAATGACTCGGAGAAGGGAAGGATGGGGGGGGGGAGGAATAATAAAAAGAGGGCCTCTGGCACGAGAGAGAGAGAGAGATTAACCTGCGAGTATCAGGAAGAAAGCAGGGGAGTGTCGACAGGAGACACAACAAAGACTGAATTCTGCCTCCAGTCATGGGTCAGCTCTGGAAAACCCAGAAGCCGGTGGCGAGGGAGGCATCTCGCCCATGGCTGTTTCTACCCCACCCGCTACGGCACTCGGACCGTGTAAGGAAGAAGGCCCATTGACAGGGCAGGCCTATAAGCGTCTACTCGGAAGCAAGTCCCATTGCGTTCAGCGGCGCTTGCTCCCGGGTAAGTACGTTCAGGGCTGCAGCCTAAGCGATGAGCAGGTCTCCAACGGCCGCTCTGTGAGGAGAAGAAACGAAAAAGAAAAGAAACCCGGAGGGAAGAGAGGGAGGCCCAGAGGTGGGGAGGCTGGAAGGAGGGGGAGGGAAAGCACACCATCCCGGAGGCCAGAGCAAAGATGTTTCGCCTCGCCGGCTCCCGGTCTGCGCTCACCTCGGGGTCCCCGCTCCGGCCCTCCAGCGCCTTCTCATCCTGCCACCCCATCGCCGCAAATCTCCCTCAAGCCTGGCTCCGCTTCCCCAGAAGGACGCCGAAGGGTCACCCGCAACCTCGGCGGAAATCCCGCCCACTCACAGAGCGCTTTCCGACGGCGACGACCTTCTTCAGATGGCTCCCTTTCTCGACGTACGCAGGCGGGGTGGCGGCGTCGTCCTCCGGCGTACACATTGCTTTTCGTGACTCTACCAAGATGGCCGCCGCCAGTTCCGCTAAAATGGCGCCGAGGGGAGGAGGGAGGAGGAGGGGCGGGGAAACAGTCGACCCGCTCAGCATGGCAGCATCATACGTCCGCATAACAATAAGTGACCTTCCCAAGATGGCGTAGCCCATCCCTGTTCTCGCTGAGTAGACCAGGAGCCTGAACAGTATGGAGGCCAAGTCTGCGGAAGAGATCTCTGATCGGAGTCCTCTCAGCCTGTTTGAGCTCAGCGCGGCGGCAGTCAGCTCCGCTATGGGACGCGTGGAGAGAGAGGTTTGGGGTAAGAAGGGGAAAGGGAGCCACTGGTCTCTCCCGAATTAGGATTTACGGGCAGTTACTGTGTTGGCGCTCTTAAATGTGAGGGTCTACCCTAAAGGACGCCAGGAATCGAGGCACTCTAAATAGGCCGCGTCACCTGAAACCCCTCCTTTCTCTAACTGAAATTCAGCTTTCTCTTGATTTCTCCCCGCAAAAGCACTTCCAGGTCCGATACTTCAAGGAATCTTGCCTCTGCTTAACATCTACTACCTGGAGCGAATTGAGGAGATCGCTGTGAAAAAGGGTGAGCTACTTTGCTGGTCTGAAGGACAGGCGGGGATACAATAGTGCTAGCAAACTGTTGTCTGCTATCCTAGTTTCTCTCTGGTGCATTTAAAAAGTTTATTTTGTTCACACTTCACCAAGTGTGCTTAATTCATTTTGTGGTTGAGACAAATCCTTGCTCTCCATATTCCCAAGTGTCTGTTGCCCTGGTGTCAGTAAACTGGGTCAAGCGGTTTCCCCCCCATTCTTGACAAGGGTGAAATGTGTTGAACTGTATATCCTGTGCATGTTTACTCTGAAGTCTGCTCTACTGATTTTGGGGAGGCTTGCTTCCAAGTAACATCAGAATCCTAGGTCTACTCAGAATTAAACTTATTGAATTCACTGGAGCATACTTTCAGGTAAGTGGGGGTTAGGATCACAGCATAAGAGCATAGGATTGCAGCTTCAGGCAATATGCTTACTGAATTCAACAGCACAAATAAGCTACACCGATCAAAAGCAGATGGGTTTCAGAACATAGTTTTTAGCTATTATTTTTTATGGTATTTAGGAGCTTTATCAGAACCTTTTGAGCACCAGACAACATACAGTACTTTAGTTTAAGAACTCAAAAAGTACAGTAATGAAGGGATTAACTTTCCTAGTATCTCAGGGTTGAGCATATACAGAAGGTCCCAGATTCAGACCTGGCAACTGGACGTAGGGTTAGAAAATGCTGCTCTCTGAAACCAGAGCTATTTTTCTAGCTCAGTATAGCCTATAAAATGATTGGCACCAGCTTTCTGAAACCAGAGTTTCAGAGAGTTGGTGTCAGTCATTTTATAGACTATACTGAGCTAGAAAAACGAAAGGCCCAAATCTGTATATGGCAGCTTCCTATCCTATATTCCAACTAAAACCATGTCCAAATCCATGGTCACAGGTTTTGCAGTGGACTAGTCATTCTCTCAGCCTCACCATCTTCTCAGGCTAAAAAGTTAGTCTGAGCTCCATAGGACAAGGGCAGATATCAAGTAATATATTTTCATGCTGCTGCCAGATTTATTTCAGTTTGATTTGGGAATTGTTGCAACAGGAGATGTTAGCAGATTGGGCTAGATCATGAGCTCCCTTACAATTTTGTAACCTTTGCTGAAGAAATCAAATATTCCTATTATAATTTAATAAATCCCACTTTTCAAGATACACCCTTTAAAGTATCCGGATAATGATTCTTAAGGAATGCATAATGCACTTTAACATGAAGCCTGTCTTGATTCAAATCTCAATTTGACTGAGGGCTTGCTGGATTGAGTAAATGTCATTTCAGCATAGGGTTCCTGTGTGCAAAATGGAATAACCTAACAGATAACTTCTATAATAAACGAAAAACCCTATGCAATAATTTCAAGTCTCAGTGTTTACATTTGAAGCCTAGTTTTGACACTGAATTTTCAGCTTCAGCTATTCTGAAGTCTGGTGCTTTCATCAGAGATGGAATGCTTGCTTTAATTATGTTACAAGTTATGTGTAATTAGTTATGAATTTTACCTGTATGCGTATAATTAACGGTATAGATTTACATTTTAATAGTCCATTTTTTAAAGTATGTGTTATGTTTCCTCAGGTCTCTCAACCCAACCTATATGGTGCAAGCTCTGGTTTGACATAATGAAAACAAGACCTTCTAGATTAGAGGTAGGTTATGGAGGCAAACTACAAAGCTGACATACCTGAGACAAGCAGGTTTTCCACCTTCATGGCTAAATGGATTTTATATCTGAAGGGGTTAACTTTCTGTGATGATGCTTTGGATCAGTCTTAACTGGTTTCAATTAGACTTACTCAAAAATATGTGTAAATGGGAATGCAATCTAAACCAGGGGTGGGGAACCTTTTCAGTCCAAGGACCGCATTCTGCTGTAGACAATCTTCCAGGGGCCACATGCCACTGGCAATATTTTCACTAGAGCAGGAGAATCGGGAAGAGGAGGGTTGGTACCTGGAGCCCCTGCCAACGGCAGCACCCAACTGACAGCTATTCTTGGTGGCCATTCCCCAAGGGAAAGGCCAGCAGGGCAGGGTGTGTTGGATGTGGTTGCTGGAAGGTTTGGGGACAGGGGAGGAGCTCCCTGGAAATGTATGCTGGCTGCATGAAATTAAGTGGGATGGGGAGGCGCATCTGGGCCCAGGTCAGAAGATCCCCACCCCTGCAATAGATAGTTCCAGTTTGTGGAAAGCAGAGTAAGCGAGAAGTTACCCTTTCAAATTGGGTTCACACTAAGGAATTAAAGAGAAGGATTTGATGAACACATGCAATTTGTTTACTAAGATTATTAGGAGCCCAGGACCTCTGTTGCCTTCTAATTACTACAAAATTAATGTATGGTTTGGACTGTCAGAAGCTCACACAATTTTGTAACCTAACTGCAATGAGAATGTGATTTACAGGCACTCCTGTAAATCTACGTCTCAGATTCCATTTTGTTTTTACTTTAAAATATTTAATAAGATTTCCTTTTTCCTGTAAATAATATGAGGTTCTCACTGAAGTAGTAAACCTGTACCTAGGCTACACTACTTCAGACTAGAATGAATGCTTTGCCATACAAAAACATCCTCACCTACAGATAATTAGATGTCAGAGAGAAGAATTTGCGCATAGCTTTTTCTCAGACTTGAGTGTTTTCCATCTTTAGGGATTTCCCCCCTATGTATACCATCACATGATCCCCCCCCCCACCTTTAGTATGCACATCAGCAGGAACTGTGATGTAAGAAACTGTGGAGCAAGGAATTTATCACAGTTTGGTTCAATTTGATTGCAGAGCATCAAGTGTTGGAGGAAGAAGTTCATTGAAACTTTCTTCTCAAATGTGCTGCGTGGCATCCTGGATGTGTCTTTACACCAGCGCCTAAGTGACCCTTCCTTTTTGCCCCTGCTGCACACTTCGCGGCATGTTACCCAGCTTACCATCTACAACATGCTTGAGGGAGTGTCAGAGCTGATGGCCAAACACAATCAGAGCGTCCTAGAAAACTTGGCTGTCTCCCTCACATCCCTGACATTCCGTCACCTCCTCTCCTCCAGTCTGTCTACTAGGCAACAGTTGAGTGCGTTCCTTCATCGCCTAATTCATCATGGGGCTGTGAACCACCTCTCTATGTATTCTTGGCCTGACCCTGACCCAGCACTTTTAGCCCTCATTCTGAAAATGAGTGCTGGGGTTTGGCACCCTGGAAAAACACTGCTGGACCAAGAAAACCTTTGCCATCTGTGCAGAGAGAAATGTGTTGACCAGAGCCAAAAGCTAGATGAAGAGCCTTGGGGTTCAAGGCAGCTATTTCAGAGATCAGTCAGTGACCAGCATAATAATAGTGGCCTGAGGAATGAGAAACTATTGCCTAGTGTGCCTCAAGAATCTCTTCTGGGCTTTCAAAATGCAGTAGAATTGGCCAAAACTAGCAGCGAAACTCTAAAAGCCCCGGTGGGATGCAGATTGGGTTGCAATTCTAGGCAAAGCAAAATGCAGCAGAGCTCATGTTCAGAAAGTTATAGTGCTGAAGAGGGATCTGTCACTTTTATCCCAGCAAAGACATTTCAAGATGTCCCTACTTTGGAAAAATATCAAAAGAGGCGTAAAGCTGTAACAGCAAAAAAGCGCAGCTGCCGTCAGAGGAGCAGCAAAGTCCCTGCAGAGTCAGAAGACCTTTACGACTTTGTCTTTGCGATTGCGAGGGAAGAGGAGGAGACTGCACCGTGTAGCGAAAGAAGGAATGCGGAGGAGGAAGAAAGCCTTGCTAGCTGTTCCCGTCTCTCAGAAGAGGCTGCCAGTAGTTCTGGTACAGTTTGCACAGAGGGAACCCGATCTGCTGGGATGCCTTCTTTGAAAACAACAGGTCATTTCCGAAGTGTGTCCACGCTGGAAGTGTTCTCCATCTCTCTGACCAGGAATACATGCCAGATGCTGGGGAACCTGCTGAGCTCTTGGGTGTCTTTAGAAAAACTTGTTCTGTCTTTGAATGGTGAGTGAGAAACCAAACATTTGTCTTCGGGTGTTTTTAGAAAAGCAGAGGCAGCTCTCTCTCTCTCTCTCTCTCTCTCTCTCTCTCTCTCTCTCTCTCTTTCTTTCTTTTGAGAGCCACATTGATCCATAGTTCAGGGTGTATCAAAATGTAAAGGGGGGCATGGCAACAACTTCATTTCTCAAGGCTCCTTTCCTAAAGACTTCCCCATCAGTTTTTCTATCCTGTTTTAAATAGTTTTGTATCATTCATTATTAAATTCAGATATAACAACAACAATAAATCTTTTTATCTATTCATTTATTTAAAATTGTGCACCACTTGGGTTGTAGAAAGAAAACCTCAAAGCAGTTTACAAGATTTAATGGACAGATATGGGTGAGGCCTTGTAGGGGCGTGAAAAACCTTTTGGAATCAAGTATCATAGTGGGGTACCTACAGGAGTAATCAGTAAAAAGCTTTCATTTTTTAAAAAACAAAACCCTATTATTAAAAAAAAACTTTCTAGAAATAGAAAATGGGAAGCTTGAGAAACACAAAACCCCTTTTACTTCATGGCATCATAGCAGGAGACTCACTGGAGTAGTCAATAGTCCGTTCTTTTTAATGGCAACTTTGGGAGTTGGGGGCTTAAGGACCACAAAAACCTAAGGGGATGATATGTGATGTAATAATCTTGCTGTGTGTTTTCACTGCCTATTCCTGCCTCTTAAAATGTGTTTTCCAGGCCTGGGCCCCGGCATCTTCAGTATCCTCTCTGGGCTCCGGGTCCTGTCTCGCCACAGTGATTACCGCCTCCGTGTGGTGCGCATCAGTGACATGTTCTCGCATGTCCCCTGCATGAATCTTGTTCATGCTTTCCTGAGCGCTGTGCCGTTGCTTCAGACCCTCTTGGTCAGCTTTGATCTCAAAACCGCGACAGAGCGGGGCAGGCCGGAAGAGAGCTGGGACTCGTCACCCTTTGAAGAAGAGATTCCAGGTAATGCACTGACCAGTTCCGGACAAACATTTTATCATTCGCTTTCCTTTCCTGCATATGTGAGATCATTTAATTTTTCATTTATGCACTGCAGTGGCCGCCTAGCCACTTCAAATTTGCTGCTTATCTTGCAGCCTCTTTTTAAGGAGGCGCCTGCCCTCTCAAAGAGCAGCAAAGAATTTCATTTTTGTACTGTCTGCACAGTCAATGCAGTGGATGCAAACAGCTCCTGATTGTTTTGGTACAACTGCTGAGATAGAACACCTTGGCCTGCTAGAGGAAGTGAATGGTGTTAGTGATGCAGCCTGATTTGGAATCTGATTCTAAGTCGTCTTACCTAGGTTCATTTCAAATCCCATCAGTCCCAGCCAGCATGGCCAATGGTCAGATATAATGTTGATGTAGTCCAACAGCATGTGGACAGGTTCCTCACCACTGCTTCAAACCATGGTGTGGTAGCTCAGGAAAAAGCCAGCTTGCGTTCTTCCACTTCCCCTCACTTTATGTACCTTAATTCATTACTTCCTACTTTAATCAATATTATTGTTGTTGTCCATCCCCCCGATCTAGAGAGCCATTTGGAACACCTTGAAATCAGATTCCCTAGAGAGCCTCTTCAGACAAGTCTCCTGGTGCCTGTGTTGAAGGCCTCAAGGTCTCTCCAGAGCCTCTCTCTAGACAGTGTTGCAATTTCCTGTCCTCAAGAAGTTGGGCTTCTCCTACAGGCACTCAAAGGTATGATGGAAGCAATTTTGCCTTTTCCACAGCTGCTCAGCAATGGTAGCAATTTGCCAGGAGATAATAACATCATTGGCCCTCAGTCAGCGAGGCATACAAGATTATTGTGTGAACTGCTGGCAGAGCTAAACTAGTCTAAAATATTCTTTTCAAGATTTTCAGCATACATGCTACTGAACAGAAAAACTGTAGCAGGGGGCTCCATGTTTTTTCTCTTAAGATCCTGTTTCTCTTGCAGAGTACAGCCCAAGCCTGAAGAAGCTAAGCTTTCATGATGTCAACCTTTCTGGCCACTCAAAAGAAGTCCTCCTCCTGCTACAGGATCCCATTCTTCAAGGTACATTAAATGCACTTGCCTTCTCCAAACTGGTATTGGCTCTTATCAGCGACCACCGTTGCAGGCAGTTAAGAAGGAGATTTCTGCAGAGGCCTGTAAGTTTTGTGGTCATCCTGTTTCAAAAACTGTCGTTTCAATTTAATAGTTTTGTGAAGAGCTGGATTTTGCCTCATTCTCCATATAGCTCTACCTGATGGAGGTTGAGTGGTGTCAGAAAAAGAAAGCTAGCACATTGTGACGGAAAAGTTACTTCACACCTAAGGAGGTGTATTCAAAAGGGGTGTAAAGCTTAGAGAGAAAGGAAAAGGGTGCTTATATACACTGTCCATTAGTATATCCTTAAGTCTCCTTACTGGATTATAACTGTGCTTTCACTCTGTGGTGCTGCCTTCATTGGGCTATGCATGCAGTGAATCTACAGTGGTGCCCCGTAAGACGAATGCCTCGCAAGACGGAAAACCCGCTAGACGAAAGGGTTTTCCGTTTTTCAATGCGCTTCGCAGGACGAATTTCCCTATGGGCTTGCTTCGCAAGACGAAAATGTCTTGCGAGTCTTGAGATTTTTTTCGCTCCCCCCCTTTTTCTAAGCCGCTAATAGCCTTTTAGCCGCTAAGCCGCTAAGCCTTTAATAGCCGCTAAACCGCTAATAGCGCTAATCCGCTAAGCCGCTAATAGGGTTGCTTCGCAAGACGAATAAACCGCTAGACGAAGAGACTCGCGGAACGGATTAATTTCATCTTGCGAGGCACCACTGTAATTTCAAACCATAGACAGGAGGAACATCTTCATTTTTCTCTTGCAATAGAAATCACCTTTTCATTCTGTCGGCTGTTTGAAAACTGCACCGCTGAGCTCCTGTCCGAAATAATAAAGGTTGTGAAGAAGAACTCAACACTGAAGAGCCTCAGACTCCCTGGAAATAGGCTGGGTACGTACAGGAGGGATGCTATGTTATCAAGAATGTTGGTACTTTTGTCCCGTCCTTCAAGCCCAACTGGCATAGGCTGAGGACTTCAGGCACAACTATTTTTTGACACATGTAGCCTCTTGCTTACCAAAATTCAGGCCACACTAAGTCGATAAAGGTTGCCCAGGGCACTTTTTGTCCTTTTCCAGTTCACCTGTTCAACTAGCCACCCTTTCTAATTTGGTTCCTGAATGCTCAATCCTTCAATATGTGGGGGCTTTTATGTTGCGTGCTTAAATCATTGTCTAGTTTCAGAATGATCTGAAACAGAAATGGTGCTGAATTATGTCTGCTGTAAGGTTAGTCTACACATGCAGCAGAAGTAAGTGGAAGAACTCAGTGCTTCACTGGCACAGAAGGAGTCATGCTTCATGAGAAGTATTAGACTCACTACTGCACCCTTTCAGGGCACTACAGAAGGCTAATGGAAAGCCACGCTTTACTAGCCTTGATCATTTGAAAGAGAAGATTAAGAATAGACTAACTTGCACTGAGACTTTGCAAATGACTGCCAAAGGTAAGTATGCGTTCTCACGTTGCATGAGATTAAACAGTCAGTGCTTAAGTAGCTATTTAAGGAATATAAGCCAGAATATAGAATTCAACTTCATTCTTCAATGAGTGGTAGAATGGGTTGCACCACTTCAGATTGTACATAGGAGCCTCATTTTAAAACCCTGCATGGCAAGGAACAAGTTGGGTCAAAACTTTACTCACCAACGTGATGGGGGTTTATTAGCATGTTTCCATGGCAGAATATTAAGAATTGTATGTCCCTAATCTCCTGCCTGAAGGGATGCAGTCTACTATGGCATTGTGCTGCAGGAGTAGACTAGGCCTGATTGCTGCTGCTTCACCATTTACCACTTGCAATTATGTGCTTTATATGTTCCCTAACATTCATAGTTGGTTTTCTTCCACCCCTCATTATTAGGAAATCACAGGCTTGTTGCATTGGCTGACATTTTTTCTGAAGATTCATCATCTTCCATCTGTCATCTGGATTTAAGGTAGGTTCCACTTCCTCTGAACACATAGCCCTATTGGGGAGGGGGCATGGGGGAAAAGAGTGGTATGTCTGTACTAGGATCCAATGCGCAATTGTATTTTCATTCATTCACCAATTACTTTTAAAGAAAGGTGTCAATTTCCAAGGAAAATGACTCTTCCTAGTATACTTTTCTGAAGCTGATGCTGGGAAGTATTTATACTTGAGTACTTGAACAATTTAATTGTTTAATGTCTAATTCATAGTAATATGAAACCAAGTGTTTTCTTAGTGTAGTTACTGTGATGGGAGAAGAACCATTATTCTATACAAATGTCATCTGCAAACAGCAATGGACTAGTCTAACCCTATTTTCCTATAGCTCTAACTGTATCAAACCTGCTGGACTCCTGGAGTTTGCCAAGAAGCTGGAGAATTACATAGCCCAACGTGGAGAACAAATCAAATTCACCAAGCTGTGCCTCTATCAGAACTGGCTGGACCAAGATACCGTAACTGCTCAAGAGGCTCTTTGGCGGCTAAAAGCTATGTGCAGCATAGTTAGCGACACTTGGGATTCATCTCAGGCCTTGGCTGACTATATCAGTGTGATGTGAACTTATCTACTAATAAAGCTGCCTAATCAATTTACCAGGATTCAGTTTTCCTGTTTTTTCTAGACAGGCGCAACCGAAACTGGGCTTACTTGAGTACGAACACACATTTTTATAATCAGTGTCAGCTAGGGAAAATAATAACAGAATGCTTAAATGGCTTAAGTGAAGTATGGGAAATGGTTGCAATAAAATATCAATATTATAAAAAGAGTGGTACTGTTTGCCAGAGTGTATTCAGTTGCTATCTTCTGATTACTTACTCCTATATAAGTCCCGTGGGGGACGCTGTGGTCTAAACCACAGAGCCTAGGGTTAGGGCTGGCCCATCAGGTCGGCAGTTCGAATCCCTGTGAAAGGGTGAGCTCCCATTGCTCGGTCCCTGCTCCTGCCAACCTAGCAGTTCGAAAGTACGTCAAGTACAAGTAGATAAATAGGTACTGCTCCGGCAGGAACGGCGTTTCCGTGCGCTGCTCTGGTTTGCCACAAGCGGCTTAGTCATGCTGGCCCCATGACCCGGAAGCTGTCTGCGGACAAATTCCAGCTCCCTCGGCTATAGAGCGAGATGAGCACTGCAACCCGAGTCGTCCACGACTGGACCTAATGGTCAGGGGTACCTTTACCTTTTTATATAAGTCCCAGTGAACTCAGCACTTCTGAGGAGACTTCTGCAGTGTTATGACTTCCCCTGAACCTGAGAGGTCAAGGTTTCAGCCATGACTAGGTATGCAAAGGAAGACTGAACACTTCCCTTTATAACAATCACCCCTAAAATTACCGTTACATAAGCTTCATAGGATGAGAGGTGAAGTCCCAACAGCTCACTCATATGAGTGTTAGAAGTCTTCCCACCAAGTTAAACCCCACACTGCTGTACGAAGTATTGCAGTCTACATTTTATTTTACTCTATAAAAACAGGACAGTGATAACTGGCACATATGTTATCACTATCTTTTAAAGTCACTGCTGTGGAGAGTCAATAAATAAGCTTAAGGAGTTAAGATACAGAAATATTTTGTCCCGGTACTCATGAACTCAATTTTCTTTAAGTGAATCTTCTGCCTGGAGAACTAAGGTATCAACCATCTGAGGCTCAAGTGGAAAAACAGACTTCTTTCACCCATCTGCTTTGATTTTGAGGTTTCCAGATTCTATTTACACTAGGCCTTACCTCATTAGCAGAATTAAAACAGATCTTTTCATTACTATTTAACAGCAAGCAATTCAGTTTCAATAAATTGTATGTATATCCATTGTTCACTGTTATTCTTGAAAAATTAACTTTGTAGGCATGTCTTTAAATTTTTCAGAACAAGTAACACAGTCCAAAGAGTGATAAAGTAGCATGGGATCAATTCCATGATCAGAAGTGAACACTTTTCTGCCGCGGTCTTCCCATACATGCCAGGTTTCATAAACATAATTATACTAATGCTCTGTGACCCACTGATTTGGCCTACCACTTTTGTAAAGAAGATATAGTTCTTCCACGGCATTAATGGGAGAAAAAGTGTAATCTTAAACGTGGTGGATCAGGATAACAAATAGCTTGAGTTTCAGAAAGTCAGCCCAAACCAATCGTCATGGTATCCCCCGTTGTTCTTCATGGGAATGATGATGGAAGGTAAAGGTGACAGCAGCATCCCAGGCAGCCTTGAGGACTGTGTCCTGGAGTCCACGTTTTTCAGCACAGTGATTCCACTGGGATAAGTCAGAAGTGCAGTCAGACCCGTCTGGAGGTGGCCTGACTTGATGGCCATTCACACAGCGACGACACTTGATCCTGCAACGAAGAGTGCATTGTGCTAACAAGGGCCAGAGCCTCTACGTAACGTTATGCAGGCTTTCATTGTCTGAGCTTAAAGGGCTAGCAATCTTGAAGACACTACTGTTTGCAAAGATTGTATCGTTTAGAAGCATGCTCTATTTTACTTACTGATGAAAAAAGTTTAGGCAGAAATCAGTGCGTGTACCAGAAATTGGGATTAAAACATTTGCTTCGCACCTCTTCCCAAAGTAAAGTTATGATATTCAAACCTTCAGTCAAGCACACAAACTAATAATCTCTTAAGAGGGTTTACAGCCCTAGGGTAATTTATTTATTTTAAGATTGCTTTTACCTGTCTTTCATCTCAACGTCCCAGGATGGGTTACAACCATATAGCCACACACTAATGTCCTATGAAGCAATTTAACCCAAACCCAAAAATGAACACTTCCAATCAGCATGAGTAGCAGGCAAACTGGGGTATATGTTTCTACAGGGGCCTACTCATAGAGTCCAACAGACAGGCACATTTGTGTACTGCAAGGCTTGAGGCGCACAGCTCACAATACCATTAACCTACACAAATGTTAAGGCCAATACATGATCACGTAGGACATGGTGGGCTGATGTGGTCCTAATCTATTGCTGCATATACAGACTGAACATGGGGATAATTTTTCTTACTTGTTCTAGATAAATATACCACACAAAAGCCTTCATTTGTGTCCCCCAACACATTACCCACAGTTCTTCCAATACTAACTTGTCATGGGTATCACTTGTGGTGGTCTCATTGAGCGTGAATAGCTCCTTCAGTTCACCGAGAGAGAAGTGTCTTTCCACATCCTGCTCCTCATCTACGACGCAGCTGCTGAGAGCCTTCTTGTGGGTCTGCCGCTGAAAGATCTTTTCCTCAATTGTCCCTGTCTAAAAGGATACAAAATTAAGGCTGGTGCTGGGTTTTTGGAAAGGCCAGAGAATCCTTATAAGCGTTACATGTTCTTTAACCAGAACCTGATTTCCACATTCCACTTGCCATGCACTCCCAATCAAGCGTGAAGAATGGTGCCATCCATTCCTCATATTGTTCCCTTCTCAAAAAATTGCCCTCTGGGCACCAATCCTGCAGAGCAGGCTTCCTCAACCTCGGCCCTCCAGGTGCTTTTGGCCTACAACTCCAATGATCCCTAGCTAGCAGGACCAGTGGTCAGGGATGATGGGAATTGTAGTCTCAGAACATCTGGAGGGCCTCGGTTGAAGAAGCCTGCTGTATAGCTTGTTCAGCATGTAAATAAGGAATGAAGCTCTGAAATTTGGCCAAAGACTTCACATCTGTAGAGTGCTTAACTGTTAAATGGGGTGTTATATGTTAGCCAGTTACGTTATTTTTATTCTGTTTCAACTTGTATCTTTAACTACTTTAAGGTCTTGCCATAGGACACTATATGCTCATTATTATATATATATAAAAATATTACAATATAAACTTGTGGTTAAAAGACCAGGATAGATAATCCAAAAGCAGCTGTGGCTTCAGTTTTCAGGCAACAGTGGAAAACCATTGGCCTTAACCTTTAAGCCTGATGGGGATATGCCTCTAAACAAAGAGATTTACGTCTGGGACATCTTCCTTTTCCTATGTCCTGATGAACCTTTAGTTCGCTTTACATCACTGCACATGCCCAGTATCATAACAGATTGGTAAAAAACCAGGCTCCACTGTAGTCCGTTCAAAACGTTTATGTTTTTTTCATGCCATGACACCAGCTACCCTTGTGCAACTGGAAATCAGACACCTGTTACAAGAGTAGTTCGGGTTTGATATCCCGCATTATCACTACCCTAGGGAGTCTCAAAGCGGCTAACAATCTGCTTTCCCTTCCTCCCCCACATCAAACACTCTGTGAGATGAGTGAGGCTGAGAGACTTCAGAGAAGTGTGACTAGCTCAAGGTCACCCAGCAGCTGCATGTGGAGGAGCGGAGACGCGAACCCGGTTCACCAGATTACAAGTCCACCGCTCTTAACCACTACACCACACTGGCTCTCAAACTTGTTTCTTTTTGCAACAGACTCAAGCTTTGCCATCTCTACTCTGCGATGAGGACAGTCACAAGCAGGGTTGGAATCCAAGCCTTACCGAAAGCAATCGATAGATATAGCAAGTCTTCTTCTGGCCATCTCTCCAGACACGGGCCATGGCTTGTTCGTCATTGGCTGGGTTCCAGTCTGGGTCAAACATCACAAGTCTGTTTGCTCCAATCAAATTTAAGCCACAACCACCTGCTTTGCTGCTCAGCATGAAAATGAATTCAGGGTTCTGGGGGACCAGAGAAACTCAAGTTAGGTGCCCAGCACAAGTGACACTGCTGACTCAGTAGGTTATTTCTGCAAAAACACACTTCAAATTATCCTTTTATCTTGTATGCAAAATGAATGAACACGAACGTTGGTTAATAGACTACTCTTTCTTCCTTTCAGTCTAAAGATACTGGGTTCTTCCAACTTTGTAGTGAAGAACATCACAAGCCATTGCCCTACAAATATGTATACAGCCAAAGATTATCGGTACTACTTGTTTGTGAATTCTCCAACCAGTAATATGTACATGAAAGCTTATAATTAGAAGACTTAGTAACATTGATGGAAAACCAGAGGCACAAATCTAGACAGGGCGATAATGCAGCATCCATCCTAACTCCACATCAACCTCCTCTCTTCCTGTTCTAACCATGCTGGGTTTTCTTGACCCCTAGACACCAGATAAAAAAGATTCCCAACTGGAGAAGTGATCATGCACCAAAGTACAAGTCTGTATCACATCACTGGATTTGTATAACAGCCATGAACGCTCATTGGAAAGTCATGCTGAAAATATTTTCCTATTGCAAGTATACCTCTATTTCAAGCAGGAGTACATATTTTGGCTGTAACTGGCATTAAAATGCAGGAGGCCAACGAGGCTTTTTTACTGGAAGATTATATTGTAACCACTTCTGCCCTGTTTTGTAGGAAGGGTGGAATTAGATAGATTGGAACTTGAGCCTGGAAGGTTCACTTACAGAAATGCTGTTGAAACGCTCCACTATCTTTGCTCTCTTTTTAATGGACATGGTGCCATCCAGACGGACATACAAGTACCTGACAGACACAAAAAGAGGGCAAATTAAGATCCTAATACCAATATATCCCTGAAATAGCTGCAATTTCACCCCTTACACATGGGATAGTTCTACAAGTGAATTTAATATCAGGAAAAAATTAAGGCCATACTGGGGGAAGAGAGTTTTAGAATAGTTTTATGGAGACATCAGGCCAAGCCTGACCCAACATTTCTGCACCCATCATTCCCAAGGAAGACGTCCTCTTAGGTTCTCTCTCACACACTCACAACCTCTCAGTCATTATACCTTCTAGCTCTGCAGAGTTTCTCAAAGAGATCCAGTGTCTGAGTATAATTAGAAACTAGGACTACTTTGTCATTACTGGTGCTCCTCGTAACTGCCAAAATGTAGTCTAAAACCAGCATCTTTCCTGAAGGGAAAAAAAAAATCAATGAATACAAACGCTATAAAACCTGGAACCTCCAAGCCAATGCCCACAGATGCAACAGGCCTTCCTTGGAAACCAAGGACAACACAGCGCCCGTGGGTTCCAGGCTGGTGAACCTTGTGAATTTTTAAATAAATGGCAGGCACTTCTCTTGCCCTTGGAGGGGCTCTTTTGACTGTGGGTGGGTGGGCTGCTCAAGTGTGTGTGTGATTGAGAGATGCACCAGGGCAGAAAGAGAGGATACTGGGGGATGCTCTCTGCTATTAGACAACAACAACATCATTGATGGGGCAGGGGGAGGAATCAATACTGTGTGAATTCCAGAGGACAGCAAATGACTTGACTTCCCATGACAAGCATGAGATTGTCCAGGAGGACCACAGGGAGCAGCAATGACTATTTGTTCTTCGATTTTGTATTATGCCATGCCCCCTTGGCAGCCGTTTTGCGACTCGTGCCCACAACACTCTCTCAACAGATCCCCATTGGGGAGGTTGGCGACCTCTGCTATAAACAGTGCTGAGAAATCAATCCCCAATATAATCTCACACACAGATATACAGATACGTTTTTGCAGCAACATTTACCTGAGAGCTGAGGTTCCACAGACTTGGTGCTATAGCCAGAAGGAAATAACTGCAGAGCACCCACAAACCCCTCCTCTTCCTCCACACACTTCTCATAGATCAGGGCAGGATCTAGAGAAAAGTTATCAAGAATCACTGCACAGAACTGGAGTCGACACACTTTCTGTTTAGCAAGGTGGAAGGATTGGTCTTAGTGTGACGGAAACAGCTTCCTTACACAGTCCTATTATCTCTGGACAGAAATAACTGCAGCGCCTAATCATCATCATCACCATCATAATCTAAACAGTTCTATAATCTCCCCCTGTATTTAACATGCAATGGTCTAGTATAGCCTCTCTCAACCTTGGGTCCCCGGATGTTCTTGAACTACAACTCCCATCATCCCTGACCACTGGCCATGCTGGCTAGGAATGATGGGAGTTGTAGTCCAATAACATCTAGGTTGAGAAAGGCTGGTCTAGTACCTGAAAACTATAACTCTACATGTGATCATTTTAAATCACTAACTTTTATGTAGAGTAGGGGTGGGGGAACTTGTGGCCTTCCAGATGTTGCTTAGCTACAACTCCCATCAACGGTGATCATTGACTGTGTTGCCCAGGGGTTAATGGGAGGAGCCAAACAACATCTGGAGGGCCACAGGTTTCCCACCCTTGATTTAGGGGGCTTCTCTGACAATAAATTACCATACATTGTATATATTCCTTTTCACACATCAAGTGTTCCTCGGTCCACTAGTAACCTTCTGAATGTAGCTCATAATTGCTTGCTTGTTCCATAACTAAGCAGTGTTTTGAACCTGTATCTCTGCATTCATCCAGACCCCACGGCATCCTCTGTCCCACACTGGCCCATATACATTGCTAGCTTATCTAGTTCTCTTTCCATTTAAGTGTACCTTGATTTCCCATAAGAAACCCAAACTATCTGCTCCCAATTTCAAAAATAGCACAACCAAGCATTTAAACCATGAGCATGCATAGTAGGGATTTTAAACCCATAGTCACATTATGCAATAGATTAAAAATGTGTACATTAATTATGAGTGCGCTAAGATTCAAAATTAAAGATTATGTTTTCTAAAACCAGCTAAAACCCAAGAGGGTGTGGAGAGGCAAGGCACATGCTTGCATAGCTGCAAAGTCCTGTAAGTAAGAAGCCTGTATCCCAATGTATTATTCAGGCACTATTCAGGCCAGCCACCAGCCCAAGCAAACTAGAGTCCAGAAGAGGGCACCAGAGTCTCAAACTTTAAACATGGAAAATCTTTACATGGGACAAACATCTGCCTATCCCCACTTAGAGCATAAAGCAAAATGCAGGGGCTTGTGAAAAACCAGTAAAAACAAAAGAAGGCACGTGCTCCAGTTTAGACAACTGTGCTTTTCCTTGGGGGGGGGGGGAGCAGTTTAGTTTATAAATTGAGGAGTTCCAAGAGGGGAGGTTCAGGGGTGGCTTAAATGACTGAGAGGGACAACATACAAAAATACTTCCAGTCCTTTCAAAGTGCATGCTTCTATTACGCTTGCACAGAAGTTGAATCATAATAGTGCAGCAACTTCACTTTCTCCAACAAGGAAATCAGAGACGGTGAACTGAGTTTTTTCTATTCCTCAGACCCAAAATACCCATGCTCTGAACACAGCGAGCCAAGATTATGAACCCTATTTTGTTTCGATACCTACAAAACAGAATTTATTCTTTTTAACTGCCATGCAGCATCACTGCTTTGGAATTTAGCCTTAGCAGCAGTGTTTGAAACTCCCATTGTTCTAGGCGCATTTTGTGACAGGGAATTTCATTAGCGTGTGCAGTTTCTGAGTTCTGCGCCTAACATTTCAGAGTAAAACTGCAGGGTGGAAGGAAAAGAGGACCTTTTTCTGCTTCTCCACTTCCAGTTACTCTCTGAAGATTGGAGAAGAGACCCTCTTAAGAGGGCAGGGAAAGGACTAGACCCTGTGAAGAATGAACATAATATTTTAGCTGCAGTTCATTCATTTTCAGCTTTGTATTCTTGTTATAAAAAAGTATGCCTAGACATTCTGTTGTTGCGCCCATAACCTAGGTTTAAGGCGCTATTTAGCTCCTTGCTTTCATATATCTCAGTTTTTAACACTGCTTAGCAGAAGTGTTTTAAAAACACCATCTTAATGACCAGGGCTCTAGTACACAAGAACACTTCAACTTCAGGTTGAAAACCATTCAACAGAGATTTATCTTGTTTCTGACTTTCTGTTCCATGTTCTGGGTCCTTGGCACAGGGCATTGTATACATAAACTGACAGGATGACTTACGATTACAGAGTTTCTTCAGTGATGTGATGGAGGAAAGGGATGAAACACTCATGTTCCCTTCTTTCAGTTCCTCAGCGGGCTTTGCTTGCTTGAGGAAGCGTTTGTACAGGTCTGCCTGAAGGGGAGTCAGCCTGAGGTGAAACAAGACATCAATCATGTTCCAATCGCTGAACAGATGACCATTACAAAAAATCCCATCTTATCCAACCCAGTTGGAATTGCTTAGGTTAGGTCCCAAATGAACATTTAATGCAAAATAACTCAGAACTTTCCAAAGGGTATAACCTACTTGAGCTACTGAATTCCCCTTGTTGCAAACTCAGAAGGAAACTTGGTGTACAAGAGGAGCTAAATTGTCACTGACTTTGGTGGACCTGGGTAATACCCTAGTCTTAAAAGAAAGCCATTCTCCAGAGTCTGGTTTTTCTTCTTCTTTTAATTCATTCGTTTAATTCACAAACTGGTCTTTAAATTGGACTCTTAATAATAATAAAGCTCCATTTTCCACAGTCTCAAAGCTGCCATGCTAAGATCACTGTGCAGGTGGTAGAGGTGGTAGGCTAGACATGTTGGCAGCATTAACTTTCACTTTTATGCTATTAACTCTGCCAACATGCTCAAACCAGAACAAAAGACTGCAAGTCAGAATACCGCATTCTCAGTGATCTACACCCTAACTTTGAAAAATTATTTCCCCCAGAATCTCTTAGAACCTCAGTGACATTCCAAAGAGTAAACTATCAAGCAGGAAGGCACTGGTGGGTGGCTGTTTCATCACATCTTTCATAAAGCTATTCCTGCTATTAGCATACATGATTGTCTTAGGACATGGTGTTCCTTACAGGTCAGTGTTTTTCAACCTTGCTGCTAAGGAAAGACCTCCTGTCTACACATCTCGCTGCTCACCAAGTTGCTGCTTGAAACCCGGTGCCTTAAAAGCATTATTTTTATTTGTTTTTAAATACATTTTATTAAGGTTCCTAGAGAAAAATACTTTGTTTTTTAAAAAAGCATTCTTTTTAAAGGTCCAACATCATCTAGCAGTTTATAGCTATTTGATGTCCAACAAATGAGTTGCACATTCTTTAAAACACACAAAAAAATACTGAATGGCTTCTAAAAACGTGATTAATTTTCCTGACTTCATCAATGCAGAACATTTTATAAAGGGTACGATTAGATTTGGATGAAAAGCAAAAAACAACAACACAAACCATTGTTGTAGCTAAGCAGAATAAGAAAGGCACTATTCTCTGACATCTAGATGAATGTGGTTCTTTCAGAATAGATTTGAGGCAAGCTCCATCACCGAATTAATTATGCTGACTTTTTTTTACTTTGCAGGGGGGGGCGGAATATTATATATGTCAATAACTCAGTTTCTTCCTTTTCATTGAGAGGCAAGTTACCTAGGATCAGTGCACTTACATACTAAAATAAATTAAGCACAACTTTTTAAAATACAGTGACTCCAATAAAGGACTTCATTGTGCTGATAAATACCGTATTTTTCACCCTATAGGACGCACTTTTCCCCCTCCAAAAATGAAGGGGAAATGTGTGTGCGTCCTATGGGGCAAATGCAGGCTTTCGCTGAAGCCTGGAGAGCAAGGGGGGTCGGTGCGCACTGACCCCTCTCGCTCTCCAGGCTTCAGGAAGCTATCTGCTAGCTGTGGGAGACACAGCTCTCCCACGGCTAGCAGAGAGCTTGCCTGCACCCAGAAGCTTGGGGTGCGCAGCGCTCCGCTAGCCGTGGGAGAGCCGCGCGGCTCTCCCACGGCTAGCAGAGAGCTTGCCTGCACCCAGAAGCTTGGGGCGCGCTGAGCTCAGCACGCCCCAAGCTTGGGGCTTCGCGCAGCGCTCCGCTAGCCGTGGGAAGTTGTGCGGCTCTCCCACGGCTAGCGGATAGCAGCCTGTTCTGGGGAGCTCGGGCTTCCCCCGCCCCAGCCCCGCACCTGGGGGGGAAATTAATTTTTTTTCTTTATTTCCCCCCCCCCCCCAAAAAACTAGGTGCGTCCTATGGGCCGGTGCGTCCTATGGGGTGAAAAATACGGTAATTCAGCAGAATTTAAGATGGAAGGTTAATTGGCTGTTACCGAAGGGGCAAAGGGAATATTCTGCCACAACACCCAGAGTAACACAGATCAGAACGTTTCTATTGACTCTTGCTTAGCAAGGCAAGAGTGAATCCACCTCATTTCTTGATTAAGTTTGAAAAGTCTGTGCTTTGTTTTAAAAGCTGCACTTGCATCTTGTACCTGCAGCACACCACCTGCTCTATTTTCACTGGAAGGTATTTGGAGAGAATATCTGAAGTCCTCCTTATAAGACACCTAGAAAGGAACAAAATAAATTTTAATGCTGTTAACAAGAATACCTAAGCTCATGACCATCTTCCGGCAGAACACCTTCCTGGTGTTAACAGAGATCTTTCAGGTAACAGCTCTGCAGACTTTGATCAGCATGCATGAGCTCTGACAACAAGTAAACATCCATTTTAGCAAAAAAACCAAAACCCACTTTCTTTCTCAGCCGATCAAAGTACTCAAGAGAGACAGTAGCGTCACAATGAGCAGAAAAAATCAATTTGGAGAGACTGACTGTACATGACCCATAGCAATTGTTGGGTGATGACTTAATGATGAATGGATTTGCACTTTCTGAGCTCTATCAGAACTACTGGATGAATTATGAGGAATAATGAACTGAGCCGTTTCCAGGGTCAAAGTAACTTTAACTCCCAAAGCACAATCTGGGGAGTTAGAACTAGGGAAATAAAGTGCTCCTAGGATAAAAAAGGGAAACTTGTGAACTTCACCTGTTGACAATGCTGATCAGCTCTTTAAGCCTCTCCTCTCCCTTGTGTCTTCCTGCTTCACTTGCATCGGCATCCCTGCCTTTCAGGATGGGAATTTCAAAGTGCTTTTTAAACTCCTGAGCTGTCCCTGTCCAAAAAAGCAAAACTTGATGGTGAGGAATAGCCCTACCTTTAATTTTCTATATTCTGCTGCAAGTTTTAAATGCTATTAACTATTTCAAAGATGTCTTCCATTGCATTTCAAACTTTCTGATGCATGTAAATGTCTCTGAAGCCTAGTAGGTTTAGACAACAGCTTTTTTTCTGGATCAGGCAGAACCTCATAATTCAGAAAGGCATGTGAAACTTTAGAAATAGCCATTCCTTTGCCTTGGAAGCATCATCACTTATGCCTTCAAGTCCCACCTGCTCTCACTTAATGAGAGATCCAATTATACAACACTTTTAAACATTGACAGAACCTTGGTCATTTAATAAGATGCTGAGGAAAGCAGACACAGCAGACATCTGGGCCAAAATTGAAAGGTAAGCATATGACATAGCTGGAAATACAGTCACTCTGTTCCCAAAAGGTTCCCTAGCAGACTCCCACGAGGTGATTCACACTTTTTTGGAACTCCAAAGCTAGCAGCACTTTGATTAGTCCACATCTTCCAGTAAAATGGTTCACCACTGTTCTGTGGAACAGAGCTACACTATAATAATGTGTGAAACACAGTGTGAGTGGCAATTTGATATACACTTGCAGCACACAACCACACTTCCCCACACCCAGTCATTATGGTGGGGAACTTAGAAACTTGGGCTGCCAACTTCAGACTTATTATACTGCTGTTGCTGTTGTTTTAAAAAAGAAGTCCCTACCGAGGATGCCCGAGTTGACAAAATGTACTAGGCTGAAGTATTCAAGGAGGTCATTCTGAATGGGGGTTCCTGAGATGAGCACTCGCCGTGCAGTTTTCAGGCTGTTCAGAGCTTGGTAAGTTTGGTTATCTGAGTTCTTCAGCCTGTGACCCTGAAAAATGAAAGAGTAACAGGATGCATGCATATTTACTTTTGCAGAATCAATATACCTATCTTATAAACCTGCAGACATGATTAAATCTAAGCACTACAAAATAAGAAATATACTAATAGGTGCATGTTCCTACTGCAACCCTCCTCCCCCCCACGGCCAGTGGGTTTATTTAACTGCTAGTTATAAGACACCTGAAGAGCACTATGATGTCCTAGCAGCTAACCACTGGAAGCAATGACAAGTGCTAATAATTAATAAAAGGAGAAGGGATACGTTGCAAAGGCTTCCGATGAACCAAAGTAGTTATACAAGATTATGGGATGGGACTAAACCTAATATAGGTCCTCTGGGAAAACACAAGGGGGGGCAGTGGGGATGAGCTCTTTTGCTTTGCATGCAAAATGTCTCAGGTTCAGATCCCTGGCATCTCCCTCTTAAAGGATCCCTAGTACCTGAGAGAACTGCAAGACCTGGGGAGCTAGGAGGGGAGAACAGGTGCTGTAAGCATCAAGCTGCTTCTTTGGCACAGGGATAGCAACGCCACTTAAAAAATAATAATAATACTCTTGCACCAAGGGGAGTTTTGCCTTCTACTGCTAGTTACTGGGGAAGGGGTTCTATCTGCATCAGGATAACAGGTGGGGAAGGAAAGGTTGAAATTCGCTGCTCTCTGCCTTATGGTTTTGATGCACCAATATCATCCCCCATCCATTTTAAATGTTAAGAACCGCTGGTGTGGTTGCTAACCATGCAGTCACAGAAACTTTGGGTTTAGCCCTCAGCTGCACTTAGCATAGGGGCAAACCTTCCTGCATGTTGCCAATTAAGTGGCTAGAAATTCCTGCCCAGGCTCACCACTGAAGCTGAGTGACATCAGCCAAATTTTGACTCCATGGGCGATCGATCACTCGCTAACGAGAATACCAGCTGCTTTCCACCTACCTCATCACATATGACCAACCCAACACTCCCTTTCTGGAGGACTTCAGCATGAAGTCGGAATGTTTCGTAGGAAATTATCAGGATCGGGGATGGGACTCTTAGGCCTCGCTGGTTCATAAACCCAGCTATTAGGAAAAATAAAAACAGCAAAAGAAATATAAGTGAGGTGTATTTGGAAGCCAAGGGGAGACAGCGTAAGCTTTAGGAATAAGCAGTTTTGCAAAACTATGCATCCCACATTTACCTCTACACTTACTTTTTGTGTTCTGCTATATTGCAACAAAGTGTTTTTTACATCCAAAGAATCACAATGCATTATTTCCTTCATCTCCAGTACTCAAAGTGGCTCAAGAGATCCATGGCAGAGCTGGAAGAGTCTAGGTCATCCAGGTCCCACAAGCTACCGACCCAAGTTCTCTTACTAGGTCCTCTATGTACCTGTCTCTAGTCCTTTGCTAGCTCTGCTGTTTTTATCCTCTGTTCACAACTGTAGAAACCATTTATCAAATTCCTCAGCATGAATCTTTGAATTAAAGCCTGCCAAGAATGTGATGATTGTCGCAACTGAGTATGAGGGAATACAGCTTATGTAGTAGTGTTCTTGCTTTACAGCAAATCATTTTCTTTCTTTTTTAAAAGCACATATTGTGAAGCCTCCATACCTAGCTTCCTGTCTATATCCTCCTTGGAGCCTCCATCGATAGCCAGTGGCTGAATCCTTCCTCCAAGCCATTTACCCACTTCATTGTACCAGTTCTTCACCAGGCTGGAAGGTGAGACCACAATGGCCTTGTCGATCTCAGGCTTGCAATCTGGACTTTGGCGCAAGAGCGTCCACATCAGAGTGATGCACTGCAAGGTCTTGCCCAGACCCATCTCATCTGCCATAATGCAGCCATGACTTCCAGGGATGCGGCGGCCTGTCACACACTCCCACAGGAACTTCACCCCCTGCACGGAAAGCATTTCCCTTGTATTAGAACAGACTTGCAGGACGAAAAGTGATATTGCGCATGAAGCAGCACCTGCGCAAATTGCGACTGGATGCACAGGAAGCTATTGGTATTCAATACCGATTACAACATTGCTCTCGAAACAGAAGAGCTTGGGAAACTGGAGAGACACAAAGATTTGCTCAGAAATGCACAGGTTCCAACCACAGCCAATAGTGTCACAGCTCATAGTGCAGGGAACTGCCATTTTAGCCTGGCCTTTGAAGCACAGGGAAAGATGGCTGCAGCCACTCAGCTAGAAGCAGCAGACACAGAAGCCTGCAGGAAAGGGGTGTGTGAAGTGTGCTAGCTGCAGGAAAAGTAAGCAGGTGGGCGTGGGGTTCTTGGCCATTGCTGCAGAGTGGCTCCCAGCATCTCCCAACAGCAGCAGCAAAGGAAGTCTCCCCTCCCCTGCTTCAGAGCAGAGCAGGGACTTGCAGGCTCGACCCTACATAGAGGAGGTGCCTCAGGGCCCTTGGCCACATAGTGATCAAGCAATCCCCTAGCTTTCCTCCCAATATTGAAGCTGGGAGGCGTCATTAGGCACCTGCTCAACAACCCTACCCCCACACACCTTCATGCTTAGGAATGCTCTTCACACTTGCCAGAGGACCACTCTCTAGGGTGAAAGAAAATGCAGTGAAAAGTTTACAGCAGCATTACTGCTGCATTTGGTAACTCGCAGAACTCACCTCTCTCTGATGGGGTCGTAAGACACGGCTGAGAACAGGATCCACCACAACATGAACAGGCACTTTGTCCCTTCAGGTAAGAAACAAGAGAGAGATCAGAGCAGGCATAAAGGTCAAAGCACTATTCTGAAGGATATTCCCAAGGGGCACAAGGCCTGTTAATGCACCACTCTGCTTCACAAGACAGGGACTCCTACCACGTGGCTACTTTCACAGTCAAAACCAACTAGGCCCAGTTGAAAGTCATAGCAACATTCAGATATGCTTTGCATCCCTCCAGAGAAAGCAATGCACAGCTATCTTATTACTGGGGGACACAGAATTCAGTAATATGAGCAAGCAGCGATGAACACTCTGTGGTTTGTGTTTGATAAAGATATATTTGTAAGGAATTTACTGAACAGGGAACGATGCTTCATGTCCTTCTGAATAAATCATCCTCAACAATCTGGATAGTTTTCTTGTGTGAAACACGAACACTTGTAACTGATCCACCACTGCGTCTCCATTATGGGAGATGAATCAGCCTAATGACTGCAAAATGGCAATTGAATACTAAGTTTGCATGCCAATTCTAAGATCCGTCAAAATATCAACAGATACACAAACCAAGCTGAAATGGTGGGAGAGAACCTACTGGGTGTGGGGAGAAGGGAGGTCGGAAGGAAGCAACTCACTTGTCGATTTTCAGCTGGTCATGAGCAGTCAGAGGTGGAGGTTCGTAGAGCACCAGAGCTCCTTCTTCAAAAGGGTCATGGAGAGCATGCCTGAGTCCTGCACGCTTGATACCCAGAGCTCTAAAGCCTGGGGAACCTGAAAGATGACAAAGAAAAAGCAGCAAGCTGACTGTTTTCAGTAAACGCAGGACTGTCAAATATCCTATTACAGTGACAACACACTGACTTTTAGGGAAAGTTAGCCCCAAGTATAAAGTGCTATGTGTGAGATGTAAGCTATAGAATAAACACGGCAGAGATATCTCATTAAGTCTGGTGTGCCACTGCTATCAGACTGAGACTATGCATGAAGGCAAGTAGCATGAAACAAAAAAAATGGTGTTCTACTCCCATTACAGAGCTTCTGAACTACAGCACCAGATCTCTATCGCCAAACCTGGCCTGAACAAAATGTAAAAATCCACACCTCATCAGAAAACACACACACAGTGCCCTTAGTTAATAAAGGATAGTTAGACCAATACTTGAAGGTGTAACTACAGTAATTATTCACAAGTTTTAGGTTAATGAATCAAGGAATGATTCATGAACCCATATATTTGGCACACAGCTTATGCTTGTATCATCAACTCAGTCTATGAATTTCCAGATACAACTAACCAGCAAAGGAAGCATTTTTGTCTATCTCCTCCCATTAACTGCAGGTGCATTTTGAAACTTGGTGGCAATTCATAAAATTCAAGAAGTTTGAGACCCAAAATTATAACTAAAATCTAGGGTTCTGTAAGCCTACATGACTTATAGACCTGTGTTATGCATATTTACTTGGAAATAAGCCTCACCACATTCAAAGAAGCTTACTTTCAGGTAAACATGCATAGGAGGGCAGCCTAAATAAGCATTACAGCCCACCACTTAATAATTCAACATTTTTCATACATTTTTTTTCTTTTTTACACACAAAACTTCATTATTCTACACATTCAGAGTTAACAGATGGCGAAGTAAGACAATGTTAGGAGGGAAACCTCATGGATTTACCTGTGTAGTTTGGAATAGGAACTTTGAAAGGTTTTGACAAAATGCTGCGAATAAAGGCCTCCTGGGATTTAAAGTATAAAATATTCATTAGTTTAACATTAAAAAGACCTTTCAAGCTAATCAGTAAGCAATAATGAACTTTATACTGAGACTGGCAGATTTTGCTTCCAACTAAATGTATTTAGCACTGAATGACAACAAGTATTTTCCACTATTGTTCCTGCACTCTGGAAAGCCCTGCCATTTAGGAAATATCATCTATCAGTTGCTTCAGAAGTCTTATAGAGATATCACTTTTTGCCCAGGCTATCCATGAGCATCAGATTGGACCCTGTTATTACTAGAACTCTGTTTTTATGAAGGTTTTCTGTTTGTACGTTTGTATTTTTGTAAATGGTTTAAGAGAGTTTAAGTATCAATTGGTTTAGAAAATGTTTTAAATAATAATAAATATATTTAGAAACTTAATTGCATTTCATCTATTATTTTATTTATAAAACATTTGGGGAGCTCTTTGAACAAGTCATTTTTATTAGGCTCCTAAATAAAGAACAGTTCATAAACAGCTTATTCTTTACAGGTCTCTCATATTATATTTCAAAGAGAACGCATATAAAAATCACTTTCTATACTATTTAACTGGGAAGAAGTTGATCCCAAAGAAGTGTCATTTCTCTCTGTGAACCCAGTCCAAAACCACCAGGTTCTTATAGCCGGCTACAGACAGATAACACTGCATCTTTTTTCACAGCAGATTGCAAGGAAATCTGTGTGCTTATGATCTTCTGGCTCATAGCCTTTGTGCCTTTGCAAACTCACAGCTTCTCGTTCAGGTGGTGTGAGTTCATCCACAACCCAACCAATAAAAGAGCCAAACTAGAAACTGCATTGTCTCCCACCCTCAGGAATAAGTTAATTGTGCAAAATTGCACGAGAAAACATAAATAAATCACTTGCATGTTTACTGCCATCAAGGCAATGAGGCTGATTGGTTAACTGTGCCAAGGGCTTCCGGAAAGGTGACATATAACACTCCCTCTTATCGACTTTGCTGCCATGTTTCTGTCTCTTCCGAGTCTAGAAAAGATTAGAAATATTGCATTAGGATTGGAGAACCCAGGTGTACATACAACAGTCATACTGCCTAAAACCATCCAGTTAGATTATTTGTGCATCTGAGCACTTCGTTTTTTAAAAATTGTTTTTCAATGAAGTGATGTTCACCATCAGTGCCGCAAACCTTGTTAAAAGCAAAAACAAAATGCAAACATTCTTGGAAGGCTAATATGGTTTAAAATTGGGTTTGAAACATTGCCGAGGTTGGGACACACTGGATATAAAGAAGCATAAAGCAAAAAGAGGGCTATTGCAATTAGAGAACTTGTAATGATAGTGTCTACTATATACATCTCAAGGAAGGGAAGGATACAAATGTGAAATAATTTGTTTCCAATAGTTGCTAAAATAATTACTTTTTATTTATTTAGAAGAGAAAAAGACTACAGCTACAATCATATGCACACTTTCTTGGATGCAAGGTTCATTGAACTCAATGAGACTTACTTTCAAATAAACATATGTAAGATTTGGCTGCGTTGAGTTGCGTGTTTAAAATTGTTTAAATATGAATTTCATTAGATAATCCTTAGGTTAACAAACATTTTCCACATGTAGATCAGCTAGAGGAACACACTCCAAGGTGCAAATATACCAGCCACCACATAAAATGTAGCATCTGTATTGACTGGAGCTTGCTTCATCTAAGAGAACAACCAGCTTGAGGATGTCCCAGTGACTCCAACTCCTTGCAGTGCACATCCATCATCATATAAGCAATACGCTTACCCACAAACAATCACAATAGCCAAATTGATGCATTATTACTATTATGATACTTGACCCACAATACAGTGCATATACTGAGGCCAACAGATAAGTCCCCCTAGTGAGTTTATGGCCAAAGGTCAGCCACTACACAAGTGATACATCCATAGTGAGAAATGAGAATATATGTGTGTAATAAAGGAATGGAAAAGCTGATACAAAAAGGGTTTAACAATGCAGTCTCCTTGCTGAAGCTCAGCAGCTCTGGGTCTGGTCAGCATGTTCCATCATGGAAGGAAAGCAGGACACAAGTGTACAACAGAATGATTGACAGGATGCTCACAGTTTCAGGATGCCAGGTGTCATCTTCGTCAGAGCCATTCCCTTCTGGCTTCCTCTTGACCAGCTGACTAGGAGCCAGGCTTCTCCTCTGCAAAAAGAGAAAGGAAAAAGGAGTGATAGATCAAGGCAACCTATTAAGAATCTGCATACTGTGGAAGTTGGCATTTTCAACAAACTACGGCTTTATCTGAAACACCTTTTGCCCGTTTGAATGATATAAACTTAGCCCAACAATGCCTATGGGAATTCCTCTGGTTCCACACTCAGGGCAGGATTTAGGTTTGATGAGGCCCTAAGGTACTGAAGGTAATGGGGCCCTTTGTATGTCCAGCTGTCCTTTGTCAACAACAAATTGTCACTGTTTTTTGTGTTGATTATATGGTAATTTATGGACCTAATAGGTGTCTAAAGCCATTTGCCACTGTTGCTGTATGTAGGTTTTAGTTTATTTGTTTTTTTTTAGATTATTTTTTGGAAATGTACATCCATGTTTTTTTCCCTTTAATTTTTTTTTGGGGGGGGGGACTCCCCAAGAGAGTGGGACCCTAAGCTATAGCTTGTTTAGCTTATACGTAAATCCGGCCCTGCCCATGGGAATTCCTTTGGGCCCCCAGCTCCCCGCTAGGCTTACCATTTCCTCTCAGGACGAGTTAATTTCCATCTGTGGGGAGCAACGGAAGAAAGAACAGGGACCGAGGAGAAAGCAGGAAGGAAGGAAAGAAGGGAGGGGAGGGGGCGACCCTGAAGGCAACAGGAGGCAGCAGTGGCATCTGCTTGAACTGGGGAAGGGGCGAGAGGAGGCACAGTGGAAATGCCTTCCCTATGGGGAGGGGGCAGCGGCGAAGTCGGAGCCCTCGGGCAGTTGGGAAAAGGGAAGCGGGCGGGGGGTGGACCTGGTGGAGAAGGCGGCACGAGCCCCCTCCGCCGGTCGCACGTGGACGGGGGGCGTCAAGAGGCTGCGCCACTGGCCGGGACGCGGGGCGAGGAGCAGCCGCTTCCTCGCGTCTCTCTTTTCTGTTTCCCGCGCGGAGGTTTCCCAGGGTTTCGCCCCGCCCCTCAGCCGAGGCGAGGCCAATCGCGAGCCGACCGGGGAAGCTGCCATCGATCAGCTCCGGGTGCCTGTCGGGAGGAAAGGGACTCGGCAGCCAACAGGAGGGAAGGGAGGGAGGTAGGAGGAGGAGCCTTGCTAAGAGGGGGCGGGGCACTCTGGTGACGGGGGCTGATGGGAGTTGTAGTCCAAAAACTGGAGGACACACCAGCTTGGCCGGCAAAACTTGTTCTGGCTCGGGGTTGGGGGTTGGAGGAGACCCAGGTTCGGATCCCGACTCAGCCAGCGGGGTGTTAGCAATTACACGACATAGAGCAAGATGAGCGCCACAACCCCAGAGTTGTTCGCGACTGAACTTAACTGGCAGGGGTCCTTTACCTTTATACAAGACAAAAATTAAAACAGTTATATAAATACTACTTAATAAAATACAGATTCTCCTAACAGCAACAGCAAAAAAAAAAAGAGGAAAAAATCAGTAGCAGGGTATCTAAAATACAAAAACAGCACACAAATGCAGATTTTGTCAACGGTAGTCAGCACTCAACACGTCTTCCGTTCCTCGCAAAATTCCCAAATGCTATGACCCAACTGCTCTGCAAATATGTTCTTCCCTGCAATACTATGGCCCTTGTCCCCAATGTTATTTCAGCCTCCGTACTCCTCAGATGTTGAAATCAGAATAAAGTATACCATAACATAGATCCTTTTGTATATTGAGATTTATTACGGCATTTAGAGTTTTTGCTTCCGGATTTAATTTTCTTTCAGCACTGGATTCTGAATGTCAAGCATCCTGCTTGTATTTGACAAAATTGCTTGGTGACTTTTTCAAAGTCAAAAGGACATTTTACTATACTTTCAAAATACCTGGTTGCAAGTTACAGTGCAAGGAAAGTGTAACTAATTAATTTCTCTGGCATCCAGACAAAAGCAGTTTTAAGGAGTTTGCCTGAGCTTTGGCTGTAGCACACACCTGATTCCTAATATTGACAGCAGCTCATCGATGCTTCATTAATTCTATGTAATTATAGCTGACAATGTCTGCTGGAGCCCCTTTTTAGACAGTCAAGAACTCACAGGTGTTATTTCTGAGGACGTATGCTTTTGTTTTGGCTGTTGCTCTTGTGTGTCTGATCAGCTCTCTACAGCAGGGGTCCCATGAGCTTCATTCAGGTGGTGGTGGTAGTAGTAGTAGTAGTAGTAGTAGTAATAATAATTATACCCTGTCCATCTTGCTGAATTTCCCCTGCCACTCTGGGCGGCTTACAGCATAATTAAAAACATAATAATACATCAAGACTTAAAAATCTGCCAATACAGGGCTGCCTTCAGATGTTTTCCAAAAGTTGTGTAATTCTTTATCTCCTTGACATCTGAAAGGAGGGTGTTCCACAGGGAGGGCACCACTACTGAGAAGGCTCTCTGCCTGGATCCCTGTAACTTCGCTTCTCGCATTGTGGGAAGCATCAGAAGACCCTTGGAGGAGGACCTTGGTGTCCAGGCTGAGCGATGGGGGTGGAGACACTGCTTCAGGTATACTGGGCTTAGGCCATTTAGGGCTTTAAAGGTCAGCACCAACACTTTGAATTGTGCTCAGAAACGAACTGGGAGCCAATGTAGGTCTTTCAGGACCAGTGTTATATGGTCTCAGCAGCTACTCCCAGTCACCCGTCTAGCTGCCGCATTCTGGATTAGTTGCAGTTTCCGGGTCACCTTCAAAGGTAGCCCCACATAGAGCGCACTGCATTAGTCCAAGTGGGAGATGACCAGGGCATTCACCACTCTGGCGAGACATGTTAGTCTGTGGCATTTTGGCATTAAATATTCACACTCTCTTTTATAGTATTGCAATCTGAATTCTATGCAATGCAAATTGTATTACAATAAAATGCAATTAAAAACCACACAGCAACTAGCACAGTGCATTACAATTGCTTTAACAAGCAGAAAAATCAGTGGTCTGCCAAGACTATCAGCAATTTTCAAGCGGTCCATTGTAGCGAGGAGTTTGGGAACCTGTGCTCTACAGCGTCCAGGAAAAGCAAGTGGCGTTTTCACCCATTCAGCAAAATATTGGCTGAACTGGAGCCAATTTTCCTAACAACAACAACAACAAAAATTCCCCTTTTAATAGTTCTGGTGCCACTTCTTTTTCAATGAAGGTCATATGTGTGCTCAAGAGAGCAATTATTCTCCCCTTCCATCATTAATGAGTGCTATTCAAGCACCATAATATATAGCATGGCATCAGTACCTTAAATGGTAGTGGATAAGAGGGAATTTCAGAAGGTGTAGCTTGGGAATGTCACCATAAGTTTATCCCACAAACTTTGCCAATGCTCAGAGGTGATGAACCTGTGGCCCTTCTGTTGTTTCTGAATTACAGCCCCCATGATTCTTGACCATTGGCCATGCTGGTTGGGAATCATGGGAGTTGGATCAGAACAATATCTGGAAGGCCACAGTTTCCTCCATCCCTGCTATAGGACCATGAGGTGTTGGGTCCTCAGCTAGGATCTTTGCAAGTGCTCCAGTGGCAAAACCATGGCAGAGATGCAGATTCTCAGCCTTGATGGAGATATTTCTGCATCCTTTTTTTTATCTCCTTTGTTTGCTTATTTAAATGTATATACTGCTTGATTGTAGGGAATAAAAAACTCAACATGGTTTACCAAAAAAAAGAGAAAAATAAAATTACCACTAAAAAGTTTACAGCCATAAATTAAAACATACGGAAACTTAAAACCACAGCAGAATAGACTAAATAAAATTAAAACTCATACAAGCATTCTAAACATCTAAGTAGGCTTGTCAAAAGAAGAATGTCTTCAGCAGGCACTGGAAAGAATACAGTGTAGGTGCCTGGCTAATATCAGTTCTAAGGACAGTGAAGGCATGAAATGACCAGCTTCAGTTGTGGGGCGAGTTCTGACATATCTCTGCTCTTGCAGCCCCCCCTCCTTTGAAAAGGGGATACGCTGAAGTCAGAGGGTGCTGAATAACAGAATTCAGTGGAGATAAGATTTGACCTCCATCTTTTATTTAATTTTGAATTATGGTTTCCACCACTCCACTTTAGAACTCCTTTTTAGATTTAATGACTTTTAGCCATTTCTATTGCAGGCCCAGTGGGCAGAAAGTGGTTATTTATTATGATAATTGGGTATTCCCCCCCCCCCATGGCGTGAATAATTATTGCATGAATAGTTCATCTCCCCATACATGGTCTGGAAGTAATTTCTCTTGATACTGTTCAGCCTGAATGCAGGTCAGCGAAATATGTGGAGTAGGAATTGGATTAGTTCCCTGCTACACACTAGCATGATATCATCAGGATAAAAATAGGTGCTCGGTGATGGGACAGGGAATGGCTCAGTCCCCAGATGTAGAGCCGGAGGGGGTCCCTGCAGGCCATGTAGTTCAGTCCACTGTTCAGTTCAAGAAATTCCATGCTAGAGCATCTCCAGAACATTGCTATATAAACTCTAATGAAAGATCTTCAGTGAGGGACAGCTCATCAACCCTCTAAGCCAGGCATGTCCAACTTGAAGTTGACTGTGGTCCACAATCCAATATAAAAACTGGCAGTGATCTACCACCCAGGGATGGGTGCAGGGTGAGTGGGTGCTGGCTGGTTCCCCCGAGTGGGCAGAGATGGGTGCAGGGTGGGTGGGCAGGTGCCGACAGGGCAGGGGTGGGCGTGGCCGCAGCATCAAAACAGCCCCTGCCAACGTCTCCCAGAGGAGGGCGGGTGGCAATCGACCAGAATTCATCACAGGATCTACCCGTTGATCGCGAACGACATGTCTGCTCTAGGCAAACAGCTCAACTGTAATTGAATTTCTCCTAATGGTCAGTCCAAATCTACCCTCCTCTAATTTAAGAGCCAATTAAGTTCTAGTCCTGCAGAAAATTGCCTTATCCTTTTTTGTAGCCACAGCACACTGCCAAGCCATGCTCAGCTTACGATCAGTTACAACCTTAAGATCAGGATATCCCTTATGCAGAACTTGACACTTGTCCCCTTTCCCATATGTCCACTTAGGGATACCTTGTGCTTGCAGTTAGGTTCTGTAGTGTGTGATAAGATCTGCAAAAGATATGTGGATTACCTGGTTATGAGGAACCTGATCTTAAGATGCACCTGCTCTGTGCAGTGGACTACATTGAGGGATCAACACGAGATGGAACAATTCCCACCTAAATTCTTTGCAGGGAATTTTCTCCTATGAAGCAACAAGGTTAGGTAAATCTAGGAAAACCTACAGTGAACTGGAGCCCACAAAAACAGTCAGATCTCCCCCAAAGTCCTTCCTTCAGAAGAGGAAAGCTGACTTAGTGCAGCTGTGGCACAACAGCCTTTGTCGTCTGTGTACTGCAAAGCCAGTGGTTTCCATTCTGTCCAGGATAGCACAAATGTGCCATGTTAGCACTTTAGCATTGCTCTGATAGTGTCTGTGGGAAATGGAAATGGCCCTTGCATTGCATTGCATCCTGTGTCCTTTTAAAAAGTGGTTTTTTGGGGGGGGGCACTACTGGGCTGTTGTTTTCATTTTTATTGTGTATTTTGTGGTTTTATATCTTGATTTTGTTATGTGCACTGCCCTGAGACCCCCAGGTTTAGGGCGGTATATAAATTCAATGAAGAAGAAGAAGAAGAAGAAGAAGCAGCAGCAAACTGATAGACAGCATTGCCTCAGTACAGCTGGGCATCACTTTAAACTGCAGAATCTGAGAATGCAACAATATGCTGCTGGCGTCCTAATACTGATACTTCCTTGGTAGCAGACAGGACTGTTCACCATTGGAAACAACCAGCTGGGTTTTTTTTTTATGGACCAGGGTTCTGATCAGAAAAGCTATGGAAACCCTTAAAAAACAGAAAGCTTTTATTGAAGATTTTTCTTTCTTATACAAGTCGCACCTCCCCCATTTCCTTAGCATACACTAAAGATGCACTCGTTGGACTTGTGTAGTGTTATTTGATCCAAGTCTTCTGCCTAGATTCCTTTTCCCAGATC